TCGGAGAATTCTCCATCTCTTATTCCCCAGTCAAGCACGGACGTCCAGGTAAGAAGACTTTGAACAAGTACCCATTAAATCATATACTAACCTTGCCCCTTAGGTATTGGTGCTACGCACTCTTCGCGTTTCATTCCTCTCAAGTAAATGTTACTTGTCCTTGGGTGTTCAGGGGGTCATTGGGATTATTTTATGATGATATTTGCTCGGTTGAACAGCATCTACGGAATGCTGTTGTATGCAGATAGCAAATAATGAAAAAGATCTTCAAAGCCTCCATTTCTGTTGTTCCGCCTAATTCGTTACCTAAATTCCGCGTTGCATTTGCTTCAAATAGAAAGCTGCATTCTGTTCGTTTACCTATCTCGCTCAACATCTGAGGACCTTGACTAGAATGAACGACTACTCAATACGTTCGACACAGGATCTACACGACATGCTGTGTGACACGTATAGCTATACATTAAGTATACTCGGAATAAAAGCTGCTACATTCCTATAACCTGATGCTTCTTATTACAACTTTACTTCACCATCGTACTAGTCTCTTCCTACTACGAACTAAAGCAAAGTCCGACTCATCATGTATTTGTGATAGTGGAACCCCATTTGATGTAACTTATTTCAGAAAGTGGATGTGTGTCTATCTGGGTTTTGGTATGAACATATCCGTGGACCTCTGCTCGTATATGGGGTGTAGAACGAACAGGATGATGTGACATACTATAAGACTTGAGCTTCGGGGAGGCATTTATGTGGAGGAGATTACCTGTACGTTTGATTTTGGTCACCAGACGTCTGTGTTAAAAAAAATTCGAATAACACTATCATATGTATAAGCAGTTAGAAAGCTTTCTGTACTTTCCTTAGTTCGTTTCATGAAAGATGCAGCAGTGGGAATTTGCGCGGTCTCACAGATTGAAGTGGCTGATCGAAGTCCAGCTCTTCTGAAAAATGATTCATCTATTCCCATACTTCAATCTATAGACTCCAACCTCCCAACCCCTCTAGCACGAACAACCAATCCCTGACACAAAACACTCCAGCAGATCTCATAGCCATCCATCCTTCTTGCTCCAAACCTCATACACCCCACCCCCATTTCTCACCCCTATAAGCCCCGTACCTCTTCTGGAAAAAATCGTTATCGCCCGACTCATCCAACAACCTCAATCTGAGCTCCACAGCGGCAGCTCTCAGCGGCTATCCCTCATACACATTAGCAAACATCCTTCCTTTCATTTCCCCTGGAGTACTTACAATTCCGCCTAATTCAAACCTTTCCCCGACAATCTTCGTGATATCCTCAACACTCCACCGCTCCCTCGACGCTTCGTTGGCAGGTACTTTTCCCTGGTGGTCGAGCGGCGCGTGGGTTGATAGGTAGGCGATGAAGCGGTCGTGGACTGTGTTCCAGGTTGGAGGGAGGGAGATGCAGGAGGGGTGGGTATGTGAGGGGAGTTCGAGGTCATGGGTTGGACGAAGTGCGTGTGGTCTTTTTTTGGGTTTCGTGGGTGGTGGGGAGGGTGTGGGCATGAATTGGGAGCTTGGAGAAGGTTTGGGATGAGATGTTGTTGCTTGCGCCTAAGGGGGTTAGTGATTTGTGATATATTGAGAGAAGAGGCATACTTCGGGTTTTGGCGTGTGGCTCGTTCGACGAGAAGATCGTCTTGGTGGTGGTGTTCTGGGTCTTTGCGGTTTGGGAGGCGGTGTTGGAGGGATTTCGATGGTTGTGAAACTTGTTTGGGAGACTATTCTTACGTGACCCTATTTCGAAGTCTTATTAGCTGCTTTTTTGAGTTGAATTAGACGGGATGTCTGTTGTGACAGATACAATCCCACACACTTGGTTTGGTGTGAAAAACAATCTCTCAAGACGGCGATGAGATTGAGAGGACCAAACATACCACTTTCTCCTTCCTGTGAACACTGTTTCTTTTCACACTGCTCTTCGCCGTCCCTTTACTTGTCTTGCTAGTCATAGATCTTCTCCTTTGGCTCTTCAAAGTGTCTTTATCATCCATATGCTTGTTCAGAATATTCATGAGGATATCTCGTTCAGTCTCTCTTGGCCGAGAGACTGGCTCCTGAGGTGAGAAATCCGTGGTGGAAGACATAGTGGCGGATTTTGTTTGTTTGAAGTGAGTGAGGAAAGCAATTGTTCGTGGTGTATAGTAAGGATCTGGAAAACGAAAAGAAAGAGAAGCAAATCAGAGCTCTTATAATTAACAATGAACAATAGCCATTCAGCCCTCCGAGTCACCCCTGACTTCACATCCCGAGTCTTGCCAGTCGGATATCGCAAATTGAACGCCTTTCTGTTTCGAAGATTGAGTAACGTTGCTAGTGCGTGGAAGGTACGTCTATGTTAAGTTTCAAATTCGGTGGAAATAGGCATGGAACAAATCTGCGGAAAAGTCTGGTGGTTACATCCATCGCGGCTTCCTGCATCCATTGTACTCCATCTATTGCTACGGCACTTTAGAGATCAGCAGAATTTGGTAGCAGACTTCCCCATATGACCTTATAAGAATGAAACAACAGATGTAAATATAGAAGACTTAATTTCTAGAAACCCGTGAGGCATTAACGTTTCCTTTACTGCATTTTACACTAAATCTGGTGTATAGTACAATCATTCCTCGAAATTTAGGGCTTTATACCCATGTGTAGATAGTCGTACAGTCATCCACCCGTTGCAAGTGATGCAAACATATATGCCCACCCCGCCGGCCAATAACCATCCGTAACTTTTAGACTCTATGCAAATATCGCTACCGCAATGTTAGATTAAACTGGCTTAATGGCCAGTGATTTTGCTCAGCAAGCTTCCGGCTTTTCCTTGTTTCTGTTGATCAAAAACGCCCAAAAGACTCTTCCACACCTGACCAGGCTCTTGACTGGCATCGATTCCCTTCCAAATGCCAGTTTTCTGGTAATATCCAACAACAGGCGCGGTCTGGTCGTGATATGTGACAAGTCGCTTCTTCAACGCTTCGGCATTGTCGTCAGATCTTTGTACTAATGGCTCGCCAGTGATGTCGTCTTTCATGTTCTCCTTTGGTGGGTTGAAAATCTTGTGATATGATCGACCAGACGCTGGGTGGATCAGACGACCTGTGATCCGCGATACAAGAAGTCCGTCGTCAATCTGAAGCTCTACGGCGTGTTGAAGAGGCTTGTTGCGCTCATTCAACATCTGATCTAAACGCTGCGCTTGTACAACCGTTCTTGGGAATCCATCAAGAATGAAACTGCTCTTGTTAGCTTAGCTCCGGAAAAATTAACGAATGGCTGAACCAACCCTCCTTGACACTCAGCATTGGTCTCAAGCTCCGCCTTGATCATACCGATCACAATCTCGTCGCTGACAAGTCCACCCTGATCCATGATCTTTTTGGCTTCCCGTCCTAGCGTTGTCTTCTTTGCGACCTGCGAACGTAGCATGTCCCCGGTGGCCTATTAGACATGTTAAAACTCGGAATTTCGCGTTTAGAAGCTCAGTATTCAACGTACCAAATGGCAGCACGAGAACCTCTCCTTGATCTTTGGAGCTTGGGTTCCCTTGCCTGTTCAATCCTCATTAGCCGGTGGTATACTCGTACCGATCAAAACATAAACATACCTGCACCCGGTGGGCCCATCAAGATCATTCGAACTCCTTCAGCTGCTGGTGGAGGAGGGCCCCCTGCCTTGTGCTGAATGCCATCTTCGAGTTTCTTGATCCGCGACTGAAGATCTTGGATCGAGTCCAAGATCTTCTGCGCAACGTCGTCGCCAATTGGGGCCATTGTGTACGGAAAAGAATCGCGACGACCTGACCGAGGTGTAGGGGAGGATTAGGAGAGAATAGGAGGCGGGCCCGTGTGGTATAAGACTCGACGTTGTGTTCACAACAAGTAGAAAGCGGAGGAGGTGTTGATTTAAGCAGATGAAAGCTAGCTATGAGCGGGTCTCTTTTGGAGCTCGGCTGCTGACCGGACTGGGAATGACCGGGGGTACTTCCTGTAGGCCGAGAGAAGACTTCAGAGCCGATCAATGGGTGAAGCTATTTCCAGAAGTAGGAGAGTTTCTGCAAGAGGAACAGAAAATAAATTCATCAAAAGAAGATATTGTCTTCAAACCTTTAGGGAAGGCTGAATCGTACAATTGTTTCCCAGGTATTATAAGCATAATTTCACGTGATACGGTGTTCCTTCCCGGCGCTAGTGAAGCTCTCCCATGGACGCCGCGTTGGAGCGCAGCAGCCTCGAGCTCAACACCAAAATCGCAAACCGCAAACCGCCTCAAATACCCATCCCAAAAATCCAAACCTCATCATGCCCGCCACTACAGCAGAAACTCTCTCTCTCGTCACAAGAAATGTTTCTGTAGCTCCTCTTGTTCTTCTTTCTGCAGCAGATCATTATGGCCGTTCAGCGAAGGGGACAAGGAAACGTGTAGTGGGTGTACTATTAGGACAGAATGACGGAAAGAACGTACGGGTATCAAACAGTTTTGCTGGTATGTGAGGGCGTACATTTGCCGTGCTGTAGCTCCAGATGGACAGTTATATTAAAAGGATGGCAATTAACATGATGTGTATTTAGTACCATTCGAAGAGGATGACAAGGACCCTTCAGTATGGTTTCTGGACCACAACTACGTCGAATCGATGAATGATATGTTTAAAAAGATCAATGCGCGAGAAAAGTTAATAGGATGGTACCACTCAGGACCGAAATTGAGAGCGTCTGATTTGGAGATCAACGAGTTGTTCAAGAGATATACGCCGAATCCGTTACTGGTAATCATCGATGTTCAGCCCAAGGAATCCGGCGTACCAACAGATGCATATTTTGCGGTAGAGGAAATTAAGGATGTAAGTTTCTTTTAGCGGGAATGCAGCAACAATTTCCTAATGCCCATTTTAGGATGGCACTACAACAACCAAAACATTCGTACACACACCGTCTATCATTGAAGCTGAGGAGGCAGAAGAAATTGGTGTCGAGCACCTGTTGAGAGACATCCGAGATGTTGCAGTTGGGACGTTGTCAACCAGAATTACATCACAACTTCAGTCCTTACAAGGACTTCACCTACGATTACGAGACATCGGCCAGTATTTACAGAAAGTACTTGATGGAACACTTCCTGTCAACCACGCAATTCTAGGCAATCTTCAAGATGTTTTCAATCTGCTGCCCAACCTCTCCACACCAAAAACCTCTTCGCACATTCCAAACGGCATTGATGCGCCAGTGAAGAACGATAGCGAATTGGCTCATGCCATGAGCATAAAGACCAACGATCAACTCATGGCCATTTATCTGAGTAGTTTAATCCGTGCCATTACCGCATTCCACGATTTGATCGAAAACAAGATCCAGAACCGACAGCAGCAGGAAGAGAAAGAGGCGAAGAAGGACGAAGGCAAAGAAGACGAGAAGAAGAAGTCAAGTGGGACAGATAGCGTTAATGGTGTTGCGGGAGCCAAAGAGGCAGAAAAGGAGAAAGAGGAAAAGGATAAAAAGAAGTGATGAGATACGATTAGTAGCGGCGTTGACCTTCTTGCGAATGGTGTTTATGGGGCATGAAAGAGCGGCATGGCTGGTATATTTTTTTCAGATACATGGAAAAAAGCTTATGACATTGTACCATAGATTTCTAACTTGCGGCTCATTGAAGCTATGCGAGTTGATTCAAATTTGTTTGTCTTACTAGATGTGAAGCCTTCTCTTTTTATTATACACTTAAATCCTGATTTCTGGGCGTTAAAACCGTTTCCCGTACGTTTTGCACAACACCATCTCCTATAACTCCTCGGTATCTCAACAACCGTCCATGAACTCCTAAGAAACCCAATCATTCTCCCAAATCCCTAACGTCCTCATTTCTCGATTCCAATCTCTTTCGATATCAAAACTCACTCCCCACCCAACCCCGCCATCTCCTCCCTTCCAACCCTCCTCTCCTTCACCATTCCCCCAAGCACATCCCCCCACCGCTCAACTAGCAAACAAGCAAGTAAATGCTTACACACAACTACTCCTTCATCTTGACTTAGACCGCCAAATTCCCACCCATCACGTTCCATTTTCTCCTCAGCGCCGTTGGAGTTGTGAGGTGGATGCTCCCATGGTTTAATCGTAGCACCGTAAGAAGGGAACGCACTAAACGTAAACGCCGCACACGTACAATTCCACGCCTCAAGACGGACGTGGTAGATTTGTGTTGTGGAAGAGGAGAAACGTTTTTGGGGCTGGGAGGATGAGACTGTGTAGATCTCATTCCTCTCCTGACGTTCTAGTGCCCGTTGATTTTCTGACGTGGGTTCTTGTGACGGTAATTCTGAGGTCGTTTGCATAACTCTGGTAACTAAACCGCGGTCCAATAAGTCTAGAGCTTGTAATAACATTCCTGGGGGAAGGAGGACGTGGAGGGTTGAGAGGATTTTGCGGTGGGAGGGCGGGAGGTGTTTTAGAGGGTTTGTGTTTGTGGACTGGATTTGTGGTGGTGGTGTTTGTGGAGATTCGGTGAGAGTGTTTATTAGATTCGTGATGAGTTGGCGGGGCGTTGGGAGGGTGGACATTTTTGAGGCAGTGAGTGAGTAGATGCGTGGATAAGCTGAGAGTTCTGTTTGTGTGCTTGAGAAGAGTGGCTTGATCGAGTTACATAGTGGGGTGTGAGCTTTAAAGTTGTTATGAGATATTGTGGTTTCAAAAGAAGATGAAGATGGAAAGAATATAGAGGAGTCTAGGTAATGCGCCTCGCTAAGAAAGGGGAGTGAAAATGAAATCGAGTTCGGACTTAGATACGAGAACTTTTGGAATTTGCCAGTGAATTTGGTAATACTAGAATTCGGATTTGTTAGCTCTCGAACGGTATTGGCTGTGTAGAAATCCAAGGTACGAAAGTAGTGAGTAATATACTGTGTCCAAGCAAGGAATTTAGAACCTTGTTTTGAATGATCTTTTCGAGTGTTCATTTCAACTCCCCTCTTTTTAGTTATTCTACATAATTTACACCATATTTACAATCCGCTCCAGCTCTAAGATTCCATCATACCCACTCCTTAGGTTCCCTCAAAACGTCCACAAGCCTCTGTTCTCGACTTCCCTTCTCAGGTTCATACATATATCTCCAACTTGCCGTCAGTGGCAAGCTCATCAAGATACTCTCAACTCTTGCACTGGGGGTGTTCAACCCAAAAGCGGTACCTCTATCATGCACCAGATTAAACTCTACATATCTTCCCCGTCTAATTTGTTGCCATTCCTTCTCCTTCTCTGTGTATGGCATATCTTTCCGCTTGTTGATGATGGGAATATATGATGGTAAGAAAGCTTTTAAACAGCTCTGAGCGAACGCGAATGTGTTCTCCTGGTCCTTCTCGTGCTCATCTAGGTCATCGAAAAAGATTCCTCCAATTCCCCGCGATTCATTACGGTGCTTGTTGTAAAAGTATTTGTCACACCACGCCTTGAACCTAGGGAAATAATCCTTGTCGTGTTTGTCGCAAGCTTCTTTGATTGTCTTGTGGAAATGAATCGCATCTTCATCGAATAAGTAGCTTGGGGTGAGGTCAGTTCCTCCTCCAAACCACCATGCGTTTGCTGTTCCGTCTGGATTTTCCGTCTCGAAGTATCGGTAGTTGAGGTGTACTGTAGGTGCCATTGGATTGACTGGATGTAAAACCATACTTAGGCCCGCCGCAAAAAAGTCCAATGATTGTATGTCTGCATCAATAGCCTTGTGATTGACCCTCATTTTCTCGATAGCTGGCCGTGGTAAAGTTCCATAAACAATGCTGATATTGACTCCGGCTTTCTCAAACACATTTCCATCTTGGAGCACACTGGAAATACCGCCGCCACCATTTTCTCTCGTCCAAGTGTCTATGCGAAATTTCTTGCCATCTATAGCTTCCAATTCCTTTACGATTTCTTTCTGTTGTTGTTTTATGAAGTCTTCCATACGCAATCGCATTGGTGAATTCTCTGTGACACCACTTTCTCGTTTCGCGAGACTGTCTCTCTCTGCTATCGTCGGCGCATCAAGCTTCGCAGGTTCTTCTGTTGCCTATAAATTCTAAGCACAATTCTTGAAATTATCATAGGCCATCAGAACCTACCATTGAGCGTATCAAGAGTCCTATAAATATAACACCAACTACAATTCTTGTCTTCGCAAACGGAACTGGCTTGAGGGGAGCGGCAGATTTTCGAGCTGTTGGGTCGCCTTTCGGGTTCGGTGGAGGAGTTTGAATGCCTCTTCTCTGCTGCAAAAGATATCTTTGAGCTCTAGGAACCGTCCTCAAAGTTCTCGAGCTCGACAGGCGCAAACATGATCTTATAGAAGAAGACATATTGGTGGAGGGACGAATTGGAAAAGAAACCGCGGCCGAGCGTTAACTTCAAATTATCATACAATAAACGTGAGACCACAACTCCGAAGTGAGGTGATTCTGGAGAGGAATGATCGGAAAGGAGCGTGGTTTGAGCGGGTAGTTGTGGTGAGAAGAGGGGACCGTTCGATCGTGTCATTATTTTGGGTGATGACAGGGTTCAAAGCCGAACGTCGCAGCTGCAGGTGGTCCGGGGGCTTCTTGGGCCAGCCACAGTGGCTGGTGTGAGTGGATAAAGAACCTCACCGGACGCAGCACCACGGATTCGGAGTGATTCGACAAGGCAAACGCATACTCAGACATTGGCAGTTTATAACGACATTGAACCTACTAAACACCTAGTCACGCTCTACGTGTCTCAACTAGCTTGCCGTTTTGATCACATATTCATCTAATTCCACGTGACGATTTCACCACCGTGTGACTGGAGGGGCTTAGCGGGTGAGTCTCGGATTCCCCAGCGGTGAATCAGCAGCTTGTCTACCTAGAAGAGGCGGGGAACAAGTACAAAGACCAGCACTCCAACCTTCTACAACACCATCATCGACTCCATCATCCTCGCACAACACCCAAGTTCTCCGAACACTAGATACCCTTTACTCCACCACTTATCAACACCATCAATATGCGATCCAAGTTTAAGGACGAACATCCCTTCGAGAAGCGCAAGGCTGAAGCCGAACGCATCGTAAGCTCCCTCCCCATCCCACATTGTGCAGCATAGCAGAACTAACATCCTCCAGCGTCAGAAGTACTCCGATCGTATCCCCGTCATCTGCGAAAAGGTAGAGAAATCTGACATCGCGACCATCGACAAGAAGAAGTATCTGGTGCCAGCGGACCTCACCGTCGGTCAGTTCGTCTACGTAATCCGCAAGCGCATCAAGCTCTCCCCCGAGAAGGCCATCTTCATCTTCGTCGACGAGGTGCTTCCACCTACAGCCGCGTTGATGAGCTCCATTTACGAAGAGCACAAGGACGAGGACGGGTATGTATACCTTATTTCTTCACCTTCCGTTTGCGGCTTTGACTTCAGCTGGAAGAGCGGTGGCGGGGTAATAGGCACATCAAGCTGACAAAAGCAATAATAGGTTCCTATACATTTCATACTCTGGTGAGAACACTTTCGGTTCATTCGAAGAGGCCTCGTAAGCTCGCATTCCGACACGATGACGACCATACCAACCCCCGACGCTCTCTCTATCTGTTATCTCTGGCTGGCGTTTCGGAACATTCACGGCGGCTATGAACGGACTTTGGAAATTTAGCGACACGACGACACCACAGAGACTCGACCCTAAACTTGTGCAACAATATTAAATGGCAGTTTTTCTTTTCATTTTGTTCCTTCAGGTTCTGCGAATACTCTGGGACGGGGAAGTGGAGGGCCACCGAAGTGTGATGATATGAGGCGGTACCAGCAGTTTGCTCGGCGACCTTTCAGGTCCAGGAGGATTAGGTCACCCGGGCAAGGCAAGGAATCATATCAATTATGAACTGGGTATGAACTGTTTGTTGGTATGCTGCACTTTGGGAATAGTACAATACGATGCTTTCTGCCATAACGAATTTATAAACTGTTTGTGAGACTTTGATCGTATTAACGAAAATAATATTCTGATTTAGCAACATGACCTAATGTCTCACGATGAGCTGATACGTGACAGCACACCATCCCAGACACCAACAGCAAACATAGATAGACCCAATCTATCCGGTAATGCAAACTCTCCCATAAACAAAATTTGATAACACCCCACCATAAAGCCTCCGACTCACCAGACAGGCATACAGTGACAGCACGCAGAACGAAGTCCTGATAGGCTCACTCATCCATGACTACATTTGGCCGTCCCTTACGTCTGAGAGATCCCCTTTTAAGAGATCCAAAGAACCTGCTGATCTTCTTCCGGACACTTCTGTTTCTTGGGAGGTCGACAGATAGAACATCTTCTTTCCCAGCTTCAAAAGAGCTTTTGCCAACGTCAGAACTAATTGCATTGTCGTGAGCGTCTACCAATTCGATATGAATACTGGTCGCCAGATTTTGTCGAATGTGGTCTGGTTTGCTTGCACTGACTTTTCTCAACACAACATGAACTGAAGTTGTCGAGCTCTCGGACAGGATGCTACACATTGAGGGCTTTTTAATGACGGGTATCGTATTAGTATTGCGTGCTGTTACATTCTCTTTTCGCTGATTCGGCAGAAGATCCCTTTCTATACAAACAGCAGAGTCCCTGTGCTGTTCATCATCCCCAGTCTTATAGTTTTCGTGTGTCTTCGGAGAACTAACAGAACGTCTTTCCAGAACTTGATAGATATCCGATATCTCTTTTGCAGCTTTCTGGGCTTTTTCATAGATATCAGGAGTGTCGTACAGAACTCGGTTTTTGACACTGGAGTCAACCGCCTGGTCAGGGATTGGCAAGACCGCACCGGGATCTTTTCGTTTGGTAATAGAAATGGCTCTGTCTTCGTAACAACGCCAATTATTATCCACGTAATGTTGGTACTCGATCCCATCATAATATGGTACACTCGTGCAATCCGAGATACTGCTTCCTAGGTCCCAAGTGGTGGGATCGTTCGCCCGAGGATACTGAGATGGAGACGAATAATCGTAGAAGGGTTTCCCCTCCCAGTCCGTTCTATCGATGAAGGGATCGTCGTGTGCTACCCGCTGGCGATAGACAGGTGCAGTGCGAACTATAGAGAGTTTATTCAGATGCTCCTTCTCCGGCTCCCCATAAGAGGGCAATTCGACATTGTCATGATCGTAGTCCTCGGATCTCCATATCACACGGGACTTAGTAGTCCGTGACAGCCCATCCTCGAGCTTGTCCGTCGACTTGTCCATTGATTTCATCTCCTCAAGCTTTAGCTGAAGGTGTCTGAGCTTCTCAGCTATCTCCGCCTTGAGATAATCCACCTTGGTCTGACGACAATTCGGTTTCCGACTGTCGTTGATTGTTTTTGACGGTGCAATCGTTTCTTCCAACTCTTGAAGCGTAACACAGCTTGTGATGTAGTCATACTTTTCCACGATAGACATGGATTCAAGTTCCCGACGTTGTTGGGCTGTAAAGTTGAGGGTTTCCATGGCAGTTATGACCCGACTCTCAATCAATTTATAGCTTTGAATGAATTCCATTTGCTCAGAGTGATCCATAAATTCAATTTCATCAAGGAATTTCTCCTTCAGTTCACAAAGAGATATACCAGCTTCGACCAAATCTCTGTTTACCTGGGTCCAATTTGCTACAGTCCGATGAATGATTGGCGAAATGTTGCTCTGAAGCCAATTTGAGATGTCTTCATCGCGATTGGAGACCAATGATGCGAACTCTGACTGGGTTAGGCTCGCCGGATTCAGGAAATGTCTTTCGAGCATGCGGCTCGCCCTGTCCCAAAGGAGGCCCTGCCGATCCGCGTAGTTTTGACATGCCAGAGGACAAGGTTTATCCTCTCCTAGATCAACCGGGTCGGTGTCTACAGAAAAGTATTCTTGATCAAAGCTAGAGTTCTCGCCCGCAGGCAGATGGCGGATGATCGGTGGGCTTATAGGAGGTGTCTTTGGGAGTTGTCCAGTAGGCAGTTTTGACTTCGTTTTGTCAAAAGATCCCTCTGGTAGAGGTGTTCCATTCAAAGAAGATGTGACACGATGGATTGTTGAGGTGGTGCTTGAGTCAGCAGGCAAGCTAAATACAAGGTCCGGATGGTGGTTGGAAGGGGAGAAGTTGGGTTCTGGACGCGACCCCGGCACCATAGAGTCACTCGGAGAGAACTTAAAGGCCTCCTCGTTATGATTTGAAGACGAAGGTGCGGCACTTTCCAAGACTGACCTAGCAGGATAATATCAATATGGAGTACATCATTACGAGCGCATGGCCACTCACAGCTTCGAAGGCTTTCTTGAGCTCAGAACCCAGAGATTACCTGCCGTAGCACAAGCAGAATTCGACCCGGACGATGATTTGTACGCTCTAGAAAGGGTATTTGGTCGTGTAGGGGGGGTTGGCGAGATGCCTGGACTTGTTTCGCTGCTGTTTTCATCGTTTCGAGTGCTCTCGAGAGTGATCTTGTGGCGCCGGCGACGGGGCGTATGGCTTGCTGATTTTACCGACGGGTCGAAAGATAACTTATGAGGTCCGTAGCGCTCATTATGCTCAGGATCGTATGATTTCCTCCCACCAGACAGGCCGCCAATAGATTTTGAATGATTGAGAGTGCGAGGTAGAACGGCTGAGCTTGGGAACCGAGACTGCCATTCCATCATGCTCCAACTCCTATACCCGTCCATGGTAGATGACGACGGCTCGTCGAGAAATATATGTATTTGTAAGGTGATGATGAACCTATAGAATACAGAAAACCAGATGATAGCCAATACTGGCACCACACGAATGGGATGAAGGTTGTTGACATCAGAAAAGTAATTTGGAAAGGCGACAGAATGTCTGGGTGTTTCTTTCCCAGAGGCTTCTGCGGGAAACACCTTCCTCCATTGTTTTAGACGTTCTTAGTCGAGTCGGCTTTCCGTATGCCAAGTCTTCTACGATTTACTATTAGCCATTGCCTACATACTGCCGACCAATTTGCTTACCGTAATCCAGCATCAATTGTGGTTTGGGTAGAACGACCTTGCTCTTTCTCCTCTCTGTTGATTCTAGTCGCAGCAGCTCCGAGGCCAATGAACATGGCGAAGATGGGGTCACCAATTTTGGAAATGATGTAGGTAGGGGCAGGCATCTTGGATTTGGTAAGGAAGAGTGTGTGTTTGGTTGTAATTGTCGATTCTTGAACACTAACAACTTTTCGAGCTTGAACAACTTCAGGTCCAGGACTCAGGAGTGGCCCAAGCTCCATCTGTAATCAACGATCACATGACAACGCCCCCTTTTGTTGATGCTATTTCCGATAATGGTTCAAATATGTAAAGTAGTGACATGAATTATATGATAATTTTGAGTGGAGGTAGCTTAAATCTCATAGCTTGAGCGTAGCAATCTGCGTATATTTACAAATAGAGTATTATATATTTCTACCATATGTAACGCCGTACTTTTCCAACCCATAAACCGATCCTCCAGGTACACCATAAGACCCTAATTACCCTACATTACTTGGACAGAGCAGAATCGAAAGCTGGAATCAAAGTTTGTGCGAGCCAGAATGAGAAGACCAGTTTTGGACCAGTCATCAAAAGCTATAAAAATGTTAGTAATGAACTGACGAACGGAACAAGAGAGCACAAACCTTTGGTACCAAGCCCTTAAAGAAACTCGATGGACCTTCGTTCTTCATCATGCTGCTAACGATTTTGAAACCGCTCTCGGGGTTCTCGAAATTTCTGTTCTGAATTCGGGTCTTGATAACATCAAGGGGTGCAGAGACTAGCAACGAAGCAGATGCTCCAGCGATGGAGGCAACAAAGTTTTGGAACCAGGATGCCTTATTATAATCTGACAATCCATAGAGATAACCTTTGGTGAACGCGGAACCACCGAAGAGCTATCGTCGGTTAGCATACAAAACACATGAGGCAATCAGTTGGCACATACGGCGAATGATCCTGGGGCGTTTCTGGCCGCAGTCCATTGCCAACCTCTGTATAACCCAAAGCCCTCATCTCTAACAATCGCAACTACGCCTCGACCACGGAATGCCTCGGGATTTGTTTGACGCTTGATCTTGAGCACATCCAATGGAAGAAGGACGATCTCTCCAATACCAATTATGCTACCAAATTATCAGTTACCATGAAGCTGTCTCCACCGAGAATTGTTCTCACCTTCCAGCAAATGAACTCATCATAGCTTTGCCAGTCTTGTCTCCAAATGTGTTTGTGAAGGTCGTACCGTGGTTTTTGGCAAGATAGTCTCGCACGAATGGCTGACCGCCATACTTGTAGATTCGTTGAAGAACCTACATCGTGTCAGTTGAAAATCTGGAAAATTAATGGCATATAACTACCTTATATCCAGCTGCATATCCTAGTCCAGGAAATAGCGAAAAGAACTTCTTTCCTACAGGTGCGGCGGCCTTGTCCTTAAAGATAACAGTGTTCAATTGTGTTGCGTTGATAATCTGATTGAGTGATCAGCGATTGGCTCGGACCACAAGAATTACCGTAGTATTTTTCATGATATTACCTTTCCCTGGTTGCTCATCAATCGTTTTGCGATAGTATCGACCTTCATTGCGTAAGTTGTCATTCATATCCATCCGACGTCGAATAGGAGCATACAGGATGGAAGACGGCCAATTCGGCAATACCGGCAGAACCTGACATTATTAGTATGAGGCATATCTCAAATCCCAGACATCAATACATACCAGAACCTAATAAACGTGCCACCGTTGACTCTTTCTTGAATGATGTGCCCGAGGCTGGCCCAACTGCTCCGGGTGACATGATTGCGAGAAGATTGGAATTGCTGAAATCAAAAAGGAAGAGTAACAAGCCGTAAGAGATTGAGAAAACGAAGAGGCCGCAGAAAAAAAAGCTGAGAAGAAAATCCAATGCAGTTCCTCTACAAGAATCCACTGGTCAAAAAAAGTCTCCTATGCGCGTGTATGATTGCGTTCGAAAATCTGCGGGTATGGTCCGAGCTTCGGAGCACCCCTGCTCAGTCAGTTTAGTCAATCCTCGGCGACATATGCCTAGGTGTACTTCGTCTCCCCCCGAACAAACCACAGTGGGGCGTCTGTGCTCCATTTACAGACTTTACTTGTTATAGTAATAAATAGTAGATTCTAGGCTTACTATTGGCTTAACACCCTGTATTATCGTATTTTCTAGAAGAAGCACAGGCGCCCCACTGGGGTTTGTTCTGGGTTTTACGAAGTACAAGTAGTTGACAAACTATTTTTGGAGACAAGTCTACTTAAACTATTATCGCGATCGCAATCTCTGCTGAGGTAAAAGCTGGGTATAGGTACTGCACAACCATTTCTGATTATTTAAATGAGCAGATACCAAGCCAACTTACGGAGGTAGTATTGAAGGAGTATAAAATGCACTCCGACACAAAACTCAGTCAAATGTAGTGTAAGAGTCGTTTCATGCTACAAACGACTTTACTCTGTATCTTCTATCCTAATCAAAACACTTCTAAAATCGTCAAGATATTAATCCAAAAGAGTCTATCTACAAGGTCGGATGAATGGAGCAACTGTGTTCAACAATCCAGATCAAAGATGCAAGCATAGGCTCGCAACTAAGGAGGAAGCTTTCGATATAGCTAAAAGATCATGCAACATACAAGATCAAGCTTTACATGTCTCATCATCGTGTCCAAAGAACATACAAGCAAATCTATGGTATCACAAAGCCATCCAAGATTGGCAGGAAATGAATCCACCGCCCATTCCTGCACATTATAACGCCGATTGCTAAAGATGCCGCAAAACCAGATGACGCCCACCCATATGCAAATGATTCGCGACCATTCCCGCCCTGTACTTTTATGAATATCCACAAGCCCTTATTTCGTGCAGGTATTATTTAATAATCTCGGAAAATGCCTATTAGTTCGTCCAACCGACCTACTTGACCCATCAACATCGCCTCTTTACGCCTGATGTTTTGTAGATCTTTATATTGATGTGGTTCGAGATACGCCTCCGGATCAGCATGCCGTAAATCAGATCGTTCAATAAGCTCGAGGATCGTTTGTGCACCTCTCCGTTCGTGGGCTAGTCGTTGAAGCAGCCTGGACATGGCTTTAAGCACCCTGTCCACGAGCACCTGGAGGACTCGATCGCAATCATAAAACCATAGGAATATTGTCCTAGTGTTTCCGTTATTCCGATTCGCGTCCTTTGGCACTTCTTGAATCTCGACTATACCAGCCATTTGCATCTCGGCTAACTTCGTTCGAACATCTTTCTGTTTGATCAAAGCCGCCTTTTCTAGCGCCTTCTCATCGATTTTTCCATACTTCTTGAATATGCGAACCATACGAAGAGCCTTATCCCCAAACATGTCGAGCAGCAACTGGTCAGTTTCTGCCTCTCGCATGTATTCGATCAATGTCTCAAAATTGACGCTGTATCCTCCGCCTCCATTTAACGCACTTTTGTAGAGAAATGGACAATCGTTGTGCTGCAACAACTCGATGTGATTCCTGACTTCGCGGACACGGCTGGCCTTTTCTTCTGGCCCCGCGTGTCGAGATACGTGTTCGTCTTGAAAAGTAACTTTCTGGCGCTTCGTCGTTCTAACTGGCGAATGCCCAATCGGATCATCACTCTCCTCCTCAGAATGGTCATCTATATTCACAGCATGTCCGTTCCCGTTCACGCCATTTGAATATCCATTGATATTTCCGCTGTCCTTTACATCAGGTGCCGAAACACCATTTTTTCTAGGTTGATGGAGTTTTTCAACTTTTACGTTGTCAGCTCGAGCCGAAGAAAGTTTTCCAATACCGAACCCAGGATCAACATTCTTGTCCAAAGTTGCAGCAATCTGCTCGATAGTGGCGGTTGGACCCGAATCCTCTTCAGAATCAATATCTGGCCGACATCGGGCGAGCCTAGGTTCAAGGAGGTTGAGAAACTGAGCATAAATCTGTGAGGTAGTCTTCCCTATCTTATGCTTTGCCAATTCCACAAGCTGGGCGTTGCGGAGTATGACTGTGCACTTTTCGTAATTAACACGAATTACTAGATCGGCCTACTCTAAATTAGCAGACTGATCAGATCATTAAGACAATCCTTAAACATACGTCAAGATAAGACCCGTCGTCCTCGTAGTTCGATTCTCCATTGGCAGCCCCGGAGGACAGCCGACGTCGCTTGCTCGCTCCATTAACTCCGTTTGCGTGATCACCATTGAATGGCCTCTTCCTTGGGTGTGGGCGCCATTCAGTTCCTTCCCTTCTGAGATCGCGAATTTTGTGTTTGAGCCTATTTGCGATCTCGATTTTCTGCTTAGCCGTCCTCACGCCTCCAGATGATTCTCTAGCCAGTTCTTTCTCAAGTTCGTCTTGTATGTCTGCAGGGCTTCTGAACATGCTATCTACGACACGCTCTATAAGCCCAGCATTGAACAGTCTTGCTAGGGCGGTATGTATTTGTCCTGAGCTGGCAGAAATAGGGTCAGGAATCTGGGTATCAGAACGTATTTCCGTAACTCCATTGAGATCGCCGTTTTCGTCTGACTGCGCAGCCTCCTCTTGTTCTTCTTCTTGTTGTCTCTGTGCTTCCTCGCGCGCAAGCTGCGCCAACCTAAATTGCTCTTTCTTTTGCGCCTCGTAAGCGTCGAGAAGGTCTGAGATTTTGGTGTGACCTAACAACAGCAGGTTATGGACTATTTCTCGAGCAAGTACTCCATGCCTCGTTTCAACAAAGCTCATGATCTTTCCTGACCGGAGGAGCGCGTATGCCGCATTATAATTCGCTTCATAATGCGTCACGCCAGTGACTGAATCGGTGTGATGATATATTAAATTCTGCTGCACAAGAACTACGAGACCATGCCGAAGTTGTTTGGGGGTGAGTCGAGTGTGTCGCGCTAGGGTAGGGATAGGTAGTCTTCCTCGGCGAAGCAAGATGGTGAAGATGCGCTGCGTCAGATGTCAGTTTAAATTGACTTCAATTGAGTAGCCTTGGCCTGAATGATGGAAATGCAAAGCATAAAAGGGAATTATCTTATTGTTAAGATACAGTACGTACGGAAGCCAATTCGCCATATGTTTCGTGGACAAGAAGAGCGCAGAGCTCGACCATGCACTGAGACTGTTTCAATGTCAGTTAATAGCTATCCCCACTGACTCCTCCACGGCCAGGCTGAACAGAATATGTAGCAGCATACCTGAGACATTTCACTGCTACTAGAGACTATTGCGAGACCTCTAGAGCTTCCACAGATGCTACCGGTGCGTCATTGAGGTTTGCAAAAGGTTGCGTCTTGTTGTCGAGGACGAGATAAAATTTAATGTGGTGGGGGACATTTCGAACTTCAGTCCACGAAATGCATGGCTGGCCCGGGCGGGGAGTTTTTCGCTTATGTAATCCGCAATTCGGCTGCTTCGAATTTCTGTCCCTGCCATTGGATGGGGCAGATCCCGACTTCAAAAAGAGCTTCAACGACGACTCAATCTTAGGAAACCAAACCCCCAATCGCACATCCCCTCCGACAATGATCTCACGGTCGGCGATTGGTAGAAATGGGCAGCTTGCCCTCCGCAGGCAATGCTGTGTGAAGCCGACAAACCGACGTGGCCTAGCTGCCGTCTCTTCAGGATCAACATCATTCTCGTATGAGAATGCGGATGTCGGCGGCGTCAAAACTGCCAGCAGAGATGTCGCAGGTCCTACTACGAAACTTGCGGTCATTGCTAAGGCCGGAACGAGATATCAATCGCTGCCAGGTCTTACCGTTGGATTGGAGGGATTTGCATTCAAGGTGAGCCAATTGGATAGGAAGAGACAGTGTTGAATTCGAGATCGGCCGTTAACCTTGTGCGAATGCGCAGAATACCTTCAAACGATCTGCTCTACGAGTAACGAGAGAATCTGAGCTTCTTGGAGGTCAATTGACCGCATATCACACCCGCGAATCTCTTGTCATCGAGGCCAAGTTCCTGCGAGAAGATCTGCCATATTTCACGGAACTACTTGGGGAGGTTGTTAGTCAGACCAAGTACACTGGTAGGTTGAAGCTGTATGCTTTTGGCGAGACTCTTTGCTGACGAATAATCCGTAGCTCACGAATACCATGAGGAGATCGAGCCACAGATAAAGCTTGCCCAGAAGAAGCTCCTCGGTAGTGTGTCTGCTCTCGCTCTCAACTCAGCACACTCCGTTGCATTCCACCGAGGTCTAGGGACGCCGCTATATCCTTCGTCCTCTACACCTCTTAACAAGTACCTGAATGAGGAGTCAATTCGTGACTTTGCTCAATCCGCCTATGCCAAGTCAAATATTTCAGTTGTCGCGAACGGAGCCAGCCAGCAGGAATTGGCCAAATGGGTCGGCGAGTTCTTTGGAGACGTTCCAGCGGGAGCAAGCCCATTGTCAGGCGAACCAACGAAATACTTTGGAGGAGAAGAACGTATTGCCCACGGATCAGGAAACTCAATGGTCATCGCTTTCCCTGGATCCAGCTCTTTCACTTCCGGTAGCTCATACAAGCCAGAAATTGCTGTTCTTGCGGCACTTCTAGGAGGACAATCAAGTATCAAATGGAGTCCTGGATTTTCCCTTCTGTCCAAGGCCGCTTCCTCGTTCCCTGGCGCAAGCGCTAACACTACTCACTACTCCTACTCCGATGCTGGACTGTTGACTGTCCAATTCAGCGGTTCAGCAAACGCCATCAGCAACGCTTCCAAGGAGGCTGTCAAGTCACTCAAGAGCATCTCTGAGGGATCCATCAGCAAAGAAGACTTCACCAAGGCCGTGGCTCTTGCGAAATACCGCGCGCTGGAAGAAGGCCAGAACATCGAAGCCGGTCTTGTGGCAACTGGTGCTGGTCTCGTCCATGGTGGACAGCCGTTCCAGATTGACCAGGTTGGTAAGAGTGTTGAGGCTGTCAGCGCTGATAAGTTGCAAGCGGTAAGTTGTGTCAATTTCCCCCCCTCATTGCACGGTTAATCTAACATTATTCATAGGCTGCAAAGGCGCTGTTGGAGGGCAAAGCAACAGTCTCATCTGTTGGAGATTTGTATGTTCTGCCATTTGCGGAGGATCTTGGACTCAAGGTATAGATGGTTGGATATTAGGTGGGACGGGGTGGGTTGTATCAACAGCTCCTAGAGTGTATTGTAGATATGGAAGTTTTTTATATTCTTACTCAGAGGTCCGTCGGCAATGAAGCGAAGTTACAAGATTCTGGTTTTGATCGTCTCAAGATTTGTATATCAATCTGTACAGAGCACGGTGGAGTACATGCAACCTCCAGTGCACAGTGAAAACAGCACTGATCACGTGATGACGACATTTTGTGCTGTTTGCCTTAGGCCTCAAAATTGTTCCAGAACCTCAATTTCTGAGCTCGACTCCTTCAACCATATTCACATCAATCCACTGAACTCTCTCGACCAACATACACAATGGCATTCGCGTGGAAAGCTTCGGGTCTCACGTACGTTTTGATTTCCAACAACCACATTAGGCGATCCCAATCGCCCAAGGAAATGGTGCTAACTACCTTCTCTACAGCTACAACAAATACCTCTCGGTCGCCGCACGAGTCGTCCGACGAAGCTTGAAAGATGACAAGAGATTGGCAGCCGAGCGAAGAGGGGAGATGGAATTGAGATTCGCCAAATGGACAGTAAGTGTGGCCGCTGAATCGCTCGTCCCCCGGTGAGCTGCCGATGGAATTTGACTGACGGGAATTGGTGCAGAACGGAAAGCAAGGCGACATGAAGAGCGTTGCGGATGCGAATGCTGCAGCTGCGGTCGAGTCAGCGTCTTCATCGTAAATTTGATGCTTAAGAACACGAGGGAAACCGATGGCATGGTTGAGAAGCATGGTTGAGGGAAGGGTCGCAAGGACGACATTGTACATTTGTATCATTGAGGATCGGGAGAATGAATCCGAAACTTAAAAATAGACCATCACACTTGCAAAACTCTTTGGCCATGGGGTTAAAATCCCAGAAACCATTTTCTTACCGAGCCTTGCTGTCTCCTAACCAACTGATTCACCTATGAGACTAGACATAAGATTCGTAGTAGGCATTACACCAAAGATAACACTAAAACATGTGTGTGAAGTGAACACGGATTGATGCCAGACTACTGTATGCCATTGTGCAAGTATTTAATGAGAGTTCAGATGTGAGAAACGTAGTCTGAGCTGTCAAAGGCATTGCTCTGCGACTTTGATGCCCAAGCGAAGACGCCCGATTGCTAAATTTCACTCGTTCCTACAGTTCCCACTTAACACAAATCAACATCAAGAGTTCTCTGCGCCACGATGCATGGCAATGGCAATGATCAGATCACAAATGATGTTATCGAGCGTAAGTGCCACCCTGAGTTTGCTAAGCAATAATTCTGACATTTTTCGTCAGAGGTAGCCGCTCTGGATGTGGAGGATGGACGAGAGCCCAACCCATCTGCTGCAGCCTTTGCGGCATGGAACAATGAGCCTCCCCCAGCGCCGACGCTGAAAAGTGACGGCGTTATTGCGACGGATATCACAGAGGCCTTTACTCATGCCGCTCAACGTATGTCATGGTCAACACTTCCTTCAAAAGGATCACGTGTTGATAGCAGTAGAACTCGATGTTGGGCAACTGGTGAAAGATGAATTGTTTACTTTATTCGAGGCTGTTGGAGCTTTGGAAGTAAGGGATTTGTCTAGATTTGATGGGCTAGCAGAGCTAAACAGCGTAGATCATGGATCCTAAAATGGATAGCGGATACCTAGAACCTGGTGAGACGATGGACGACGACTATGATTTCACGCAACCGTTACTTCCTGAGGAGATTGTAGGCATCATTGACCAGCTGATATGTCATGAGGTATGATATAGCTTCTTCTTCTGCTCAAAATACTGATGTTATTGTAGATGGCTTGGCATATGGGACATCCATTGGGGCAAACCATTTTCACGAGTCTATACATAGACAGATTACTAGATCCATGTCCAACTCAAATCAACGAGACATATTTTGACAGGAGTGAAAGTGCTTCAGACGAACCCTTAACGTTTCAGATCCTTCGGGCGTACTGCCTAGGACTCGTCAAGTCATGCAGCTACGTTAATGAGCGAGTCAAAGCAGAGCATTATTATGAGGTACAAAACGTCCTGCTGACGATGCACCTGTGTGTTGACTGGCTTATAGGAAGAGGACTTTGTCACGCACACTTTCAACCGAAGCCTTCTCGAGAATATTGACATAGACGACGTCCTGCAGCTGCTTTTGGACACAACCAAGCAATTGCAATTGCGTAATGATATATCAGAAAAGCTGAAGCTGGCACTAAGGTGTCGTTTGGAATTCCGTGAGACCTTTCTCCGGACTGTCGAAGAGGCAGACTCAAGGACTTCAGTAGAAAATATCAAAAAGCATTGGCAGAACCTTGAGGGGATATTACCAGCACTAAAGTCATCCGCAAATCTGGCAAAACCAGTGCCAGCATCATTTAGTGCAAAATTACAGCGCAAATTAGCAAGTACAGTACCACCACGTCCCATAGTAGATCTCAATTGGGAAACCGCCTTCGACCATATGGAGAGGCTATGCCGAGATGGTTCTGTAGCAGCTGAGGTCCTAACGTATTACGACTCTCACAGTCTTATGGTAAGCCCCTCACTCCAGTGTTTTCGACTTAGCTAATTTATAGACGTTCGTCGCCTTTTTCCAAGCTCGAAAGCCTCAACCTTCAGTATACATTCGTACATTACTTCAACACTACATCTTTGGAGATATGGTAATCCTTGGCACAATGTCCGTCCGACAGATTCTTGACGATGATCTAGCGACCACTGTTCTACCCGCACATAAACTCCTTGACCGTTCAAACGATGAGATTGAGGTTCCTAGTGATTCTCGACATCAGATGGCGAATCAGATGGAAGTTTTCCGTGCGCGAGCCGCGGGTTCATACTTGGATATTCTCCGAACAATCTGCCAAAACCGGTGTCGCATTCGACGAACATTGTGTCGTCTAATTGCAGACTGGGAAGTTCTCCAACTTGATGCCGAGGAATTAGATGTCGATCTGCGCCAATATACCAAAGAGGAGCCAATCAGGGATAGGGAGATATCCTCTGAGCCTGTATACTCATTTCCGTTGTCCTCTTGGTCATATCTTTACAAGCTTCGCCAGATGGAGTGGCTAGTTCAAATGGGATTCGAGCTTTTCGTGTACCAACCCGACGAGCTCGCAACCATGTATTGGTATTTACAATATCTTGCGAAGACCCGAATGCGACATTTAGAGAGAATTAGAGGATTTAATGTGCGAGCACTGAACGATGCACGTCGGAAGTCACCCCTTTCTGGAGAAGAACAAACCCAATATATCAACGCTTTGTCCTTCATCAATTACTCTACCATGGAGGCTGCTGCAACTTATGGTTTGGCTGATGCATTGTCATGTCTTTTCACGGTACTCAACCGTCTATTACTTATTCCTACGCCTCCGCGGCCATACAGCAACGATCTCTACCGCTATGAAGTGCGAATGAAGCCTTTTCAACCTATCGGTCTTCCTGAGTTGATTCCATACGATGATCTCAAAACCGCAGTATCACAACCGGAAGAGTCATTGAGTGATCTGCTTCGCTATGCAGCTGATTCCGCCGTCGGAGCTAGGAAAGGTTTCGAGGTGATGAGCAAACTGACTGCTAAAGATGCATTTTGCCAAGGCTCATATGATAGCTGGCTAGCGAACATCAAAGATTGCCTGAAAGCATGTATTTTTACTGGCATCACAATCGCAGCGGTCAAAAAAGCAACAGAAAGTACAGGGAAGGAACCTAACGGCATTAAGATTAGAGTGGAGATACCACCTGCCGGTAATGGATATCATGATTGGTGGGTGGTACCGAAAGTCGTTCCTGTGGTATGACACTGTATGTTAATATGTACACTCAACCGATCAGTAATGATATTGTTATAGAATAATAGACATCTTCACTGCTCTAAAGTAACAATTTGATCTGTTACAAAAGTTAATATGTTCAGACCGGAAATAATCTCTACATAGTCATTATCTATTTCGAATATAGGATGTTCTCTCCTTACTACGGCTCTTGGCTTTAACATCAACCCATGAGTCTCAAGTTTGTTTACTTAGCGAATTCACTATCACCATTTCACTCGCTAAAAAGCCAGACGACATCCAAACGCCACAAAAAATCATAACTCCCTTGCGGTCTAACCACTGGACCACAAGACCAAAACCACAAAAAAGTTCAGCTCTGTTGCCACCTCCAGTGTCGGATGCCTACGTCTTTTGTTGTTCTCGCGATGGCGCTAGAGAACATCATGCCGGATGTTCTTGTCGTAGTAGGGCGTCGCCGGTCTCAACGTATCTTGTGAGTGGCCCTGACAAGGATACGAAGTGCTGGGCTGACCAGGCCATCTTCCTACTAGTTGACAAAAAAAATTATTTCTAATATATAAAGGTGTCTGATGTAAGTTGGGGGGATGGGAGTTTGTGATTAGGTGGTGAGTGGATGGGTGGAGCGAGGAGGGTGAGGTGAATTGGAGGGTAAAGGTGAATGTGCGGAATTTGATGGGGCTTTTGTCGGATGGTTGATGAAGTTCAAGTGGTTGGTAGTATGCGAAGTGTTTGTGACATGGAGAGTGGTGAGTTCGTGGTAAGAACGGGATAAGGTGGTTAAAGAATGAACTTGGCTCTTTTTTTGATTGATATAGAACTGCGAAGTAACCGTCAAGAGACACTTCCATGTTTATTTAGACCGATTCTCCATCAAGACTCATTCACAGCATATACGGAACTTTTGACACTGGCTGATGAAGTCTGGAAACAAGGTGGAAGCTGTAGTGAAGGACTCATTACCCAGCTGATATTCCGGGGTTTTTACCTTGGCTGTCGACTATATGTATCAAGCGGTTTACAACTACCAATTTACGCTTTATTGAGAAATTTTTGAGAGTACCCCTCTCAAGACAGCTCTGGACAAAAAGCAGTTGAAATGTATGTTTCCAGTCAAAGTGCTTTTGGTATGAGTCCATGCGCCTAAAGACAAAGCCTCCGGTAACAGGAAAAGGATACAAGGGCTTCGGAGCAGACACATATTGTCATATCAGTGTTCTATGTTCCTAAAAAAAAATAAGTACGCAAGATTGTTTGTATTTGTGCCTACGCTTCAAGAGACGATTTTGAATGTCTTTGATCACTTTACCAATCCTCAAAGCAGGTGATAATAATCTAATCTCTACACATGAAATAAGCCCCTCCCAAGTTGCTTTATCAGTTTTGAAATCCTAATGAGTTTAATTTCTGTTAGAATAAAATAAAAGTGAGTTCTTGCCAGCCTTCACTCGGATTACAATCTCGCTTAATTCTCAATTATGAAATGCGCGAACAATGAATGCAGAGGCGTTCTTGGTTTGTCAAACAAACACTTCTACGCTAATAGCCTAGAACAGTGCAGCAACTATGTAAGACAGCATAAATATCAATGTGGGTCTCGTTGCAGATATCTACAAATATCCCTCCCTTCCCTCTTATTACACTCTTATCAATTGTTCTACAACTCAACGACCGACCTGAATACCTGAGTCAATCATCAAATCAATCACCACAAACAAAAACCCAGACAACAGCTCGACTTATAAAACCAAATCATGGAACCTGGATATATCACAGTTGGAGTCGTCTCCTACACCTTAGGATCCATAATAGGATTCGCTTCATTTGCCATGGGCTTCATGATTTACGTCCTCATTCAACACCTTAAAGCTCTTCGAAAAGACATCCGCAAGGATAGAAAAATTATTAAGAAAGCAAAGATTCAAGCACTGCTTGATGGAACACAGGTAAGGATGGAAGCTATGCTTGCCCAAACAGAGGCGGGTCTTGAAGAAGTGCAAAAGGAGGTCGTTGATACGCATCCTAGGAAGGACAGACAAGACGAGAGTATTGATGAGAAGTCACCTGCGCCAACCACTAGTCTTGACGATCAAATTCTCGAGCTCACTACCATGATTGCCGAACTGAAGAGAACGAGCGAAGAGGGTGATGCTAAGTTTGCCGCAAGTGAAAGTAAGGTTGTTAAACTTAAAGCCGACTCATTACAACAGGAGGCGAATAACACTTTCAACCATCAACCTGAGCTTTTGGAAGATCATGCAAGATTTTGCAAACGCGAAGCAAACCTAGTCAAACGCGAAGCAGCCGTGTTTAATCATGAAAAGGACCTGGTCGAACGTGAGATAGACCTGGTTAAACTTGAAACAGAACTCGCAAATCGTGCAGCAGACCTTGTTAGTAATGACGCCACACCTTCCGCGACTTTCGAGCTAAATATAAGGCTTCTTGCTGACAAGGCTGAACTTGAAGCCCAGGTCGTTAAGATTGAATGCGAGGTCAGGCAATATAGAGACCAGCTTAGCGCAAGCGAAGCTAGCCGTGAGCGGCTTCTTGATAATGTTGACGAGCTTAATGCTGAAAACGCCGAATATAGAGACCAGGATTCCAAACGCGAAGCAGAATTTGCTAAGCTTCGAAGTGAGGTTATCCCACCGGGCGAGGAAATCTCCTTTCTCAAGTCGAAACTTGAGGAGCTCCACGACAAGGCCATTAAGTTCGACCAAACGAAGCGAAAGCTTGCTGAGAAAGAGAGCTATTGTGAAAGAATACAACGCGCAGAATGTTTGTATTTCATTCGTTCTCAGATCTGCCTCGACAGGTTAGTTCAGTCCGCTCACAGCGCGGACATCTTACGATCAAAGCTGAAGCTGTTTGTAGATGGGATAGCCAATGCTACAAGGTTCCCCGCAGACTCCGACCCCCGTTTTTTGCTCAAGACGAAAATAGAGAGAGCCTACGAGTGGTTAGATGATTGGAGAAATCGTGCTTTGTTGCGTTATGACTCGAGTGGATTTATCCTTTTTGAAGACTTGGATAATAATGAATCTGAACACTTTGACGAGATCTCAGAGTCTTCTAGTAAGAATGCTCCTTCTCAAACTCCTCTTTCCGAAAAGCCACAAGAAGTTTCTGTCGCCGGTTCCTCTGAGGATTCTGGTTCTCACACCCCAGTTTCCGAAAAGTCTGATGATGAGTTTGTACCTAATTCTTCTGAGAACGCTGCTTCTCACATCACGGTTTGAGCTTGAAGAAGGCAGACTGGTGACTAAGGTAGATGGCTGCTTAGTTAGTCGTACGAGTTGGTCTTCATTTACTTGCAAAGGTGCTACTTAGGAGAAATGAAAAGGTCAATATACATAAATCACAAAACATATTCTATTCTAAAGTCCATCGTTTCATAATACGTGCATTATCATGAAAGTGACACTTCAACCGTTTCCTACCCACTTCCTAGTAAAATCCAATTATGAAGAGAAAATCGAGAACCAACAAAGACTACAACAGAGTTTGTCAGTTTTTTACTTCGAAGTCCGAACACTTGAAAAGAAAATTTTGCAAAGAACTATGAAGAAGCAAATCACAACTTTAAATAAACAAGGGATGAAGACTTAACGTCTTGTTGTAAAGGTTCCTTTCAATATTACTCAAAGAAACCTCTTTCTATCCAATCGTGAACCAAGTACCAGCCTTCTCAAGAAACAGGCTTACAATCACCTTTGACGTAGTATTGAGATTAGACGTATAAGTCTTTTCATTCAACACCAACTTAACTACAAATAAGGTAAAGAGATATCATTAAGATTTTAAAACGCCCATCCAATCAATATTTGATCCAACGCTGCTTAATGTGACAGTTATTAACACGATCACTGTTGTATAAATCTTCCACAAAATCCTCAATGAAACACTAGAACCACTCTCACCATCACCATATCCGCTTTACAAAACAAGCAAAGTTTTCCACTACCACCAACCTTCCAACCATCACCACCACCATCCACCATGCTCGCCCCCACCGAACAAACCACCACCTAGGCCAAAATCTTCGACGCAGGCTACATCGCCATCCCCACCACCCGCATCTCCGACACCGAGTACTTCGCCATCTGCAAGCAGAACCCGAAACTCAAAGACGCAGAACTGGCGTTGAGTTTTCTGAGAAGCCTGCATGGACCGCAGATTCATGTGGAGAGACGCGAGAATGAGAGTATGATGATGTTGAATATCATGACGCCGGATGGTGATTTTTTGGTCGTGCTTGAGGAGAAGAAGTAGGATGAGAGGAAGTAAGGGGGGGTTGAATTGAAGGTTTAATGATTTGAAATGTGGCTTTTGGATGTGATGGAGATGTGATGGAGATGTGAAGTGTTAAACTATGCCAATGAAAAACATAGTTATAAATTAAAGGGTAGTAACTACCATGAGCTCGGTATTGAAATATAATCAGATATTCTACTATTATTACTATCGCAGATATGTTACTGTTACTCTGGGGTGAGTTTGTAGTGATTTTGAGTATCAAATAATAATTTCCAGTCTCGCTTAATCACCATGAACTCACTTCAGAGTAATAGTATTCTATTTGATACTATTTCACCTGGCACTCACAAGTCTATCAATTTTTTATCATGACTTACAGAATTTGGCTCTCTATACATAACAACTATTCCCTGACAGAACAACCCACTTCAACACCAGTGGTATAAATCAAATTGACACCTCCATCACCACCCACAAACCCACCAAATACAAAACTGAACCCCAAACAAAACCCTATACACCCCAAAAACACAACCAACCCCATTTCACTCCCTACACCATGCCACCCCTCCAACCCTGGACCCCCACAGAATGCGCCCTCCTCGCCTACTACACCGCCAACAACAACGCAAACCTCCGCCGCTTACACCTCACATACGGCACAGTAGGCGCGGAAATCATGAAAGAAGTGAAATACTTACGGGCTGTGGAGCCTGGACTGGAGTTGCCGTCGGTGGATAGGCTGTTCACGGAGCGGACGATCGCGAGTAAGGTTTTGAGGATGAGGAAGAAGGGGGAAGGAGTTGTGGGGAGGGAGCCGAGAGGGCCGGGGAGGAGGGTGAGGGGGTATAAGGATGTGGGAGGGGATGGTGGGTGTGGGTTGGTTGAGAAGAATGAGGTTAATGGGGAGATGAATTGGGTTGGGAGGGTACCTATTGGTTCTGCAGTTACGGAGCGTGAGTTGGACGTAACTACTCTGTCAGACGTAATGACTCCTCCGAGAGATAGGACATCCATTCAAGAAGTCGGACAAGCACCGATGTATGTCGATCCGAGAGAACTACAAAAAGACTTCATGAGAATCAGTCCTCCCAATGACATGACATCTCATACCTCGCCTAGATATTCAGAACAACTCACAAACCTACCATCCACACCACTCTCCCTCTCAAAAAACCACTCATCTTCCCTCGCCTCCACCAAGCGAAACGTCTGAAATACATCATATCGAAGCACCACCTCGATTTCAAAAATCACGAGCCTTAACACTCGAAGAAGCGCTCCGACTCGCGAACATGGCGAGAGAAAGAGATGACTGAGGTAAGTACGCGGGAGAAGACGATGGGGGGTGGAGATAAATGGGGAGTGAGTTTAAGCGAAGAGGAACTTCGGGAGATGGTCCAGATGGATAAGTATTTGAATTTGTAGAGTAGCTTGAGATAAGAAGGCCAATATCTTACCCTCTTAGACGAGAGAGAGCTTTGATACTTGCTATTAGTCCATCAGAAAGGCCACACCTAGAATAGTTTCCATTCGCAGGATTCGTTACATGAAAGAAATCTAAAATGCATAACGTGTAAACTGATCTGATATAGCTGATGATAGTTTGCAGAACCATTCTTCAAAGAGTGAAAAGACGAGCTGGGACACTTTTAGTTGTAATTTCTGTTTAGCATCATTAACATTATACCATACCAAGCTCTACTTTCCCACCATCTCAAACCACCCTAACTTTTCAACAAAAACTTCCCGCATCAAGCAACCTCATACATCCCCCCCTTCTCCCCCCGATCCTTCAGCTCCTCCACCTTAATAACCTGCCCCCCCTTAACCGCACTCTCCAAATCCCTCTTACTAATCCTACACTTCGCAATATACTTGCACTTCCCGCCCTCCTGTCCGAACCACGTATCTTCCGGACAACTCACGCCCCAGAGCTCCATGAGTAACACCCAGACCAACAAACCCGTCACAATACTAACGAGTTGTAAACTACTCAAGTGTTCGCTCAGCGGTAAGAGAAGCAGGATAATACAGACGCAGCAGCGGTTGATGAGACGATAGCGTTTGAGGATTCGAATGCCTTTCGCACTGTCCTTGTGAATATGGCAGAGAGAGATGACTGCCATGCCAGCGAGAGCAATGGCGAAGCCGCCGCAGTAGAACCAGCGGAGGCCGACGGGGATGTGTTCTTCGGATTTTTCTTCGTAGAAATGAGTGAGATCGTGCGGGTCAGCGTCTGCGCAGTCGTGAGCGACGACGAGTTTCGAGAGGGCGGCGGCGCCCAGGACGTAGGCCATGATGAAGGGGAGGTGGACGGAACTCCAGAGCATGGCTGGGATGGTTAGTATGAGGTTGCAAGTGATGGGCGTGAGGATGACTTACCAGATGTGACGTTTCTTCGGATTGCGTGAGAGAAGAGATCCATGCCGTCGATTTCGAAATATATCCAATTAAAGCAGAACGCTTGGATAAGACCCAAAACTGCTTTTCCAAAAAAGGCATTCAATCCGTAATGGGAAGAGCTTTGATAGATGATTGCAACGACAGAGTAACCAAACACCAACGTGACAAAAGCATTCGTACGCTCGACTTTGTGCTCGATATTGACGGCGGGGTAGAATTCGAATACTTTATCCGACCAAGCACCTAGTCTCTTAGATAACTTTTTCGAAATTTTGATGAAGAAGATTGCAAACATTGAGCCTGTTAGATCTATGAATATTGCTATCCAGACAAGAATGAGACGATTTGGATATTCGACATAGATGCTTCCAATCCAGAGAGCCGACGGAATCAGTGTCATGGTAACATGTACTATCATCATGTTTCTGATCATCGGGATGAGAAACATGAGGAGGACGAGGTAGGACGCCATAAATAGACGTGCCGTGAGATAGAAAGCTACCAGCATCGTCCAAGTGTCCTCGAACGCGCTGAGCATTTGTGTTGTGAGACTGTTTCTGTTAGCTCAAGTATAAATTAATTACGAATGAAAAGAAACAGTCACATACCCTAAAAGACAGGCCATGATAAAAAGTATTGAAAGTCTTTGCATAATGTCGTTTGTTTCAAACCAAGAAACAATAAGTGCCATGTCGCTCCAAATCTTCCAGCTCATGATGAAGCAAATAACGAATCGTAGCAGCTCGTGCCCGTTTGGGTCTTCAGATACATGGTCTCCGTTGATGGCCAAGATACCAACGTAGAGTAGGTCAACGAACAGTTCAAATGACATAACTTCGGTGGTCTCTGAAGCTCTCCACAACAGACCTTTATGGAAGTATTGACGAACGACCGGCTATGATTTATCAGTATGAATACTCCAACTCAGATAAACTAGACCAGCGAGCAAGTCGAGACAAAAGGACTTACCTTATTATAAATCTTGATAGCAGTCCCATTACTCCTCTCTTTTTCCCAGTCCTTCTTCTCATGGTCCGGATCATGAAATCCACTAATACTGCTACTCCTCGAGCTCGCCGCAGGACTCCCATCGTCATAAGTTCTGAGATGCGCCGAATACCCATACTTGCTGAAATTCGCATCCAGGGCCACAGAATGATCAGTGAGCATATGCAACTCATTTCCCAACGCCTCAAGCTCTGCCCTTACATTCTCAAACTCATCATAAGCAGCGCCATGAGTCTCCTTTAGAGCTTCTCGTTTCCGTTCATGGTGACCGTGAGCTTCTCGCAAAGCTTCTAGATGTTCTGGAGACCCGCTAATTACCAGATCGAAAGGTTCATCTTCGCCGCGGACTGCTTCGAGCCGTTGACGAAGTGTCTCTGCTTCTTCTGGTGACAACGCGATATGAACTTCTCTCCCATTAGGTAGCACGAAATTACGTATACGTCTCGCACGATGATGGCCATGGTGAGAGTGTTGACCGTTAAGTGTTTTACCACTCAACGTCTCATTTGGCGTTGTTGACATGTTCACAATCTCAACTGTATCAGCCGCAAACGCGTAGCAACTGGTGAGCGACCAAAAAGACTTCGGACACCGAGAAGAGAGACGTAAGTGAATGAAGCTCAAATCTGCATCTGAAAATCCGATCAGAAAGATGCAGGAAGCTTTATCAGAAAATCAAAGAGACCCTGAATATTTTGATAGGCTTGGCCTTCCTGCACGCTGCTGACATGCCAATCTTGGCTCTAAAATCCGACAACAGATGAGGCTGGAACGGCGTGTGGCGGAGGTTGACCTCCTGGTGAGATGTGCGACTCGAATTGGCTCGCTTGCAAAGTATGTTCTAGATGTGAAATTAATCACAATGCAAACTCGGAGAGAGTGAGAGTTTACAAGATATTGTTAACAGCTTACTGATGCGGGGAAGATTAGGTCTCCTAATTGAGTTGGTACAATTGACGTGCGAATCGCTCATTGGAAGCTCTGCTCAGCTCGTATTGCATCCCTTGAGGTTTGCCCAGAGCCGCCGAGGCTCTCCAAGCTTTCCCGCTTCATTCGAGGGTCGATGATTGGCTAGCACAGCCAACAAGCTCCTTACTAAGTTGACAAACTGAAAGTCAGCAAGAAGTAAGCGATGCTTAAAGTCACGAAATATCTCGTAAAAAAACATAACCTCAGAATTTCATAGAGTCAAGTTTCTTTTCTATGGACAAACGCTTGAAATTTCAAGCTACCGAACCCCCATGCACCGAGTGAGTCGGGAGAATTACAGCAAGAATACAGTATTCTACAGAGTGGTCGTCCTTCTCCCCATACCATAAACGCGTGCGCCCCCGACATGCAACATACTCTTAACAATTGTCCGTCAAGAGGACTTCCCCTATATACCAACTTCTCCTACAATCTTTGCCGCTTCTCTGTACGTCTTGAGAAGCTTTTCGCACTTCTCGCGCTCGTTCTTCACAGCATCGTCCTCGTACAATAGCTCTTCGAAGAGAGAATCTTTGTACAACTCGCTTACTAGGCGATTCTGAACTGCATCCTTGGAGTGGTTTACTAAAAGATGCATTACTGCTTTTGGCACTTGATCCGCAATCGATTCACGGACGATATTGAAGTAAGACGAGATTAATGCGCGGATCAGCTCAGTCTCCATCGCTTCTCGTTCTGTGAGTGCTGGCTCGTTGTTGTTACCCTGTCTAATGTTAGAATTGATGTTGTACATAAATAGTGGAATTCTTACAAATGGCGAGTTGTAGTCATAATCTCTCTGTGCCCTTCCAAGCTCATAGTCGTCTTCCCGCAACTGCTGAGCCGGTGTTCTATGTGTGCGCTCTTCTTGCCTCCGTATGCTTTGGCTAAAGCTTGGCTCCGAGCTCTGACTAACATGTCTTCCAAGATTTGGATTTGTTACAGGTGCTTGTTGTACTGCTCCAGTGCCCCCTTCTTTGCTGAAAAAGAAGTTCAAGAACGAATCTTTTGCACCCCCAACACCCTGTTCGCCGCTTCGCAAACCATTCATTGTTGAGGTAATTCCACTAACTCCGTTTTCACGGACAGCAGGTGACATGCTTCGAGTTCCTTTGTGCAGCTGCTTTCTGACCGCTAAGTTTTCTACCTTCTCTACTCCGTTCTCCTCATCTTCTTCTGGTGTGTCTAACCCATTGCTGCCCACTTCCTTCATGCGCCGCCTTTCCCGCCTCTCGCGCTCATCTTGAAGAAGCTTCTTTCTCTCCTTGTCTTGTTTGTTTGTTACTACATTGCTCATAGCTGCCGCCGCGCCAAGGAAATTAGGGTGATTAGTGTTGATATAGGCGCGCTGTATAGAAATCAAGGATTCGACGTAATTGGAAGCTGGTCCTAAACGTTCGCGCAAGAGGTCTGATACAACCTCGATCAGTTTGGCCTGTAATCGAGGGAATCGTGATAACTCTGTGGAGCCACATGTATGGCAAATCTTGATCAATTCCTCGTACACAAGCTCCACACATCTCTGACTGGGAATCTCGAGGAGTTTAATTTGCGGCTTTACCAGAAGGTCAAATGCAAGTTCTGGAACGAAAAGACTTGGTCGCGGTCCAGTAGAATTTCGAATTGCCGTTCGGATGTCAAGAGCGGAGAGGTTTGTTGTAGGATCAATGGTTTCGAGAGAATTTCCGAATACTGAGTTGAAGATGTAGTAGATCCTGGCACCACCACAGAGTTCTTTGGTAGAAATTTCCGTTGATGTACCGTCTATAGATGAAATAAATGATGTTGCGAATCTGGTCATTAACTGCAAAACAAGAGATCCTCGGTGCTCTTTCCCACTAAAGTGCATATCTCCATAGCTAGCCAATTCCTGTTGCGTCTGTCCCATCAAGGTATTCAAGCGCGCTTTGATGTCGGGGAGCCTTTCCCTAATGTGTGCCATCAAAGTGGTATTCAAGCTCTTTGCCAAAAATTGAGTACCACATCTATTCGCCATGTTGCGGTACGCTGGGTGATGCTTAAAAAAATCGGATTCCGACTTCAGTGCTTCTGCCAAAGACTTGTTTCCCTGAATGTCTTGTTGCGATCGATTGACAACACCAATGAACCCAAGCTTGAGAGGATACACACGACCCGATAAAATGTCCAGAGCGTTGGTTCCATGATCCATAAGATCAATCTTGGTCAAAACTCCAATTGTCCTTCGGCCCAGCGGATCGACATGTCGTGCGAGCTTCAAGGCTTCCGAATTCACAATATCTACATTCGCGGGCGATACAGCGAGAATGATACTGTTGGGTTTGGCAATATACTCGGAAATAAGGTTTCGGGTCTGTTTCTCGATATCTGTAGGTTGGTCTCCGATTGGGACCTGTGCAGCTCCTGTTAGCCATTGGCTGCCACAATTACTTCCAGATAATAAGCCATTTTTACCTTCGTAAGCCCAGGAAGATCCACCAATGTCAGACTAAGAACGTGAGGCGAGTAGATTTTCAGGTTTATGGGCGACCGGTTGATTCCCTTATTGTTTCCTGCTATGCGAGCTGTTTCGTTCTCGATTTCCCGCTTTACATCTTGAAACTCTGTAAACCTTCGGTTTGGGATGTGATGGAACTCTGCCCATTCTGGCTGTGCTGCTACCGCAGCTCCCGTGTGTGGTTCTGGGGAATCCTCATCCTCGGTAGGGACGTTGATGAGCTGGAGAATCAGAGGTCTTCGTGTCACGATGCCGCTTCCTCGAGGCAGGAAATCCCGACCGACTATATTCTCAAGCACTGAAGACTTTCCGGAGGACTGCGATCCTACGACGACCTGTATAGAGGTCAGTAGATGCTCAACAAGCTAGAAAGTTTGGCGTACAATCTGGGGCAGATCTAAGCTATCATTGCCGATAGTATTAAAGACCAAGTCCTGCAGCTTATTGACTATCCCAAGCAAGTCCTCACCTAGAGCTGCCATTGCGATGTGCTTAAGTTGTTATAAGGCTCTGACGGGAGCGAGGGGGTGGAAAGCGGTCGAGGTTGTTGTTGCGTCGCGTTTGCACCTTTGCAGGAGATTTTTCCTCAACAACGATCGACAAGCCCGGATGTGTCGAAGGGGAGCAAGCCTTTCCCTAGAAATCCGAACTGAGATGGATCAAGTGGTCTGGAGATCTTTGCTTCACTTTTCGAGAGTGGTACACGGTGTTTCTTCTCAATTTCCAAGTTTATTGAGACCTTCATGCGCATCAAACTGCTCGGCTGCTCATTGCTCATGCGCCACTTGTGGCTCAACGACAGGGGTAGGACTAGTGGATCTTGTTTTTCTCAACTGGGTACTTCCCAACATCAATAGCAACGCAACCTAAACATCGAAATAATCCTATTATTTCGTCTTTGCTTCACTTCTTTCAATCCACGATACCCATCTACTCAAGCGACAAAAATTACAAAAATGACGCCGTTATATGGTGACAGGTCGTTTGCAACGTCATTGCCCTTACCACATAGGATACGCATATCGAGGTATGAAAGACGTCTACCTTCCTAGGTGACTCTTTCGCCATGTATGACAGTAAGACAAACCAATGCGGAACCTCCCGTTACCATACCACGGAGTCATACTTTGAAGCTTTCTCTCTCAAACTACGAGACTCACTTAAGTAGAAACTCGAACAAGGGTAGATTGTCGAATGTTGGCCACACATACCATCGCACGTTCGGCTCAGGCGTTTGTGCCACAGCTGCAGAAATTGTTCACAGCTTCTAATGAGCCAACCGAAGAAGGATGCCCTCTTGTAGTCACATCCTTAGAGAGTATCTCTCTGCGCACGTATCAAAGCGGAATTGAGTTCAGGTACCTACTAGGTAGGTTGAGAGCATCTCCTCGCTTATGTCTGTCCCCAACTCAGGGGAGTAGCCATAACGAGAATCAGTCGTCAAGACTAGACGATATGGTATTGGTATTTGCAGCAGTCGAAGAAATTGTTTTACTCGTTACTTTGTTTATTAACTCAGTGTTTCTCACCGGACTGGTGGGTTAGGTTGTCTCGCTGACGATCCTAATGGACTGGATTCTAGATAGACCATGACTGAGTCACTACCCTTGATTTCCAGTAACGGAGCTAAGCACGATGTCGTCCAGTCAAGTAATTTTTATTGGTTTTTCTTCACTTGTTTCCCGCAAAATTCAGAAGAATCCGAAGTCTGCGAAATATACGTCCGTATGTATGGAGGATTCAGCATTTTGCCTGAGGCGTCAAATGACGTCTGTCAATATTTATCTCAAAATGCGGGGTGGATCCTACAATCTAATCGCCAAAATATCCATCCTTTGATCTGTGAGATATTATGTTAAAAGGGGGTTCGAAATTGAAAGAATCATTCAAATCATAAACTGTTTCAGTTACTTATAATAATGGCTCTCCGATCCATTATATATCTCACAATAATTACCCTATTCGCCAATTACACAATCGCAGACCAACAAAAGATACTCACTCACGGCGATGGAGGATTCGGCGTGATCAAAAAAGCGTTCGTCCAACACTTTAAAAAATCCCATAAACACCTAAACTAATCATTTCCAGCCTCTCCAAAGCCAAAATCATCCCCCAAGTCCTCGACGACTTCACCCCAAAATGCTTCGTCGTCCCCTCCTACTCCACCGGCAAGCGTGAACTTCCCGTAGCACTCGGAAACCACTTCAAGACCTCAACCACCAAATCACGACCCTCACTCCGTCTCTATTGTCCAGAGATGTCTCAGACCGAGGGCTTGACAATCGCATTAACAGATCCAGATGCGCCATCGAGAGACGATCCAAAGTGGTCTGAGATGTGCCATTGGATTAGTGTTGTTCCTGTGCCGGAACCGTTGAGTTATTGGGATTTTAGTATTGATGAGGATGCGTTTGGGGAGGAGTTGATGGAGTGTGAGTTTTCTTTTACTAGGAGTTTGGCTGCGTTGCTAATTGGGTTAGATAAACCTCCTGGGCCGCCTGCGAAGACGGGGTATCATCGTTATGTTTTCGTTTTACTAGAGGGTGATAATACGAATCTTACTGCTCCTAGTGATCGCCAGCATTGGGGTACTGATAAGAAGAGACATGGAGTCAGGGATTGGGCAAATAGGGAGGGTCTCAAGGTTATTGGAGCAAATTATTTCGTTGAGAAGAATAAGAAGCAGTGAGTGTTGTATGCTAGGCAAGTCGAGTTTATGAATTTCTGTTCGTACTTTATAACGTTACTCAAAGCGCTCAAAGGGCGTTAACATGGGATTTTGTAATTGCTGGCGACTGATCGGGGCAGGCTTAAATGTGGGTTTGTAACATTATGAATGTTCTCATGTCCGTGGTCTCTACTTTGATATTATATCACCGTGCTGGTATATGATTTGTACAGGTTAGGTCGTTGAAATAAAGGACATACTGTCTAGCAAAACATCGAAACCCTACCCTCATCCCATATATATCGGCATCTGACTTTGATGCCACTCCACGGGTAAGATCATCTTTTGTGAATGTAGCCTATGACAATGGTGCCAACAAAAGGCTCTAAACATCATCATAATCCAAGCATCAGCTGCTAGCTGCTCACCACAACCAGTGATAGAATCAACCTGACAGGCAAGCTTAGGTAACTCTTCCCAGTATGCATGCATGCTGTTCTGTAGCCATGTTTTGCCTACTGGAACCTCATTATGGTCCTGTTTCTTTTCGGTTGGTGAGGAGACTGCCAATGTCCTCTGCTCCGGAAAGAGCAGTTCTCTATTAACCACAACTGCCATTCGAATATGCTCCACAAGTAGAGTATCGTAGCAAAATCCTTTCCTCTTGTCTTTGTGATCACCTTCCATTGAGCCTATTGGATCCGCATTAAGGCTGACCAAACGCATCTCTATCTCGTCAAGTGCATCATGGACTTCAGCTTGATACGCGAACGCGGCTTGGATGGAACCTTCTGAAATGACCATGGATGGAACACAAGCCCAGGCGGATTCATGTGTAACCCATGGTGGAATTTTCTCTAGTTTATCCACCCATGACAACACGACGCTCAAGTGAGAAGATACTCGATCAGCTTGCGAGATAACGTACTCACGAAGCCGTTGGGAGAACACAAGAAGGCCATCTTGTGATCGAAGAACACCTAAAGAGTAATTGTTTGGCGAGGGTATATTGCACAAGAGTGTTTCCTTGTGGCTTAGTTTCGGGGCTGTCAGAGGAATAACGTCGCTGAAGCCGGGAAGCATACCGGGTTTGAGTCTCATAGTATCCAGAAGAGATGCAGATAAGCGTAGATTTCTGGCTCCCGTGTTATCCAAGAAATCAAGATATTCGATGATCCTCTCCATGCTCCCTACCGGTCGATCCCAGCAACTGAGGCGTTTGTTCCCTGGAACGACCCCGAAAGCTAAGTCCGACAAAGCAGCCACAGGTAAGTATGCTTTTTGGAGTAGGAGACCGAGATCGCAGGACTCATTCAAAATTGGACCCGTGGACGTGTATTCAAGGCAGATACCGATGGATCTAACAAAGCGAGACGTGAAAATGTGGCCAGGGCCCTCTGCACTCAACTTTCCATTGCTGGGGTCAAACGCTTTCCACTGCATACCGAGACGTAAACTAAATGATATTTCAGACTTGAAGTATGGGAGCGTATTGTCAAAGGTGTTTAGTCTGGTACTCACGCAATACTTGCAACATCTGAAATCGTAGATAGGCAAAACGGTCGGACGACGTCAGGGGGCTACATCAATTCAGCTATCAAAATTCCCCAGTCTAGATGATAGTTACTCACCATAAAATCCCATGAGCGCCGGTAGGCCTGGAAGCACGGGGTAGTTCTGAATGTCGACGGATTCTCAGGAACGTCAACGTTGATGGGCAAATATGTCTTGACACCAGCCTGGAACGCTTTCGTTGGGGGTCCCTTATTAAGAATTTGGAGTCGAGCTCCATCAATTTGTCTCTGAGATTGCTCGCCTATCCTTTTTGGACCAGTCTGATGCCACTGAGCAGTTTGAATGTTTTTCAGTTCCGGATAAACAGTGCCTACGTCCCGTTCTGCGAGTTGAAGACGATTGATCAGCAGTACCCAACAGACCTTTTCGCCGTCACTTTGGGATATTTCGTTTCCGACTTCTAAGTCGTCAGCCCATTTGCTCCGTAATTGACCACCAGAGACACGATCAAAATCGAAATTTCAAAGCACATAGAGCCGAGTCAAGTCAAGCTCTAAAAATCGATAGAACCAAAGAAATTAAGTAATAATGTTCGAGGATCACTCACGTTCAGTCCGTATAGGTTCTGCCTCCTCGTCCATCAGTAAATATGTCTTTCTAGGATCTAGGTTCTGGTTTATGGAGTAGCCACCCCATATTTTATTGTTTGCCTTCTTCTCCAAGGCGTCGTGCGCATAGAATAGATTGATAGAGAGTTTCGGCACGTAGTAGATAGTCTCGAAGCGAAATTCGCGCCACTTCCACTTTAACATCGTCCTTGAGCCCCAAAATTCGCCCATCACTGAGCGTTGGCAACGTCGATAACCTTCAGCTGTCGCAAAGTATTGCTGCAGTAACTGACCAGCAGCAGTGAAGAGAGCAATTAGTGATATCAGAAGAGCAACGAGAGCCACGGGTTCGATGGAGCCCATGATTAGAGAGAATGTCCACTGAATGGATTGCGATCATAAGATCAAGAGACTAACTAATACGTGAGCCGTGAGGAATGCAATCGTGATATATCAATGATATGAATCGTCAGTAAATGACATTTCGTAAATAGCAATGCACATGGTCATGCATGCCACGTCACAGACAGGACGCCGTGCGTCTAAATCAGGCTCGGTTTTGATCCAATATTTGTAAGTTATCGATACATAGATTTTCACATTAGGGGCTGATTGATGCTACCTCTCAGCCTGACCTATGCATAGCTGCACCCGCCAGAACACAGGAAAAGTGTAAAAGGCATCCTAAACTTGGTCCATCATTCCTAGCCGCTAGAAAGGAGGCATATCAATGCTGACGGTACTGTTTCATATACACATTGTCTTTTCAGACATGCGACGTAGACTTGAGTTTTAGACCCCAAACCAATCGTACGGTTCGGATTTCATATGGAGCGGCAGCAACCTTGAAACTCTTCGGCTGGCCGAATCAAAGAGGGATATCGAGAGCGAAGCTGAGTTTTTGTAGAACGATGCTGAAGTATACTTGGGTCGTATAACACGTGGGACAGTATTGAAAGGCCACCCAATTACAAAGCCTGTACTGTACGGACTGGAAGGAGTGGTCTGCACTATTTCTCCGAATTTCAAATATTGAGAGGTCAAACAGGATAAACTGGTGGGTATCATATACCGTCAATAATCTGTAGGTGCTGAACACATGATCCAATTGACATTATCGTTGTTGTAGATGCCCCAGAATGGCTGCAAGCCGACGCAGTGCTTTTGGTGTTTGCTCAATAGCAGATGGGTTCTTTTGCATCTCTTCTACCTCTTTCCTAGCCTTTTGGGCTAGTGGTAAAAGTCCTCCCCATACTTCGTCAGAATAACGACTCAAAACGCTGTCCCACTGATCTCGCCAATGTTCTCTTGACAGAGTCTCTTCTTGTTCAGTAGCAAAACCGTTCAGTAACTGACTTTCCTGTCCCACAGTCAGGTTAAGAGGATTCTCGGGAGAAATTCTGCCGTGGAGATCGAATGGTGGGAAAAGGTCTCGGGGAAATGATGCCAGTTGAGCTAATTGATCAGCAGATAGTTTCCAATCTTTGGTCAGGTCTTCTTCCTCAGGTGGCAATTCATATTGATCATCCAGCGAACTCCGATCTGCCAGTATTGCAAGAACGGCTTCCCCATCTCGAGTCTCTTGCGCTTGTACCGACGAGTGTGGGTATGTTCCAATTGCAGCATCACCGGCAGCACGCGATCTTGACCAAGCGTATTCAAAAGCTTCATCAACCCCATTCTCATGCCCATTACCACCGACTAGTGCTGCTTCAGAAGGTACAAAGCTATCAATTCCGTCAAGGAAATTTGAAAATTCTTGCTCAGTCTTGCTGATGTGCTCAGCGTTGTGACCAGCTCTAATGCCTTCTTGTAAGGCATGACCAGCGATTGAGGGCTGGATTTGTTTGGAGTTTTCTCCCAAGGTCGCCACAGTTTGGCTCCCACTCGCGCTAGAAGATGTTGGCTTTCCTGACCCTGAGAGCGCTGAATGGCTAGTCTCGTTCAATTCCATGCCAGTGGGTGCTGCAAGGACGGTATTTGTTAAACCACTTGCTGAAGATGCTATCCTCGAAAGAAGAGAGGAATCATCTCTGACCCCGGTAGAATTGCGATCACTATCATCAGTGTTTCCCTTAGGAGCTCTTTCTTTTCCCTTTTTTGATTCCATGTTTCCTGATGACTGGTTGCTATTACTTTGCATGCTTCCATTCCATGACGACTCTCTGCATTCATCGTAGATTGACCCACACGAACCTGTAAGAAGAATATAATAACGACTATACTTCAAGCAAACTCCCCTACGTTAGCTGCTTGTATAGATAGGAAGAATGTTCAGAAGTGGTTATTTAGCATGTGAAGCTACTAATGGCCGTCCATGCTCCGAATCCGTCCGAAGACTATTGAAACTGTGCACGTGATGGATATTAGTTACATTCAAGGCCTCAATTCAACTTAAGACTGTGTTTTGTTGTATTCGGATTTTGGGGGTAGCCAGTGACTTCGCTCTCGTAGCTGGTTGTTGATATTTGTATCCGGGAACGTTGCTGGAATTATGTCTGAAGAAATTGACGTCTGTTTGTTGTGCAGGAGAGTTATCCTGTTCCAGAGTGCATTGGATGTTTCCTTCTTGTCAGACAATAAGCTAATTAAGATATCATGATAGCCGTGTGCTTGTGATGACAGACAGAAGAAGTCAGATTGTTGTTTGGACTGAAAGTTTGCTAGGAAAGACGTAAACCAGTGAGACGCGCCTGACAAATTTGGTGGTGTTCAACCGCTCTCGTCAAGTGAAAGTCTTGGCACGCCGAACGGAACCTCAAGATTGAGCTTCTGCCAAAGCGTCATCTTTGTCAACCATACTCCTCGCATCAACACAACCATTCGAGTCTTTACTGCATATTATTCTCCAATTTGTCTGCGACTTGCGACGCGCCAGCTCTACTGATTCACAGACACATCGCTTTCGAGTCACACCCAAATCGTGGGCACCAACTTCAGCCTTCCTAGCATCATAACCGACCAACTGCAACTACAACCACGACGACGCGATCCAGCTCATAGTGGCCTCATAACACAAGACTTAAGGTGTTCGCGTATATACCCGTGGCGAAGGTTATTTCTTCTTTGAACGGGCCTCGAAAATGGTAGAAGGAGAACCGAACTCTCCTACATGGAAGTTCACACAGTCAGTACCCCTCCCTCGGTGGCCGATATACAAGACCAGGCAAGCCGCACATGGTCTGTTGAAACATACAGCCGTGCAGGGGCTTTTCTTCTGCTCAGTGATGCTAACTTGATGCCAGATGTTTTGGAGATAAGGGGGATGTCGAGGATATAACAGAAGGTTAGCACTGACCGACTTATACAATTCCTTGTTCTGCGAGGCATGCCTCCGACGCGTGGCTCAAGTACTTTGTCGAAGTATCCTGCAACAAATGCTAACCTATGATGTTATAGCCGACATAATATCGACAGTCGAGTTTGATCACACTGGTAATTATCTTGCCACTGGTGACAAAGGCGGGCGAGTTGTTTTATTTGAGAGAAATGAGACAGTATGTGAAATCGCTCCATGGCAAACGGGTTTCTCTACAGAGTATATAGCTGACATAGTGGGCAGAAAAAAACCTGTGAATATAAATTCCACACCGAATTCCAGTCCCACGAACCCGAATTCGATTACCTCAAATCTCTCGAAATCGAGGAAAAGATAAACAAAATCAAATGGTGCAAACGCCAAAATGCCTCTCATTATCTTCTCTCGACAAACGATAAGACAATCAAGCTATGGAAAGTGTTCGAAAAATCTCTAAAAGTAGTCGCCGAGAACAATCTATCCCACGATTTGACGCCAGGTACTTCGGTCGGTGGTGGTGGCGGGGTTCGTCCTATGTCAAATGTCCATTTCTCGAGCGCCCACGATTTGAAATTACCCCGCCTCACACATCATGATACAGTCGTCGCAGCCGTACCTCGTCGAACATATGCCAATGCGCACGCATACCACATCAACAGTATTTCCGTCAACAGTGATGGAGAAACGTTCATTAGCAGTGACGACCTGCGCATAAACCTCTGGAATCTGAACATCCAAGATCAAAGCTTTAATATTGTCGATATCAAGCCTGCCAACATGGAAGAATTGACTGAAGTCATTACTGCTGCAGAGTTCCATCCACAAAGTTGTAATTGGTTCATGTATGCGAGTTCGAAAGGTACCATCAAGCTAGCTGACATGAGGGAGAGTGCGTTGTGTGACCAGCATGCAAAGCGTATGTATGATCAACCCCGCAGTTTTCAAAATCTAACACGGAAGCAGAATTTGAGCAAGAAGAAGACCCATCGGCAAGGAGCTTCTTCTCAGAAATCATCTCCTCTATTTCTGACGTTAGGTTTTCTCATGATGGAAGATACATCCTTTCCCGTGATTATTTGACTGTGAAGATTTGGGACGTCAACATGGAACGCCAGCCTGTGAAGACCATCCCAATCCATGAGCACCTTCGACCTCGACTTTGTGACACGTACGAAAATGATAGCATCTTCGATAAGTTCGAAGTTGTCTTCTCTGGTGATGCGAAGAACGTAATGACTGGCAGTTACAACAATAACTTCATGATCTATCCCTCAGATCCAGATAAGGAAGTCGAAGTGGTTCTTCAGGCGGACAAGTCGGCTTTCAAAGCTAAGAAGGTGGGCGTTCCTACGCCAATCAATTCATCAACCAGTCCTACGGCTACCAACGGTGGTAAGAAGGGTAACTCGAGAGCGGGTAGCCCCGCGGCTGGGGCAGCGGGACAAGGGGGGAGAATGCGTAAAGAGACGGACGCGGATCAGATTGATTTCAACAAGAAGATTTTACACATGAGCTGGCATCCATTTGAGGATAGCATTGCCATCGCGGCCACCAACAACGTAAGTATCCGGTTCTCGGGATCTGGGTCATCGCTAACCACAAATAGTTATTCGTTTTCTCTGCATTGTAGAGAATTTAGTTTCTTTAGAATGGAGTCTCTTGTCATATTCTATCGGCGCTTCCGTGCTTGGCTAGCTACAGCATTCGCAAATTCCTTGTCTAGGCCTCTCATATTCCTTCCATCCTACAGCGTCTGCTAGTCATGAGAAACGAACACAAACATCATTGGTGATAGAGAGAGCGATCATATACACGGGGGAGGGCTCGTTGTCAGCGTGGATAATCGGAGGATGATGGTCATTATGGTAGGCCGAAGAAGCTCACATTTCCCGGTAGTGATCTTGCTACTTCGGAACTGGTCAGAGGAGTTGTGATCTCGGAGACGTTATTACAGCTCTTGGGCGGGCATTCCAGTTTTTGAGTAGACTAGTCACCTCGCAGATGAATAATGCAAGAGATTCGAGTATATGGACGACGTTCTTTTGTGATGTGGTGATGTAGGCACCAAGTAAGCTGGGTCAAATAGAATGGAGATTATCCGGTCCTGAATTACCCCTCTTCTTCACATGCTGGCGAGGGATTCTTGATGGGTCGAGTGACTGTATATCTGGCCCTTTTGCTGACGGAAAATTGATAAGGCCGGTAAAAGTAAATTGTAGCATTAAACATGGCAGAAGTTGGATTCTTGACGTAGTTGAGAAGCGTATTCTTCCAGGTCGATGCTGCACACCGCATTAACCTCTGTGATCCTGGTATTTGATGCCCACTACTGCAGGCAACCTTAACGGATTAACTACAGGATTTGGAGCCCCTCTACAACGGTACTCGACCCGTTGTGTAATCGAACCGAGTATAGAAATAGTAGGGAAAGTGTACAGATTTCAAGTATCTCTCAAGTATGCAAGCGTGCTACTAGGTCGAAAAAGCAAACAAGTCAGATCACCCGTTCCTGGTCTACTTCTCCACGGGTCCATCGGACATTTGTACCTGGCCCTGGGCCGGAATCTGAGGTTCTTCAGCCACTTCCCGCAGGGTCGACAATTGCCGACGGCCGGCCCTCTCAACCCTAAATCTTCTAAAAATAAGGGGTGCGGGCAGAAGACAAAATAAGTGACAGAGCCTCCTGTATTTTCTGTTACCTCAATAATGAAGAGTAAATGAGAACTTCCAATTATGAATTCATCTATATCTCATTTCTAAGCCCTCTAATTACTGAAAACGTTAGACGAATATGTGATTTCATCTACCTAATAGAACAAATATCGTATTTGGACTGCCAATTATTTTGTCCACCACGAGGGGGGTGCAGTCTGCGGGCCAAGTCTTTGCTTCTCCTACCAATGAGTCCTCGTCATTCTTTTCTGGCTGATCAGTTCACACCTCACTCGAGCCACCACTCTCTGCCACTCCATCTCCACCTCCAACCAACTTCCACTCTCATTGCAGCTCTACATGCTTGTCAGTTGCGCTGTGTTGCTTGTCTACCAGCTGTCCCCTTGCCCACATACTTGGTTGCCTGTCGAGTCCATCGAGCCTGTCATTTCTCTGCTATCCTCCTTCCCTGGATTACCTTAACGAGCAACTCCGGCATATATGCCTTAGTGTGATCTCACACTTGCATTTACCTTAAGTAAGTGTCCATGTGCCTGTCTTTACTCCATCTATTCTCCTAGAATTTTCTTTCGTCAGCAAAACTATGAACCTGGCCTTTCAATTTGGAGGTCAACGTGTCAGATTGCGAATTACATCCTCAGCCAACCGAACGCTCCGGAAATCCAAAGTGGCGTGCAGCAGACATATACGCGCAAGATAGTCGGAGCATCCTGCGAGAAAACCAGATGGCAAGGAGACGTAGGGCTGACTCGAGCAGCACGCAGCCCACTTCGAACCCTATGACAACTTCCCGTCGGCGATCGACTCTACGAGATCTGCAGAGCTCTTCGAACGATGGAGATGTGATCGTGCCAAAGGTCATCAATGCTGCGCCGTCATTGGAAAAAGCACAAATGTTTGGTATAGAAGATCCACGGCCCGCGTCCTCGAGGATGCTGGCCATGGCCGGACGTATTTTCGTCGAGACGATTCCACAATGGCTGGCGGTCGGAGGTATGCTGGCGTTGATTTTTGGCGGATGTTGCTCAAATGTGAGTGATGCTGGATTGGTGTGGTTTTGATGTCGGGAAGGAGGCTTATGATTCATACAGGTCTTTGCGCTGGAAGCTATTGTCAAGTGAGTATTCCTAAAACCATTTCTGCATAAATGCTAATAATCTATTTAGGGTCGAGCCAGACAGTGGTATGTTCCAGATATGCGATTTGAGGAAACACCTTTCTAACAGGAAAAAGGAACACTCTTGACTTTTGTCCAATTCCTCTTTGTGGCTGTCACCGGTTATATTTCTCAATTCGACAAGAAACGTCCTCCTCTATTCCTAAAGCCGAACCGAGTACCAATACGAAGATGGATGATCAATATTCTTCTTTTCTTCACGATCAATGTTTTAAACAACCATGCGTTTAGTTACAATATCTCAGTGCCTATACATATCATCTTAAGGTCCGGCGGAAGTATCACAACTCTTGCGGCAGGATATCTGTGGGGGAAGAGATTCTCAAGGATACAAGTTCTGGCAGTCACTCTGCTCACCATTGGAGTTGTGATTGCGGCATGGTCAGATCAGCAGTCAAAGGCACGTTGAACATTAGATGATAGAATTACCCGCTAACTGTTTGACAGAAGGGTGTTGAAACCGCCCAAGGGCTACCTCCGTTCAGCACAGGACTTGCTATCCTCTTTGTAGCCCAGGTACTTTCAGCTATCATGGGATTATATACCGAAGAAACATACAAAGAATACGGTCCACATTGGAAGGAGAATTTGTTCTATTCGCATCTGCTAGCGCTCCCACTCTTTGCGCCCTTCTTACCGGCAATGCGTAGGCAGTTTTTCAAACTCGCGGCTTCAGAACCATTAGGCCTGCCCTGGCAAGATTCGTACACTAGTCTACCAGCTGAACTTCAAACTGGTCTAAGCAAGATTCACATTCCTAGCCAACTTGCCTATATGGTCACCAACGTCTTGACGCAGTACGCATGCATTCGCGGTGTCAACCTATTAGCTTCAGCAGCCTCAGCACTTACTGTAACCATTGTTTTGAATGTACGAAAGCTTGTAAGCTTACTCCTCAGTATATGGCTATTCGGAAATAGATTATCCCCCGGAACTCTTCTTGGAGCAATCATTGTATTTGGGGCTGGAGGCATGTACGGACTTGAAGGAGGTTCAAAGAGCTCTGGTAGGAATAGACATAGGGCCAGCGTAAGCACGAATGGAAAAGTAGGATAGCAATAAAAAATAGCGATACATTTTTAAAAAAAGCTTGGAACTTATTTATGTGTGACTAACAAGATTATTTTTACAAGCATAATTTGTTAGTGAACTAACACCAAAAATCACTTCCATGTCAAGTTGATTCAGAGTCTCACAACTTCCGAGTCCATGTCACCCATAATTCTTAGTAATCTACCCACTGAAAGCTTGCGGGATTAATCCAGTCAATCGGTGAAACAAAACCCTTGAAGCTGGGGAAAAAGTAATTCGCGCCACGAAATCGCGTCTCTCGGCACAGATTCCAACAGCTTGGGAGCTACATATACTTTCACGCCGCCCAGTGTCAGACTTGACAACAACTACCACAAATGGCCCACAACAACCTGGACGATTCGGACTCGCCAATCTTACCAGCAGCCGCCTTGTCCGACGATGAGACGCCAGAGGCCGTTACCCCGCTGCCCGAGCAAGATGGTATGCTCTTACGGGACCGACAGCAAAAGACGGCGTACTACGACTACACCGCTGAGAAGCAATTGAGTCAAACAGATGCAAAGCTGTTTTACCAGCGAAGTCAATTAGAATCTCAGAAAACTGGTGGGAGCAACTGGGGTCAATCACAGAGCTCCCCGCCGGCTAGTCCTTTGTTAGCTTCCAGACTTGCTCATAACGGATTTGATGCTTCTGCAGCAGCTGGTGTGAGACGGTCTGATAGTGTCAGCTCCTTGAAGAGTGCGCAAAAGCAGGGCACCGGCAGGTAAGTGGAAATTGTTGATTGAAACTCTGGAAGGCTGGCTAAGTCGTTTATAGCACTGTTAAGTACAGGCCTGCCTTCCCCTCTGGCCTCGCAGATCCGAACAAACATCCCGAAAGCAATATTATTCAAGACCCCGGTGCAGGTCTTGTACAGAGTCCAGTTGGTATACATCGCACTGAGTCTCTCCTCCAGGCGGATCGCGCTGCCAGAGATCATTCTGCCCACCCATACCTACCCCACGAACCAAAGCCTTTGCTCGAAAATGAAGGAGTACATGGAGCAGGAGCAGGTGTGGGAATTGGAGCAGGCCCTGGCGGGTTTGCCGACAATGATGATCAAATTACTTCCGAGTTGAGCACTATATATTCAAACATACAGAAAATACTAGACATCCGACACAAGTATGTGCGATTGTCTTTGCAGAGCAATGGAGACAATCCTAAAGATGAGCCCAATTGGAACATCTATCCTCCACCTCCAGAACCAGCTTGGTATGAGGAGAACCATCGCCACAACACTGGCTTCGCAGCTGGTCATGGGAGTCAGAACGCAAGCATGTCAAATAGTATGGTGCTTGAAAGACCCATTAGTAAGAGCAATAACACCTCGAGAAACTTCAGCTCGGCCAGCCTATCACAAGCGGGTCAGAGCCCTAATAGCAACAAGCCTCCCAAGAAAAAGCGCAAGCCAGGTCAAGATATTGGTGAGGACTTCGATATTGAGGACGTCTTGCCAGTACCAGGCACTAGTGATCCTGAAATGACATTCCGGATGGACAGCAACAGTGTCTATCAGATTTATGAGAATGCCGAAGCAGACAAGATTGACAGCCCTGTGATCAATATCCCAACCATCCGAGAGTTCTATATGGATCTAGAATTCATCCTCAATGTCTCCTCTGATGGTCCTAGTAAGAGTTTTGCTTTCCGCCGACTTCAGTATTTGGAGGGAAAGTTCAATTTGTATGTTCTTTTGAACGAGTATCAAGAGATGGCAGACAGTAAAAGAGTTCCACATAGAGATTTCTACAATGTTAGAAAGGTTGATACTCACGTACATCATTCTGCTTGCATGAATCAGAAGCATCTGTTGCGTTTTATCAAGAGTAAGATGAAGAAGTGTCCAGATGAGGTTGTGATGTTTAGAGATGGAAAACATCTTACACTGGAAGAGGTCTTTCAAAGTATTAACTTGACGGCTTATGATCTGAGTATCGATACACTCGATATGCATGTAAGAGACTACATTACGACGTATAGAGCCAGCCAGTGCTAATATTTCCCAGGCACACACAGATTCATTTCATCGTTTTGACAAATTCAACTTGAAGTACAACCCTATAGGGGAATCCCGACTTAGAACTATCTTTCTTAAAACAGACAATTTCATCAATGGAAGATATCTAGCAGAGATAACCAAAGAAGTCATGTCAGATCTTGAAGCAAGCAAATATCAAATGGCAGAATGGCGTATATCTATATATGCAAGAACAATAGATGAATGGGACAAATTAGCGGCTTGGGTCGTCGACAATAAACTCTTCTCGCACAATGTTCGCTGGTTGATTCAGGTGCCTCGACTATTTGATGTTTACAAGTCTAGCGGGTTGATGGAGAATTTCGAACAAGTCGTCAAGAATCTCTTTCAACCTCTGTTTGAGGTTACCAAGGATCCTTCCAGTCATCCAAAGCTTCATATCTTTTTACAACGCGTGGTTGGATTTGACAGTGTCGATGATGAGAGCAAACCTGAACGTCGACTTTACAGGAAATTTCCTGTTCCAAGCGAATGGAATTCAAAGCAGAATCCACCATACAGCTACTGGATTTACTACATCTTTGCTAACATGACTTCGCTTAACACATGGAGGAAGCAGAGGGGTTTCAATACCTTTCTTCTGCGACCACATTGTGGTGAGGCTGGTGATAGTGATCATCTTGCTGCTGCTGTTCTTTGCTGTCACAGTATCAGTCATGGTCTTCTTCTTCGCAAAGTTCCATTACTCCAATACATCTTCTACCTAGAACAAATCGGCGTTGCTATGTCTCCACTAAGTAACAATGCCCTCTTTCTAGCATACGAACGTAATCCTTTCCAAGGATATTTCAAACGTGGACTTAACGTCTCTCTTTCCACCGATGATCCTCTACAATTTGCTTTCACCAAGGAACCGCTTATCGAAGAGTACTCTGTCGCGGCTCAGATTTACAAGCTAAGTGCTGTCGACATGTGCGAGCTGGCCAAGAACTCGGTCAAGCAGAGTGGATATGAACTTGCTGTTAAGCAAAGATGGTTGGGTCCGAATTGTAATTTACCAGGAGTGAAGGGGAACTTTATGGCGAAGAGTAATGTCCCCAATATCAGGGAGGGCTTCAGACATGAGACCCTCCTGCAAGAACTCGCTATGTATACCACCCCATTTCCCTCATTTCCACCACATACTAACAAACCCAGGATCGAACGCTACACAGCGATGGCCCATCCTCCCCCAACTCACACTGACATGCCTTCCTCCCTCCCAACGACCACCGATCACCCTATGCCAACCCCTCGCTCTCCCGAGTCCTCCAAACAAGCTCACGCCGGTTCAACCACCTCCGCCGAATCCACCATCCCGCCCTACCAACCCTTCCCCGCTCAATCCGCACGCATCCCGTCACAAATCCATCTCGACGGACACGCGGCGCTCGGTTCGCCCGTCCAGTCTGCTCGGATGGCCGCGTCGCCGCATCTGGGGGGTCTCAGCCGTGAGGGGACGTGGCCTGTAGAAGGGTTCTCCGATCTTCATCTCAGTGCGTCGGAGCCGAGGATCTTTCCTGGACTGGTCAGTGGGCGCCAGAGACGGGGGAGTACGAGGCAGGGAAGCATGCATGAGGATGATGGGGTGGTGTTTGGGAGTGCGAAGGGCAAGGAGAGGCAGGGGATGGTTGAGGAGGGTGAGGAAGGGGAGGAGGAGGTGGAGAGTGATGCTGGGAGTAATTAGGATTGAGTGGTTTGGAATGAAGATATGAATGAGTGAATGAAGGATTCAACAAATAAGAGTCATTGTTAGCGTAGTGTAGCAGAATTTCAACATGTGGGATTAGAGAATAGATTCTTCGACATTGAATTAAGCGAGAATAAATGAAGATGAAATGAAGATGAAATGAAGATGAAATGAAGATGAAATGAAGATGAAATGAAGATGAAATGAAGATGAAATGAAGATGAAATGAAGATGAAATGAAGATGAAAAATGTTTATATTTAAACAGAATGAGCTTTACAGGATTTGTGTCTGGGAAATTTCGGTGTATTAACTGAGTTTAGTTGAGATAGGTAGGGAGTAATTACTACTTAGCTTAACTCACACTAGTTTGAGTAATTCTTTAAAACACTGAAATCTGGTAGTTTGAATAGGGCTTGTTTGGGGGTCGGGGGATGGTGTGGGAGAGACTGAGTGGGAAAGAGGGTTTTTTAATGTGGTGTTGAGAAATTGGAATTAAACTTAAGGATGTAGAGAGGGTTGTGATAGTTCCATTTGTGTCTAACTATTTAGCGTTCTATCTTATTTAACCAGCAATGTTTCAATTAGTCGTTATACATACACCACAGGACTTATGAGTGGAAGTTCATACCTACCTTAACCCAACTCAACTCAAATCACCTACCCTACAGAACTCACGGACGAGTTCGACTACTTCGACTAATCCTTTACTTACCACTATCGAAGACGCTCATCAACCATTAAACTCATCAACCATTAAACTTATCAACCATTAAACTCACCACCCAGTTAGACACCCTAATCACCAAAAGACACGTAAAATAACAATTTCTTATCCAAAAAACCCCATATCTCTCCGAGATGAGAGCAAAGGGTAAAGCAACCATAGGATTAATGAGGAATAAACAAAACACCTATAGAATACAACCATCCAGCACTTCCATCAATGCAACCATTTTCTTTCGTATCCACAATACACCAATAACCCTACGCATGAACCCCCTCAATAGTATCATCCTTCTCCACATTCCGTCTTCGCACCTCAGTGGAATCAAGATCCACCTTGACCGTCCCATTGACCCCCGTACTCTTCGACGCCGACATCTTTGCTTTCCGTCGCTCCTCCTTGGGAGGCTGGAATCGCTTCCGCACCGTCTCGATCATCTTGCCGAACCAGTAGAAGTTGAGTGTGTTGAGCACGATGTTGCTGCCGAGGTATGTGAATGCGAGCCAGAGAGGCACGAATTCTGGACCAGCGAATTGCATGACGCTGTTGTGGATTGGTGCTGCGCTTTTGCCATGTGCGGCTTCGTAGCCGGCGGCGGTGCCGTTGTTGAGGGCGTCGATGGCGATGGTGTTGCCGAGGGGTTGGTGGTGGACTGCTTTCCAGACGTCTTGGTAGACGCGGACGGATTGGTAGGTGCCCCAGACGAGACGGCAGGAGAAGAAGGTTGCGAGGAGGGCGATACCGTTATAAAGCTGGGGTTTGGAGCCGGTCATGTCGAGTTTGTCGAAGAACCAGTGGAAATTGAGGAAGGGGGAGGAGAGTTCGTAGAGGATGAATGTGCATCCGTAGAAATTGACAAAGGGTCTCTGCGGGTTTCATTAGCATGTACCTACTCTTTCGAAATATGGGAACTTACGAAGCCAAAAGAGAAGACCAAGAGAGCACTCAAAGCATGCGCCAGCATACCAAGGCCAAACAGCTTAACATTCTGCAGCGTAACCACCAAATCCCAAAGAAAATACCCCGTCGCCATCCCCTGAATCATGCCCGCGCCCCCCGTATACCCCCAAACCCTCTCCTTCCAATCCATATTCTTCCTGTCCTCATCGGCATACATCACCCACAGGGCGAGGGCATTGATCACCGTACTCTGGCACAACGACACCACATGTACATCCCAGTTGATCTTCCTTTCTGGAGTGAGCTTCGCATATTTAGTCGGGACCAGCTTCCTCGAAATCCACGGCGCGAAGGCGATATTGATGAAATAATATCCTAGGAACGAGATGACCACCTCGTGGATATGGAATGGCAGCGTCGTGAGCCCGGTATAGTCAGCGAAAGGCTGCACGGCATTGCTCAGCCATTCGATGCGAGGAATAGGAAACGGATCGTGCATGGCGGTGTCGGCCTCTCGAGGCGGAATAATAGGAGAACGCGCAGGAGAAGCGAGTATTTATGTTTTACTGTTTATTTACTTTCTCTCCTGACACGAGGCGTAACTCGAGGTGGTGGTGCGAGGTGAACGATGAAGCGCTTCGACGCTATCTCCGAGGTTGCAGCTTCCAAGGTCGGGTTCCCAACAAAAGGGCAGTGACGAGGGGCCACGCGATACCGCTTTGGGATTAAGGGTCTAGGGACGTCGCTTAGGATGGGGTTGGAGATGATGCAAATGAAGCTTTTGATAGTTGGAAACTACAACCATAAATTCAATCCAGGAGAGTTTGCGACGACCTTGCGATGGAGACTTATATGCGCAGCAAGGCTCAGCCAGCCGCATGAATGCCTTCTTGTCTCACACTTACGCTGAATCCTACTTCACGCGGCCCAGCCTAGATTCAGGCGGCCACGTGAGTCAGTTTTACTGTCTCAGGCTGAGAGTTTATATTCCAATACAATATGTATGATCTATACACGGCTGGTGATCTGACCTCTATATATGGTCGTTCTGTCTCTCCCAGCGTCATTCACTATACTCTGAGTGGTTGTTCTAGCTCGGAATGACCCAGAACTCGTGGTTGATTCGTTGCCGAATACTACAAAGTCTGCTCGGTCTCCTATACTTAAACATAAGTCATCTGCTTCCACCGAAAAGCTCTCACTGTCATTAGATTTGCTCTGTTTTGTAGACAGAGGCTTCAGCCCAATGGCATGTCTTGCTCGGCTTGATACACATTGCTGTTGAACTAATTAGTGCTGTTCTAGCTTCTATCTTCATTTTTCAAAGGTGCCATATGAACTTACCAGCAGAATATCCGCATCTTCTTTTGTTCCAGCCTGATACACAGCAACCCCCAGGCTAGCAAGACTAAGCGGATCGCAATTACCTTGCGGCGTAAAAGCGTTGCCAACATTATTTATGCCTATCGCCCCATTCAAGCCATACTTCTTGATCATCTGTGGTATCTGAAGCGTGCCCCGAGGTCTAACACCACCACCCAAATCCGAGTCCGGCCGTCCCATCATGAACAGATCCGATGTGGGGAGTCCTACAAAAGAGACGGGCAAGTTACCAATGTTATCTCTTAGTCTATCCCACTCCTTGTTGTCAAAAAGCGTAAGCCTAGTGCAATGTCCAAAGACTATCGTCCTGAAATCCGGAGAACATTCTTTTGATGGCCAATTCATGGAGTCTAAAAGCTCCAGTGCCTCGAAAACCATAGAATGATTCCTCGCATCCAGGTTATAATCAATATGAAAATCCACATGAAGCGTATACTTCAGCGCCATCTCAACCGTAAACCTAATATTCTCAACCTGAGCCTTCCTCTCCCCACCCTTTTCCACATAAGGCGTACTCCCCAACACCTCCACACCCTCTCGCCCCACTGCCTTCTCAAGCAATGCCTTCATCTCCTTTCCCGCATCCTCATACGACACAATAGCATTCTGCGCAAACACGCAAATCTGCACATAACACCTCTCCTTGAACCGCTCTTTCAACTCAAGACCGGCGTCTAAACACTTCATCCCAACATCAAGATCAACTTCCACGAAAGCTCTCATGTGCGTGACTCCAAAACTGATACTTTCCTCGATCAAAGCCTGACCTCGCTCTATGAGATCGTCGTGTGAGAAGCGGGATTTAGCTTGGCCTTTAATACCGTCATTAACACTATAGGTCTTGAATATAGTGAGAGGCACGGCTTACCTACTTGTCAATTTCATAGCTTCGGCAAAATCCCCGTCTTGGATTTCTAGGTCCGCGTATCTGGGGTGGGAAAGGAGGAAGCATTTGTCGAGGTGGATATGGGGATGGCAGAGACTCGGTGTGAGAAATCGGTTTGATGATGGATGTTTGGAAGAGCTTTTTGTTATTGAATGTATTCTGTCATTTTGACAGGATATGTTCCAACGAGTGTTTTGCGGTTTGCCGGCCATGTAGACATCATTGAAGGCGAGACTGGGTGGTTGTGAGGCCATGATACTTGAGGGATGAAGATGAAGCTTGGTTGTGTACGGGGCGTCAAGTGATTAAGACGAGAGGAAACAGGCGCGAATAAATGTAACACGGATGTAGAGGCTATTATCACACTCCGTCTGCAAAAGTGTAGCTATGGTGGTAGTGAAATATGGTGGGGTAGATTGGCGGGGTTCATTGATGATGACTTTACTACGTAAACATCTATGAATGATCCCGCAACACCACTACCATTGTTCTAGACTACAGGTAATGAACAAGATTAGTTAGAAATCACATTCGTGACACCATACAGTAATTAGATGTTTGACCACATAGAAGGACTAGGTGCAGAAATTAATCGTGGATGTACTCAGATACCCTGTGTACAAATTAGATGGTGTGATCAATTTAGCGAGGTCAAAAGGGGCTGCTCGAGTTCAATACAAACCGTCTAGAGGTTTGAGGTTGGGAGATTTTACGTTAGTTTCGCAGAGTTAGGTAAAATCCGAAAGCTAGATTATAGATAGATTAAAGAACAATTTTGGTTTAAGACCTAGAAATCTTGGAAGTGCTGTAATGGTTTTACTGTACCGATGAACAAGCATAGACTGATCGAAATCCTAAGTACTTAGACATATGTAAGCTCGACGAAACTAGAGTATTCAGAAATTTGCTCGCTGGTCGAAATGCCAGCCTCCCTCGAGCAAATGGTCCAAAGGGTGAAGGCTTGTCTGCGGTATCTTTATCATTTTCAATGGCCGTCATCGCCCGAAGTAGGAGCTTGGTATGATACCATTACCCGTGCCACAGAATCTTCCCGTATAGACAGTCTCTCACTGATCTCATATATACTCAACTATGCGCCTTGTTGAACAACGGTAAAATCATATCATCTGTAGCACTTACTTCGGCAGGTGAGCGACGAATCCTAAGCGTCTCCTGCAGCGACTTAACTTTCGGACCGATTTTGCTCTTCGTTTCTGGGCCAATATTCGTGAATAGTAGAAAGGTGATGAGAATCCCAATCGGGGTCGTTATGGCAAAGAACAACCAAAACTTCGGCTCGCCAACAGCATAATCCCCACCGATAGAGAACACGCTAGCGATGAATCCGAGACGTAGAAATACAGTCGCTAGCGTCGTCAATCGGCCAACAGACGAAGACTGTTCGTTAGCTGTACGTATCGCACTCAATCAAGCTGCCTGAGTCCAAATCGAAGCCATGCGATCCACGTCCCTTCTCAGCGAACTGAACCGAGCTTCCACAAGATTCCACTCATCTGTTTCCCAGTCATCGACTATGCTAGATCTTCCCCCTCCGCCAGGTCGGACTTCAAGTACTTTCAAATTTCGCAGCAGAAATATCAAAACGTATTCCAGATCGGCTTTCAACTGAACGAGATCCTGGAAAAGCCATGTTTGCCAGAGGACACTTCCTTCGTCGCCATTGACCTGCTTATGATGATTGTTGAGGATATACCGCATTCTGTCTACATAACCAATCCAGAAAGATAGCGTGAGACGCCGTATGATAGAGGTACAGCTTGTCGGATCATCCGTCACTGGGTGGTGGCCCTTAGAATATGCGTATAATGTTTCCTCATATATGGACCGCATGCTAGGTGATCGTTTGGGAATATGCCAGGTGTCTATATCTTCCGATAGATCCTTATTAGCTGTTAAGCTCGGGTATTGCATGCCGAAGCCTGTGGCTGGGTCGCCCTCAGCTATGTTGATTTGGCGTTGCTCACGCTTGTCACCATGACGAATTTCATCCCCTAGGGGAGGATCAACAATTACCACGGCTGTTAATATATTGTGAGCTTAATGGACCTTCAGCCGAAAAATCAATAAAATAACACACCTGTCCAGTCCCCATTTCTATACTCCTTGCTCCAAAACGAAATGACGTTCCACATTTCTCCAAAGCAGCCAGATAGATCTGTATCATTATCTTTGACGCCTTTCAGAATATATCGTCTAACGTGAGAGTTTGCTCGATACAGTAGGCCACCACCGTCGAGTTTCTGGTCTTTGACTGTCATGTAATGCATCTGAGGAGATTGCAGTACAAAGTAACCTCTAGAAGGCTGGCCTAAAATGAGTCCTTTACCTGCCGATCCGGTTTTTATTGGGCACGAGTAGTGAGCCGCGAAAAATCGCGGGTGGATTTTTAACCGGCTTCCCAATATCTCTACATAATTTCTTGGAAGGTCTTCCAGAATTATCATACGACGAAGAGGCTGGTACACACCAGACGATATTGTACCTTGAGGGAGGCTGTTGTTCGGTTCAGCATCCAGGTATTGTTGCAAAGCCGATGAGGAGCAAAATGGAGTTATACAAACATTTCCGTCGTTCAGAAAGTGGAGTGCTGCTGCTCGTCCTTTCTCGGGAAAAGCACCTTCTTGTTGGCGCTGGTTACTTGCAAAACTCGTAAACTCAAGCGTTCTTGTATTGTTGATCAATGCCCGATACGCCAACCTCGCGGGGTCCTTGCTATCGTCGAAATGAGGTTCCTCAGCTGACTGAGTAGCAATACTGGCACCGTAGTGGGCCATGTTTGTCAAGTCTAGACTCTAGAGCATGCAGTTTTATAAATGATTGTACGATTTGATTAAAGAGCCTGCCTTCTGGCATGGATAATTGCGTATCTGAAACTCAGAGCTTGAGGTGGCACGTATGAAAGACTTACTCGATATAATCGGGAAGGATTTGTTCAAACCTGCGCCAGTAAGGGGGGACGAATGATATCTGAGGATGTTGCATTATGCATGGCTGCAAGGCAGACAGAGTTGCATTTGAGTTTCGCGTCACCTAAAACACACTCATATGATGGAAGTGATGTCCTTGAGAAGAAGTTCCTAATAGATAGAATTACAGTCATGACATCAAAATTTTAAAGAGATCAGGTTGGTACATACACAGATTCGTGAGCTTTCAGCGGTCAGCAAAAAGCTTCAGAAACATTTTCATCTCATGCAGAAAATCACAAGAAATTGCGGCAAAGATAATGTGTTCTAGCAAGATGCCAGTGATAGGTAATTTCAGCGGAATATCTGGGAAGGACGCAAAGTATACGAAGGTTAAGAGAGTAGGTGGAAGTAGTTACTTGTAGGGTGGACCTATGAGTTTCGGTAGCTAGCATGTGATGCGTTTTCTCTTCGAAATCGTCTCTAGTCAAAGGGCAAAACGGTGTAGACTCAGAAGGGGTACAATAGGGAAAGACCAAATGCTCTCAATCAGCCTATTTCAAATGTCAATTGGAAGAAAATTGAGTACAATATTCGGATTAGAAACGCATGCGAATGTTAGCACCACGATAAGAATTATTAGCGAGGCTGAATAGGAACACCTCAACAGCAACGTCAGAGCTTCCCAACTTGCAACACTTCAGTCGAGTAAGCAGATATGGCAGATCCATTGTATGAACTGTTAATTCCTTATTTCGAGAAAGACACTACCCGTCAACCACCAAATTACAAAGATCCGAGCACGAATACATATCTCTCGCGTCTCACCACGCTTCCTCTCAGCTCCCTTACAACCACGGAACCACAATCCCTTTCGCAAACGACACACTCACTCTTGATTTCTCTCCAAGCGCTCTCCAAACGATCGCACAAATCTGTAATAGAATCTGCCACACATCTATCTACATTACGAACCACCCTACCGACTCTCGCACAATCTACAGCCTCTCTGCGAGATGCGCTTCCCAAGCTCGACGATGCCGCAATTACCTTCAGCGAAACCTACAATCTGCGCGCAGAAAACACAAATCCCCTATTAGACAGGCGGCGGAAAGCTCTACTGCTCTCTCGGAATATAGACCGTCTCTCAGACGTACTCGACCTCCCAACCCTCCTTTCGACTGCGATATCTTCCTCCTCAAATACTGCTGCGTCTACGAATTTAAATACTAGTAACTCAAATACGACCTTGAATTATGCCTCAGCTTTAGACCTCAATGCACACATCAAACGTCTTCATGGCTTATACCCGACCTCGCCGCTCATCACGAGTGTCAGTCTCCAAGCCGAAACCGCGATGCAGGATATGTGTACGAATCTAATCGCCAGTCTACGAGGAAACAGTCTCAAGCTAGCAAGTGCTATGCGAACAATAAGCTGGCTACGAAGAGTAGCGCCTGAGTTAGACCCTATACCAACGAACACCTCCCTCAACACCAATTCCATATCATCAGGTTCGGGAACCACCAGAGAAGGCGCCCTGGGCTCTCTCTTCCTCGTCTGCCGCCTCGCAAACCTCCAACAAATGCTCTCAGCACTCTCCCCCCTCCGCGATCTCGCAGACCAGGAAACCGCCAAACTAGCTACCCAACCATACACCAGCAGCAAAGAGAAAAGTAAATGGGAAGGCGGACAACAGACGGAACGCTATCTTAAAAAATACATTGAGATCTTCCGGGAGCAATCGTTCGCTATAGTCAGCATGTATCGCTCCATCTTCCCACCCCCAGCCATCACGCCGGAAGGCGTGAAATCATTCGTGCCTCAAACGAATGTCGATCCGCTTCTGCCTTTACCGAGCGCCCTCGGCACGTTCCCGCAGAAGTTGGTGGGCATGTTGGAAGATACGTTAAGGGAGTATCTACCTAACGTGCGCGATCGGAGTTCGAGGGATAGTTTGTTAACGCAGGTTCTATATTGTGCGGGTAGTTTGGGCAGGTTGGGCGGGGATTTCAGTCTGATACTTGCGTTTTTGGGGGACGGGGATGAGGACGAGGAGGATGACGAGTGGGTGGAGGTCATTAGGAAACATAGGGTGCTGGCTGGGAGGTTGGAGTTGATGGTTGGGGCGAGGGAGGGATGAGGGTACTTTCGAACTTGATGGCTCAACTGCAATCGTTCAGTTGAGAACGGCGAAGAGTACACCAGAGCTGGCCAATTGTGTCAGTGCAATTAACAACGCTGTACTCAACCGGATGTCTACGATCTAAACAAACGTTGTATTGCAACGTTTTATCTACCAATTGCGTCGGTGCAATTACCAACACTGTACCCTCCCAGATATCTACGACGTAGAGAATGTCCTTGTTACGGATGTACAAGATACAACGTTTTGTGGCTCGAGGAGATGTCATATGTGGTCGACGATTAGATGTTGGGCTTCGGAGATGATGAGGAGTTGCGACACGAGAAGATGTGCTGGAGTCGGTCGATGTGGAGGTATACGGAGGGACGACACTAGATGAGGGACGAAAGTTCGGGTCTAGACATCTCACAGATCTATGTATGGTGGGATCCGAAGCTTGCAGCTTCATTCCCCAGATCCATGATGAAGAGTCGAGTGTACATACCTGAAAAATCTACGGAGTCTGAATTACGAATCTATAACTTCAGGGCCGAGCTTAACGATGAAGATGCGGAGTGTATATATCTCAGAAGATCATCGGCTAGCTGTGTGATAATTCTATCCAAAGACAGCATCATCACAACGAAAAAATGCTTGGTGCAAAGCTACTCGAGATAAGATCTGATTGTAAAGATTGTACTTGCATTAAATCATTATATTGTACCAAAATCCGCACTACGGCACGCTGGGCTCTCTAGTATGATGAAGACCATACTATCTCTACACACATTCTTCAATATTCTTCAATCTTCAAATCAGCACCTCAAGAAATCTCCCTCACCAAAACTGGCGCCACAGTAACCTCCGTCTTCCCCTCCTCCTTCACCAAAACTCCACTCCCATTCCCACTCCCCTCACTCACACTCGCAACCTCACTTTCTACGCTACCCTTTTTCTTCAAAAACGGCAAGTGCCCCCTCGTCTCCCGAAACCTGAGCACGATAAACCCCAAAATCACCGCAATCCAATACACATTATACGAAATCACACTGCCATACGTCGCGCTATTCGTCCATCCAAACAGCGCATTGAAGATGCCCCAACCGCCGCCGCCGTTCAGCTCGGGATTGCCGTAGTTGATATGCCACACGCTCTGGTCGATATCGTAGGAACCTGGCCCGGCGCCGATTTCAGCGGCGTCCCCGCCGACAACGTTGTTCCAGGTTTGCGCTTGGATGTACCAGATTGCTTTTGAGAAGAGGCCGGCGGCGACGAGGTAGAGGAGGCAGGTTGAGACGACGAGGAAGAGTTGGAGGCGAGAGGTTGCGCCGCCTCTGGGGTGGTGTTAGCAGGATATCGGGGAGTGGGAATTGAGATTTGGTAAAGGCGAGGGAACGTACTTGTATAAAACATAACCAGCTGCACAGCCAGCTAATAACCCGCAAACCACAGGTAAAGGCACTGCCGCAGCCGGACTACTAAAACTCACACCCGCAATAAAAATAATCGCCTCCAGCCCCTCCCTTAGTACCGTAATAAACGGCAACATAAACATCGCGTACTTTTCGCACCATCTCTTAAACACCGCCCAGCGTCCGCTATGTCCTGCGGTAACGGGCTTAGACTCGAGCGCCGTGGCCAGCTTGACGCGCCATTTGTCCTGCATCTTCGAGATGCGGAGGAGGGCGGCGCCGAGGATGCTGATGATGAGCGAGGCGAGGAGCGAGAAGCTGGCTTCCCAGTAGTCTCCAAGAAGTTAGCATATGAATAATTGTATGTTTAAGAGAAAAGAGAAGTGTCTGAGGATGAAACTCTTTGGCAGCCAATTAGAGTAGGAGCTTAGGAGGGAGAACAAAGGAGAAAGTCGCATACATTCCGAGGTCGACCATTTGTTTTTGCCGATGGTGTAGAAGGCGCCGATGAGACCGGCGCCGATTATGAGGCAGAGGAGGAGGCCGAGGAGTGTTCCGTACCAGACCTGGGTGGTGTTAGTTTTGGGTTTGGGATGGAGGAATGGGTGAGATTTTGGGGCCTTGAAATGGTGAAGGACAGATGAAGTGCATGATACTAGAGTGAGTTATGATGGGTACGTACTTGTCTAACGAGTTTCTTGTAGACTGCTTGGTCGGCGGATGGACCTGAGAGGGTTTGTTTGAGGAATGCGAGGAGCACGGAGCAGATTACTGCTACTTCTAGAGTCTCCCGGAAGACGATGAAGAAGACGGGGACGGCGAAGACGTCTTTTGCCATTTTGGGTGGTGGTGGTGTTGACAAAATGGGATAGTTGAGAAGAAGTTAATGTGAACTTGGGAAGATGAGATGAGTTCGACCCGCGGATGGTCTTGATGTGAGTGTAGAGACGAGTTCGACCAGCGACTATGAGAAGTCTGGTTGAAATTGACTGTTCTTGAAATCGAGCTCGAGATTGAAGGAAGTTGCCGTCCGGAAGTGTGATCAGATATGATAATGCAGTACGATCTGATTAGACGGCAAGTAACCGGGATGCTAGTCTCTAGGTTCTCTTTTTTTGGGCGTCGTGAAATAGCCGAAAGTCAGGCAATTATTCTATGACCAGACGCTACGTGTCAGACAAGTAGGATGGCGGTTCTACGCCGAAGACCGGAAGTGGTCGATGTGAAGGGTGAGTTGTGGAACGATGTCGTTCGAGGGACGGGAAGTGAGGAATGATCTGGGGAGGTAGATCCCGAGGTTTGAACTGGCAATTAAATTGGTGCTGAGATCATCCAGCTTAAGGCAAGACTTACACAAATCTAACTCGACTCGATCAAAGCATAAGCAAACCTCGAAATTCACATCACACCAAACTCTCCCTCTCCCCTCCCATTCATATTCCTCGGCACAGAAAAAAAGGCGCATTTGCTGCACCTAAGCGAACCCACGCACAATCCAGGCCAATCTACGGATCTGATAAGACAAGGATCTAATGGTTCTGATCCGGGTATTTCCCACCCTAACCACTGCCGTCCAATGACAAGGCCAAAGAGGATCTGATAATTTGAAAAAGTAAAAAGGCGGATCCACTTGGGGAGAAATGGATTTTTGCACAAGCTCTGCGAAGCGGGGGGTTTCATTGCTTGTCGGCTGTAAGCTTGGGGATCGTGACTTGGCGGAGGGGAGAGTGGGTTTGTTGTGCTTTTGTCGGTGAGGAAGATGGAGGAGTGGGAGATGTTACGAGTGTACCATTTGTCTGGTTGCTACTTACTTCCAATATCCTGATTTCTGGATTCTGGATTGGAAATAACGAACTCTCAATTGGCATTTGATAGCCTACTGTCGAACACCGATTGATACCCTTCGAGGGAACTTACAGCGGAAAGGATCCTTCCGCTCAACAGATGGATGGTCAAGTACTACCGACCCGCCACCCTGTTTGCTCCACCTATCTTACCTGTCAAAACGATCACCCTCGACTCACTTTTTGGCCGCTTTCTCCCGTCCACCTAGGTTTAGATGCCGTCTAGAGACTACGTCTAGGCAAGAATCGTACGAATACGGGAATAACGCTGTTCTTCGTCCTAATATTAGTCTTTCCGGTCTGTTTTACTTCTCAAAGCGCTTCGTCTCTAAACCCAATCCCGCCCTTTACGAGATATACAACGGTCACATAATCGTTCCATCCATACCCCCACCATTACCTGATCACCAGCAAGAATCAAACTTCTTCCCATCGAGGTATTCCACGGTTCACAGCTCACTTCCACCACTCGATTTAAAAAAAAGCACTTTCCCAAGTAAGTTCAAAATCCGTGGACCACCCCAACCCGCGATCATCTGCACCAGTCTGCGAGACAAAGTTCTAGTCCGCCAAATCAAAAGCGTCCAGCCATTCTCACCACGGCTAATTCGCCAACTGATGACGGCTCGAGCTGCAGAAGACTTGATGGATACGGGATCCCCTGCAATCAGATCATCTAATCTGTATCCCCTGCCGTCTCTCCACATCACATCTTTTTCTTCCAGCTCTCTCCCGTCTTCAAGTTATCAATTACTCGACGCCACTGCTGATTGAGTCCTGCAGACCCTCCCCTCTCTCTCACTTCCCGTCCGGGCCTCGGTGATCGCCAAGCTGTGGGCAACGCTTGAAGCGGTGATCTAGGAATTGCTGTCAACCACTTCCTCGGAACAGACCCATATTCAATCTTTGTCGTCTCTGTTTCAACTTGCTAAATCACAACTACGACAGTTTACGAACTATTTCGTGAGCCTCAACATGGCTATCTCACTTTCATACTTCCCCATCCTATCAGTCCTGCTTCTCGCATGCGGTCGACTCGCAGAAGCAGGTACTGTCGTCTATGATTTCAACATTGGCTGGGTACGAGCAAACCCGGATGGTCAACATGAGAGACCTGTTATTGGCGTTAATGGAAAATGGCCTCCTCCTGTAATGGAAGCTACGAAGGGCGATCGGGTCATTGTTAATGTCGAAAACTCATTGGGAAATCAGAGCACGACACTTCATTTCCATGGGTTATTTCAGAATGGCACGACGTATATGGATGGGCCAGGCCAAGTTACTCAGTGCGATATTGCCAGTGGACAGAAAGTTACCTATAACTTTACAGTAAGTAGATTGACCAATATTGAAGTTGACCAGAAGCTAATAATTTACAGGTTGAGCAGTCTGGTACTTACTGGTATCACTCCCACGACAAGGGTCAATATCCTGACGGAATCCGAGCACCTTTCATTATCCACGACCCTGAATTCCCATATCAAGATCAGGTTGACGAAGAAGTCACTGTCTCAGTCTCCGATTGGTATCACGATGAGATGACACCCTTAATTGCAAAGTTCATCTACAAAGGAAATCCAACTGGTGCCGAGCCTGTTCCAAATTCCGCTTTAATCAACGATACCATGAACTTTACCTTAGCTGTCCAGCCCGGCAAGACTTACCTGTTTCACATGGTCAATGTTGGTGCTTTTGCGGGCCAGTATATTTGGTTCGAAGGCCATAATATGACGATTGTTGAGGTTGATGGCGTTCATACCGATCAGGCCGAGGCGCAGATGATTTACCTTTCTGCTGCTCAAAGATGTAGTTTCTTGCTCACTACCAAGAATGAGACTACGGCCAATTATGCATTTGTTGCTAGCATGGATACAGTAAGCGGTCTTGAATTTTTGTGTGACAAGCACTTACATGAAGTAGAGCCTGTTCGACGTCCTGCCTGATGACTTGCAGTGGAATTCGACTGGTCATCTCGTCTATAACAAGGACCTACCGTTGCCAGAAGCTGCTGAAGTAGCGGAACTTGACGAGTTTGACGACTTCACACTTGTTCCATACGATCATTTGCCGCTTTACCCAGAACCCGACCAAACTGTGACACTTGATGTTATTATGGATAACCTTGGAGACGGAAGACCATAGTGGGTAGTTCCCCTTTCATCATGTGAATTTACTAAGAAAGTATAGTGCATTTTTCAATAATATCAGTTACGTCGCCCCAAAAGTACCTACAATATATACGGTCATGTCGACTGGCGAGGATGCCTCTAATCCAGCCGTATACGGAGAGTACTCTCATCCTTTTGTTCTTGAAAAGGACCAGATCATTGATATTGTCGTGAACAACTTGGGTGCGTACCTAGTCTTCAACCCGAGCCATAGTTTAACCTAACATCATGCCAGATAGTGGAAAACACCCCTTCCATCTTCACGGCCACAACTTCCAAACACTAGTCCGAACCGCAGACGAAGCAGGTGTATTCGATGCTACCAACACATCTCAAACAGTCTATCCAGCGATCCCAATGAGACGAGACACACTTGTTCTTCACCCCGATGGGAACCTAGTCATCAGATTCAAAGCCAACAATCCTGGTGTTTGGCTCTTCCACTGCCAGTAAGTTTACCAATCCATCCTCGTCACTCGGGTCCCCTAACCAGAAATCTAGCATCGAATGGCATATGGACCAAGGTTTAATAGCCACCTTCATCGAAGCTCCTCTCGAAATGCAAAAATCTCTAGTCATCCCCGACGACCACCAAGCTCTCTGCAGAGCCAAAAACACTCCTATGCTCGGAAATGCGGCCGGTAACACCAAAGACTTATTCGATCTCTCCGGTCAGACCCATCCTCCTAACCCCTTGCCAGCGGGATTCACAACAAAAGGGATTGTAGCTATGACATTTAGTGTATTAGCAGCGCTCCTGGGTTTAGCTGCTATTGCGTGGTATGGTTTGGCGGATATGGGCGAAGCTAGTAGAGTTGAGGAGGAGAGAAGGATCGCGAGGATGGCGACCGATGAGACGACTACGGTAGGAACGGCGAATGAGAGGTCTGAGTCTGAGGGGAGTGTGAGGAAGGTCGGTTAGTGATTGATACCCTGTGGTTTTTGAATGTTTTAATATGTGGATGGTTGGGTGAGAGCGTAGATATATGGTGTAAACATAATATCTAGTGATTTTTGCGAATGATTAATTAATAAGTTCTTACCACTTGCTAGATACTATGATATGAGTGTTTATAAAGTGATCTCGATCCTAAATTGTTAATACGTATCGTGTACTTCGTATGACGTCTTGCTCAATCCCAGATGTGAATGTAGTAAGAGACTTTTGCAGAGTGGAACTATAGCTCAACTTATATAGAAGTATAATTATATTGAAACTCAAAAATAGCAGACTAAGCTCACGATTATTGTAATACTAAAATAACGACTAGGAGGACAAGTGAAGAAATCCACCAAAACGCAGTGGCTCGGCCCGAACACTTGGCACCCAATTGGTCCTCGGGCTCGGCATTCAGTTTTCCCCAACTTTCGTACCGTACACGTACGTCCAACATTTCGCGATCCCCTCGTTGTATTCCGTATTTACAATCACTCGTTCATTACCTCTATTAATCACTATCCATTCCGGCTTCGTCTGTATATAGTCCTTCTTCGAGCCTGGTTTTGTACATATCCGAAACTGCGAGTTGGAAATATTACATCTTTGCGCTCCGCATCTTTCTGCCGACGATTGAAACCTAGGATCGAGACGTTGACGAATTGTTCGGTGCTTGTTGAGGAGGGTTTGGTGTTGATGGCAAGGCTCGTGTCTGTGCGAGGTATTCCAATTGGCTTTGTGCGGGCTTCGCTGCTGCTGGGTTGAATATCGTGGTAGTGACGAGGTTGCTGTGATGGCTGGGAATAGGGTTACCAGGAAAGGCGCTTGGTCGCTGGGGGATAGCTATGGTAGGTGATCAAGATGGAGGGGATGGAGAAGTAGTATGCTGATAGTTGGGCTACAGAGTTTATTGCTTCGTTTGTATCCAGGTCTGGACAACACCAAGATCACCATCGTCATTCTACGCTTGGCGGAAGGAGAGAGTGTGCGACGGCATTACCTATACAAGCTTCAAGGGCGACTCGACTTCAGAGCAGCAATGCAATACGTACAGTAGCTGGCTCTGCTCATCCATCATACAACCACAACCCTAGAACCCAACGTCGGTACTTCCACGACTACTTTGTAACCAACCTCCCATCCTCCTCTCTCCACCCAGACTCTCGTACAGCAGCAGGACCTCACCACAAACTCCCACGCTCAGAATCGACTCCTCATACTCCCGGCCGTGGATCCTCTCCAGCAGCTGCACCTCCCATGTTTGGGCCCTCCCGCGATCTCACAGTTGTACGAATTCCATTACGTAGCGCAAAACACCATTTCGGAGTCTCGCTCTCACGTGGTACACGACCCTACAACGAAGATACATACCAAGCTGGCACATTAGAAATTCCCGCATTTGCAAAACGAGCGCCTATAAGTTTAAGTCGGTCGGGGAAGAAACCGGGGGCGACTAGTGCTGATAGTGCTAGTGGTGATCCGCAGGTTTTCTTCTTTGGGGTTTATGATGGACATGGAGGGAATGAGTGTAGTGACTTTTTGAAGGAGAGGCTGCATGATTATGTGGAAAAGACGGCGGGGTTGTTTGAATTGGGAAGTAGTCTGAAGAAGGGAAAGGGGAAGAGTGAAGATGGAGAAGTTGTAGCAACTCAGAATTCGGGCCAGGGGAAAGAGAGTCTTCGAAACATGGAAATGAAGGGAAAGGATGAAGTGGGTGAAGCGATCAATTTGCCGATACGTGAAGGAGGTGGAGCGTACAAGCAACCTAAAAAAGGACCAGCAATTGAGAGCGAAGAGCCTGAGCCTATTGAGGCCAATAAGCCTAAGGTTATTGAGCTTGAGAAATCATTGATCCACCAGTGGAAGGAAACAGTTGGTGGATATTTTCGACGGTTCAAACCTGCCTATTTTTCTCTTCCCAACACTTCAGATGGTTCTCCCGCGCCTGACCCCGAGGTCTCGATCGAGTCCGTCTTGATGTACGCCTTTCTCAAAGCAGATCTAGATTTCATCTCAGCTCAAGCTCGTAAGCCTGACCCCGATTCACACAGCGACTCTCCGCTCAACAACGACGATATCCTCGGAAAACCAGCCTTTCGAGCATCAGCAAATGATCGCATCGGTGGCCCAACCAGATTCATCGGCGGCTCAACAGCATCAATAGCTCTCATCTCCACCCCAACACCAACACCCTTCTGGCACCCAGCATCCCCTTCCACCTTGGTCGTCGCGCACGTAGGAGACACCCGTATCCTCCTCTGCGAAACCGCAACCGGCCTCGCCAAACCCGTCACCACAAACCACCACCCCTCCTCCCCTATCGAAAGCACCCGTCTGCGTCGCTACGCCGCGACCTTCGTCACTGACTCCTTTGGCGAAGAACGCATGTCCGGACTCGCTAACACGCGCGCTTTTGGCGACATGCGCTCGAAACGCATCGGCGTCTCCGCGGAACCCGAACTCCGCCGCGTCGAGCTCGCGCCGGCGGAATACTCGTTCATCGTCCTGGTCAGCGATGGCATCTCGGGCACCTTAAGTGATCAGGAGATTGTGGATGTGGTCAAGGAGGCGAGGACGCCGGAGCAGGGGGCTAGGGATGTGGTTGCGTATGCGACGGAGGTTAGCACTGAGGGGGATAATGCGACGTGTCTGGTTGTGCGGCTGGGTGGGTGGGAGAGGAGAAATGAGGGCGGCATGGGCAGCTTGGGGACGAAGGAGGTGAGGGATTTTAGGAGGGGGGAGGCGGAGGATCCGAGGAGAGGGAGGACGTAGTGGAGATTGGAAATTGATATTTGTTAAACCTGACCTCCTCACAAACTTCGACGTAGTGATGTTACTACGGCAATTGATACCTGGTGAGACGTAAATAAAACCTTCATAACTAAAACCTACCTAGGTACTCATCCCGAGACTGACGACATCTGTCTACACATCAAAACACAATATACCAACATGAATTCAACAAGATACCCCGTTCTGATGCGTTCCTTACAGCTGTAAAACCACACGTACCCGGATTCGGTTCCTGGTTTTGGGACTGGAAGGTGAGATGGGGTCTAGGCTACTTCACACTTGTCGAGGGGTTTGGATATAGGTGTGTGGTGTAGGTGATTATTTCTCGCTCGTATGTCCTACTTCCTGTTTCTGAAGGTGATGGTAAGGGTATTTGGTGAAAAGTGTACGTGGAGCTGAGATTGAGTGGTGACTCTTTTTATTGAAGGTGTTTAAGTATAGGTTTTATACTTCTGGGGCTTTGAGATGGGGTTGTGCAAGATTCTGAGCTATTTCGGGTTTGATGAATTGGTTTGTGGAGAGTGTTTGTATTTTAAGCATAGGCGTGAGGATGGAGTAGTCAGTAATGCTTTTATACTCTCGTTGGAGATTTTTGCCTTATTCTAGCAGGGGTAGGAGAAAGCTGTGTGAGGTGTGAAAGGAGATACAAAGATATTAGCGAAGTTTCTTCGTTATGGACTTTGGTGTTGAGAAGGGGAAAGGGGTTTAGGGGTTAATAAAATTGTTGTGGGGAAGGGTTTTTGAATGTTTGTTATGCGGTTAAATATAAAGTAAGGGGGAGTAAGAGGGTGATTTTGTGAGGTTGTATCGCATTATAGGATGGGTTATAGATTGATTTGGGACAAGGTCTGGAGGCGAGTTTTTTGCTGGATCCTGAGATGAGATGACGATAGGAAGAGAGGCTTGACAGCAGGCGAGGAGACCTGTACTGCTTATTTTAATCTCCGGTTTTTGCATTAGGTTTGAATATATCTGAGAGGTGTCTGGTTCAGGTATATAGCAATCGACACATTCTGCTGCTAAAGACACTATAAGCAAGAAAACACTTTACTCCGGAACTTTTTAACATTAATACTGGGGCACGTAGATCTGTCATCGGCATCTCTATTCGACGTAGGACGATCGAGGATGAGTCTTGATTTGGTTTGTGTCAGAAGGAGGAGGCTGTCAAGAAAATATTAGGAGGTTCGTAAGTATGGAAAGATAGGCAATGTAATCACAGCTGATGCTGATGAGTTTCAAACACGACCCTTGGACTGGAACAAATCTGAAAAGCCTTTTCTAAATCTAGTAAGACCAATTTGAACTTCAAACCCGTCTACCTCATTCCAGCCCAAATCTACTAACCAACGCCCCTATCTAATATACCCATTTTATCTTCAAGATCGCGACAACAGCTTCACTATACTGCAACGAGATTCCTACTTCGTTTAAGCGGCTGCCAACAAAGCATCAAGTCCCCCAGCCGGTTGAGCACTCGCAGCCGGCGCTTTAGCCTGCAAACTATCAGCCAATATACTTGTTCACAAGACAACTACTTACACCACCAGCTGCAGCACCAGCACCAGTCAATTCTCCAAGAAGCGCGTCTAGTCCATTTGCTCCTGCCTATTTCCAGTTAGCAAGACTATCTCTTATGGTTCACCGTTTAAAACTCACAGCAGCAGCAGGCGTAGCTTCCACCGCAGGCGCTTCACTAGCAGCTGGTTTTTTGGGGGTTGTGGCTGTTGGTGCTTCTGCTCCTGGTTACAATGTTAGCTGGGTTGTTTCTTACGGTTCAATATAATGCTAGTGTGAGGTCAAAGTAGCAGGAAACACTTACCAGCAGCACTTTTCTTAGCTCCAGCTCCTTTACCTGATGCTGCTGCCGCTCCTGGGATGTGTTAGTACTTGCTCAATAGTGAGGGCAGAAGCAAGAAAGGAGACGTACCACTTGCGGCGGCCGCTCCAGGTGGATTTTTCTTGGGTGCTTTGCCTGATGCTGCTGCGGCTCCTATATAATGTCAGTACTTACTTTGTTTTCTCAACGTCGACAATAAACACAAAATAGAGGAAACGTACCACTCGCCGCTGCTGCTCCTGGTGGGTTCTTTGGTGCTTTCCCTGATGCTGCTGCAGCGCCCGCCGCTGGTAGGCCTGATTTTGTTACTAACTTTCTTCACGGTCTTCACAGGATGGTGCTGTTTGCTTGGGTGATAACGGTCTTGCGTGGAATGGGGAGCTTACCTGTTGCAGCAGCAGCTCCTGCTTTTGATGCCTTCGCGGGTTTGCCAGTTGCGGCTGCAGCTCCGGCGGCGCCTGTTACTGTTAGCAAGAATATTTTGTCAAATGGATTTGCGGAGTAAAGTCTTACCTGTAGGTTTTGCTGCTCCGGCCTTTGCTGGTTTGTCTGGTGTTGCACCTGTTGGCGCGCTATTATGTGATGTCAGTGGATGTGTATTTCTCAAGGAAGAGTTGGTGGGTGAAGGGAGAGTTTGTTGTGTGGTTTGAAAATATTCATGTGCTTCTGTGGCAAGCGATGCCAACTGATATGTAGGAAATCGGATATTGAGGTGTAACAAAGATCAACTTACGCAGCTCCAGCAACCGCCTTCTGAGTAGTCGTACTATTTCCTTTATCAGCACGTTCTTTTGTCTTTCCCCATAAATGAACCTACGCGACATCCTCCTCATCTTCATCCTCATCCTCATCATCTTCAGCGTCCGCACGTCTCAGTCTCGCCAACACAGGTGCTGGAACTCCCATTGGGTGTGGATTTCTTCTCATTAAATCATTTCTGTTGTCAAGTTCGTAAGGTGCTGCATATGCCGTAAGAGCGAACGCGGCCAGCGCTAGAGAGGAAAATGTATATGAACGCATGTTTGTGGTTTTTGGGAAGAAGTGTAAGTGAAAAAACGAGTAGTATATGGTTAAAGCAGATAAATTCGAAATTGGATGAGAACAAAGAGAAATAGAACGTCAAGTTCAGAATACAGAAAGAAGAAATGAATGTCCTCGCAAACATCCAGAGCCACCTCGAATGCTTATACCAACTCAACACACAGACACTTCGCAAATTCTAGACCAAACCATATATCCAGGTCGAAACCTGGAGTACATCGAAACCATCTGAAATGCGATAAACGTCGTACTTGATAGTGGTTAAGCTTTGATGGTGAAACATGGGGTGTCAAACAAGGTGTTGGCTTTGAAACATCGGAACAGAACGTGGTGAAGCGACTGGCTGTAAGCGTGTTGCACGATTCGAGGCTTCGGGAGATACCCAGTGCTAGCTCGGGGAATGGAAAGTTTGTTTTTCTTCCGGAAGATTGCCAGAGGTTTAAACTTTACAGGTGTTTCGACTTGAGATCCATAGCTTTCCGGTCGTGGCTGGAGGTTGCCAAAGTCTCGCTTAGGATCATTAAGCGAGTCTCAGAGGTCAAAGAGGTGATAATGATTTGGCCATTCCCCAACTGCGTACTGACTGGTATTTCGTTGTTCAAGTTTTCAGTAGCAATTACTAGTAGCAAACTCTAGATCTTCAGTTAAATCACAGTCGCTACATTCTGAGTATTTAGGTACTGATTGGCGATCTGTTGCCTCGCTAAAGCAACTGCTACCCCTTAAAGCAGGTAGCAAGTCTTCCAACTGTCTTCCTTTTTTATTTTCCTCGGACCAAGGAGCATAGAGTAATGCATATATGTCTCGAAGTTTCGGAAGATACAATTAATTAAGCGGACTGTAAAGAGACATGACATGAAGTGTGAAACTTAGACCAAGTATTTTGCGTCTTACACTGAACATTTTCCCCCCTGAATTCGTGTTCAGCTGTGTGCGGGAGTACCTGCTTCCTTCTGGTCAACTTTATCGTATTTGTGGTTCATTTCTATGTGATGGAAACAGAGTGATCCTGGAGAACTGTTAACTGAACCATAATAACCAAATGCCATGAATTTAGCATACTAAATCTGCTGCTAGCAGCCTTCTCAGAATGCATCCAGTAGAACAGCAACAATACTTCAAATGGTCGATTGAGAAAACTTGAGAAACCTTGCAGCCAGGAGAGCATTATCCTAATCTGATACGTCTTTTCTCAGAAGGCATTTCTGCACAGCGAGCCCTTGTAACCGGAAAACATCCAATTCGATAGTAGACATCATAATATCCTTTGTTGACGGCGAGGAGCATACTTGTGGGGTTCTCGGGGACCTCGAAGCTGTCAATAACGTCAATCTGGGCTAACAGAAAACATTCCAGTGGTCGAGGAGTCCGACCCTCCTGCCCCGATAAACCGTTTATCAAGAGACTCATGTCATCAAGCCGTTGTTTCGTTGTGTTCGCATAAGTCGAAACGTCACTCATTCGTACGCTATTTAAGATCCCGAAATCAACATCGATAGTCATAATGCCACTTCAAAATTCATCTTCCTTGCCAGTAATATGATATCCTACTCCCCAAGGCCATTCGATACTTGACAGCATTGTTCACTCTTCGTTGAGAGACAGTGAACCGAGTATGTAAGAGGGCGCTGCGTGGCTCGGAAACTCCACTGAACCTTCCCAGCCTGCCCACGACCAAGAAGGGAACTTGACAATTCTTTTGCGTCCGACTCGACGTCTCAGTAACGTCGCTAACGTTGTGATGTCTGTAATCCCACGTGAGTGACCCTTCAAACTGCTGGATAGGCAAGCCCCAACAAAACTTTGTCCCAAAATGTGCAGAGTGATCTTGTAAGATGGCAGCAAAAGCATTCAATATATCTTCCTCAAGTGTTAGGCTTCTAACCTTTTTCTTGTGTATGCATATACATGATCAGCATAAGTATGGAAACAATTGCTTGAGAAGATGTCCTTGAAAAATCAACTTATCCGAGATTTATTCACGATCGGGATTGGATCGATCATGGATCTAAATGGGTTTGCTTCACTATAAACTATGCTGTCACTCTCAAAAAACACACGATGGTTCACAGATACCAGCTAGGGCGTCAGAGTTTGCTGCCACAAGCGGCAACAATAGTTATAGTAGCATCTTTATACACTCTGTCCATTGCCTGAATCATAGCCTTCATTTCTGATTCAATGTCACTTACAACGCAGAAAGAAACCTATTTAAAACTTCAAACAAGGTTGTCATCAGCATATTTCCCGCTTCTAGTGTGGAGATTTAAGATGAGGTAGTGCCTGTTCGTGAGTGGATTTTCCTGAAGAAAACGTGCATGAACTTATTGGCGCTTACACGGACAATATAAGAGAATAGCTCAATATCCCCAGCTAAACGACCAAAGTATGATACGTAGAAATCTAAGATCCAGAAATGATCGAGGGAAAGCAAGTACTTTGAATAATTAATGTACTATTATAGTGGTAGATTATCATTGAAGTCTCATGGCGCTTATGGTCGAAACTATCGACATCTTACCATGCACTCGCGATGCCTGCTACTCTACAGAAACTCAAACCATCCATTTGCTGGGTTCAGGAACATATATACAGTCCGAAATCCTAGAAACCAAATGGGTTTTGCGGTGCTATAAAACGTCAGATGAGCATATCGAACCATGGAAAAGTTTACTTACTGGCTTGACTCAGATTTGCTCTCCGCCCTGTAGCTTGAGGCATAATCTTCTTCGTATCGCCTGTCACACCAAATCTTACTGGTGGAGGTGGCCCGGTCTTTTGAGGTACTAAAGGTTGCATTGTGTGTTGTGCAGGCATTGGTGGCATAGGAGGCATGGGTGGTGGGTTGAACGAAGATTGAAAGCCATTAGATGACTGCTGAGCTCCTGTTGGAGTTGGCTGCAGTGGTGGTGGTAGAAAGGAGTTTACACCGGTCTGCTGTGGATATTGCGGTTGCGGTGGTCCAAATGAACTTACAAATCCTGTAGGTTGCTGCTGAATTGGCTGTTGCTGCATAGGAGAGAATTGCTGCGGCCGAGGATCGGCAAATGGTCCTCCTCCATTGTTCATAAATGGTTGTTGGTTCATACCGGTCTGCATAGGATATTGAAACCCATTCTGCCCAGGATTGTTGAACTGAGGATTGAAAGGCTGTTGCTGGCCCATCATTCCCAAGTTATTTTGTTGCATGCTTTGTTGAGCAGTAAATTGCTGTCTCATTTGAATCTCGTTGAGGCTTTGCCCAGGAGGTGCAATATTGTTTTGGTACCCAGCTGAGTTTTGCATACCCGTGCTCTGAGCTTGCAATGGAGGAAGAGAAAACGCACTCTGCTGGGCCGCCTGTGGCGCTGATAATGGCCTTCCAGGTGGAGCAGGGATCATCAAACCGTTTGAACTGTTCTGAAATTGACCTGGGGGAGGTCGTGGGCGAGCAATACCCCCAACGCCTTGGTTAAATTGGTTCGGATTCTGGAATCCACCTAGTGGCTGCTGCATACCGGTCTGTTGCTGTGGAATACCTGTCTGCTGATTTCCAATGCCGGCGAAAATGGAAGGAGTAACAGCCGGCGGGCCTTGCACCTGAGGTTGGGGTTGTTGCGGTATAGGCGCTTGAACCTGTGGTTGTGGAGGGGGAGTTGGCTGAGCTCTCACGGGCTCTAAAGGCTGCGATAGAAGGGTCAACTCCTGCATAGCTCCGGTGAGAGCAGGCATCTGTACGGGAGCCGATGCAGCCGCTGGACGTTGTGGTTGTGCGGGAGCTGGCTGCGAGTCCTGCTTTGAAGGCTTTACGTCCCAAGCATCATCGTCAAAACCACCTCTAGCCACATCTTTTTGAGCAGGTTTGGGTGCAGATGCGAGAGGAGTAGCAACTCCCTCTGGAACTCTGCTCCCAGAATCCCGAGAAAAGGCCTTGGCATCAACGGTGTTGTTTGTTTCTACTGGAGGAGCTGGTCTGCCTTTGCTGGTATTATTCTTCAAAGTACCTCCAGGACCAGAAAACATCCCACCAGAAGCCCCATCTGCCGCTTCGTCTCCTGCGAAACTGACACCTTTCTTGCCGCCGGTCCGATTGAACTTCTTGTCAAGAGTCCGCATTATCTTAATAATATCTCCCTCCCTAATGCCAACGTTGCGCAAGACTGTAGCATCAATGTCGGGAATAACACTCTCGTCCATCGAGTCCTTGTTGAACGCTTGAGCATATCGTTCACATAGCCCGACCTGAACATCACAAGAAAGAAAGAATTGGAACCAGTCATACTCGGGCTTTTGTGGAGTACGCTCCACTGAGGCGCCAGCGGAAGTACTGGGCGATGGTACATTGTCTCTAGATGACTCTTTGGCTGCTCGGGCTCGTTGCTTCTTGATATCTGACAATGGCTTGTCTTCGTCTAAAGATATTCCAGTCTTTCTTTCGACATATTCTAGATCTTCAATTGACATCTTAACAACTGGGACGGCGATCTTTACACCATTCATTTTGTGAAGATTAATCTTGCCGTCCTTCAGGGCCAAGAATTGTGCCTCTACACTGAAAGATTTCGAGCGATCCGTCCACGTGCGTACCTTTGATGGATCCGGTTCTGTGGGAGATTAGCAATTGTAATTTGAGTAAGTCAAGTGAAACCTACTCGACTTCGATGGTCGCGACGAAGAATCGTTTCGACTATCTCGTTGGTTTCTCTGTTGCCCAGAATTGTTACTATTGTCACGAGCATTCAAACTGCTACCCCTTTCGGGCAAACGCATTCCAGGGCCTACCTCTGACCCTCGTTCCTCCTCTCTTCTGGCTGCTCTCAAGGACTCCTTCGCCAATCGCTCTTCTTCGATTCTGTTCTGATCGGTGGTCGAACGGCCGGCATTGAGACCCGAGTGGCTCTCAGGGGCCACTGTCAGGCCAGTGATTTCGATGTAACTGCTCGGTACTACCCCTTCCTTGCCATTCTTCAGCCGTCTCACTTGCCACCACTCTTCGCTCTTTGTGTCATCAATCACGATGACTTCGTCTCCCACAGCAACTGTGACCTCGTCGTCCCCTTGAGCCATGAAATCGTAAAGCACCTGTCCAGTCTTTTTCGTTTGCCTGGCACCTGACAGCATGTTATCTGTCAAGCTTGCCGCCCTAACCGCTCCTGCAAGTTCTCCAAGGGCGCTGACAATTTCATGAGCTGTGTCTTTCGCGCCAGCATGAAAATCGACACTCTTGCTTGGCCGGACTAATTCAAGAAAGACGTGTTTGCCCTCTATTGAGTAATGCTGCATTTTCTCGGCGGTCCAAGTCTGCTCAGGACCGTCCCGTTGCTTTTCAGGTGCTATCATAATAACACCCGTTACTGAATTTATTCCCAAAGTCGTCGGCATCTTCTTCCGTTTACCCATAACTGACACCATTTCATTGATGTTATACATGTGGTATCCACCCGATGAGTTGTGTGACATTTCTTCGTCAATGCCCCTGTTATGAGAAGCCCTATTATACGGAGGAGATGCGCCAACGCCTTCCAACGAAGCAGCTCTCGCAATTCTGGTATCAATACGTTCCGGCGCCCTCGCCTGAGGGGGACTTCGCGGAGGGAGAGTCGGAGTAGGAGGTTCCTCTTCATCTGAAGCTTCGGGTGTATATTGAGGAGGTGGTCTTGCCGCAGGGGCCGATGCCTTTCTTTGATTCAATATCCCCGCTATATTCGCTGCGGGTGTATTGATTGGGCTTGCAGGAGAAGCAGGAGATTCCGGATCACTCTCGATTTCTGCAGGAGGAGGCCGTCTAGGAAGGCTTGGTGGTGCTGCCACCGCCGCCGCCGCGGGTGATGGCTCATCATCCTCATTTAATTCAATATAGTTTGCAGGTGCAAATCCATATTCTCCATCTAAACCGACTAATATCCAATCTGGATCTGATGTATCAAACACTTCAAGACGGGCATCTTCCGAAAAGGATAGCTCTTCGTCGGTCTGCCTCGTGTAGTCGTATAGTGCTCGTGCATGGCTTGAGGGGGCAACCTGAATATGGTCAGTATGCTAACACTGCTCCCATTTTGCACACCCAATATGCCCTTCGTAAACTGGCGCAAGTAGAAGGTCATGTCCAGAAGAGGCTCTCGCCTTGCCACCACCGCAGCCCGCGCACGGGAATACATACCTCCTCAATGTAATTGTTTGGAATCAATCCCACAGGCTCATCATCGTCCTCGCCAGAAGCCTTCTTCTTCGCTCTCCACCAGTCATCCTCGCCGCTCTTTTCCAGCACATAAAGTATATCCCCCTCTGTGATCGCAAGCTCCGACTCTCCTTGAGGAACATAATCGTAAACAGCCTTGTATACGCCGAGGAAACCCATAGTGATTTCGAACCTTGGATAGTCGCCGATGGAGGCACGGGATCCTTGCGGTTGCTTCAAGGTGTTTATTTGTCCTACGAACCGCAAGTAGGTGTTGGCTCCATGCAATTTCGGGACGTAACCTGACTTGTTGTTCTAGAGAATGAGGCCGTGCTGGAGCTGATTAACACGGTTATTTCGGATCGCTTCGTCTTAGAATGCTATAGACTCTTAGTATGTTAAGAGATAGGCAGTGCTACGTTGTTGAATCTCCGATCGAGGGTTTGGTGTGGTGAGTGCTACTTGAATGGTTGTAACTTGCAGTGATCCATATTAATCCGATTGCCATGGTGAACTGATCCCGCCTACGCCGAGACATCACGGCCACCGTAGCACCTATTTAGACGTCACCTCTGGGCCTTGGAGATGCCAAGTTGAGTAACGAACAATAACCAGTACAGTAAGCATACCCATAAGGGAAAAATAATATGACTTTACGACAGATACGATATCTTAAGGGTTCGCTAGTTCATCAGATTCCTGGGATGGCACTTCAGTTCAACATGAACAGCAAGCTACGGCAAGGTTAATAATTGGAGTGGGGAAACCAGCAACTGAGCGGAACGGACCACAACAAATACATTTACACTGCTAGACAAATAGAGAGAAAGGATGATCAACTACAACACGCTCTTAAGCCTTCCTCTCGAATTAACTCAGAGCTACATAACACATTGCGCTACCATTCCTTATGGCCCGCGAGTAACATTAATCACTGTCCCGTCACACACCAGAGTAGGTAGTCAGTCTATGTGAGTCGTACAGCAGGACTGAAATGTACCACAACAGCTATTGATTCCGAATCATTCTTCGTCGCATAAAACATATCGTCATATTCATTTCGTCTTTTAATAAGTATATTTAAAGTCCATCGTCCCCTCAAGAATCTTTTTGCCTTTCCTCTGTTGCTTATTAGCCCACCAAAAGTATACAGAGAAAACAGCGACTAAAGCAATGATCACAATATGAGATGCAATACTGATCCAAATCGCCGTGATGTACGTCGGGGCTTCTTGTTGTCTAACAATGAAGGATCCAGCGATTCCTCCCAGCCCATTGCAAGCTGTAATAGAAGCGGCAAAGGTTGCTCGTTTCCATTGTCCAGCGATATTCGACGTTTGATATGCGGTCATTGCTGCCCACTAGAAATAGAGATTAGCTGTAGTAGATAATTCTCTGGGAAGAACGTTACATACGTTACTGACATACGCTCCAGTGGAAAGATAAGTGCCCACATATCTCACAGACACTTGCGAAGAAAACCCGAGCATTGAGAAGCCAACGATCGTGCATATACAATTGAAAACGATAACGGCTCCTCTCATCTGAAGCTTGTCTCCGAAGAACGACGAAATAACCACAGGAATGACCGCGTAGAAGTAAGGCGGCGCGGAAAGCAGAATCGCTTGGTCAGTGGAGAAACCCATGCCAGATTGTAGAATAATAGGCAGGAAGTACGAAAGGGATGTCGATACCAGGTTGAGACAGAAAAAGAGAACACAGAAGCCATAAAGCTTTGGATCCAAGAAGTGAACAGCGCACTTCTTCCAACTGAAAGGATCAGCTTTCACATCTCCTCGATCTTCCGTTATTCTATCAGTTGCGAATCGCTGCTCCTCTGCAGTCAAAAAGCGGAAGCTGTTATGGGCGTTCTCAGGAAAATCAACAATCCATAGATAGGTGATAAATCCTACAACTTCGGTATCATTAGTCTTTGAAATCAAGAACTTCCTCGGATAACTCACAGATGGCAATCAAACCCTGAACAAGAAACATCCACCTCCACCCCGCAAGTCCGGCTGTTCCATTGAGATGATTGAGGCCAAAATTCAGGAATCCACCCAGACCAACAACAGTCACCTCTCCAGACTGCAAAAAAGCAAATCGTAATTGCTGCTCCTTGCGAGTATACCACGTGCTAATCAGGTAGCTCAAGCCTGGAAAAACAGCACTTTGGGTGATTCCAAGCAGGATTCTAAGACCCACCATTTGCTGCCAGGTCGTGATGAAAGCTGTACACATGGTTATCAAACCAAAAGCCATGGTAATCAACGAGAAGGTGATCCTGGGCCCTAGTATTCTGACTGCAATAGTAGCCGGCAGCTGGAACGTGACACTCGAAACCGTGTAAACCAGAATAGACACAGACTGACGAAGTTGTTAGCAAAACTACAATTAAAGCAAACAGTCCAAACATATAGAACAGAACCTACATATCTATTCCCAACCCCCAACCCCAAATCCTCAAAAATGGTTGTGACACTAGCCGAGCTAATAATCCCACTATCAAGCAAATTCAGACTGCACAACACCCCCGCAATAGTACAAAGTCTCAAATCAATCTTTCTCACCAATTTCCTCTCCCGTAGCCTTTCCGTCTCCGCTTCCGAATCGGTATGAATAACTTCTGTATCGCAGTATGTTTCTGTCGAAGGAAGAACTTCCTGGTCTGTTTGCTGGGGAGCAGACTTGATGCCATTGCTGTGAGGCATTGGAGGCTTAGGTGACACTGATTGAGACATTTCGAAGTGCAGCACTTCAAAAGATTACCAATAGAGAAGAATTATAAGCTCTTTCTTGGTCGGTTTCCCTTGTATGGTAAATTTATCCACGCGTGAATCGTCGAGTCATAGATCCACGCAGTATATCTTCAACTCTCAATTGAAAAAGTCAACGTTAAAAGGAAAAGCGTTTGAACCGAATAGATGATACGAGAGAATATTTGGAGCGAAATGTGCATCATCCAGATGTCACAAATCGTGACCAATGCTAAGTTATTTGTACACTCACATATTGTGGGTTCGCAGATCTATGCGGAGGTGCAACAGCTCCTTAGCCTGTCCTCGGCATCGTCCAAATAACACCGGAAACCCCAGCCGAAGAAGGGAAAGTGGGATCCGCCTTGCAGAACGACCACTTACTCCATAAGAAAGCCAGTATCAAATTGCTGTGAAGTGAAGATTTGAATTTGGTAGGCCCATTGTTCCCGATCGGAAGTTACACCGATTATCAGATCAACAAACAGGTAATCACGAGTGCGCAATGATCAATACCGTTGAGAAAAGAGAAACGACTGACTATTGACATCAATTAGGCTGTCTGAATTACAAAGATGTACTCGGTGCCATTCTGTTTGATGAGAAACATCTGCCAGAGCGCCACATTAAGTAAAGAGAAAAACACAATTGGGTCTAGTAATCCCCGCTGAACATTGCACTCCAATCACTCCGGATGCTATAAGACATCCCTATCGAAATACCAAATCTCTACGCCAAGCATGTAATCCCACATAGAGACAACATTGTAGCTGAATAGAAGAACATCTAGTACTCGGCTTCAGCTCCGTCATCACCCTCCATAGAGTCAGTGGCAACTTCCTCATAATCACGCTCAAGAGCCGCGAGATCTTCACGAGCTTCGGAGAACTCTCCCTCCTCCATACCCTCACCAACATACCAGTGCACAAAAGCACGCTTGGAGTACATGAGATCGAATTTGTGCGAAAGAGCCGACCAGGCTTCAGCAATGGCGGTGGTGTTCGAAAGCATGCAACTAGTTCATGTTAATAATTGTTAGGCCATGTTTGATTGGTGGAACTTACACAGCACGGTTAACCTTAGCAAGATCTCCGTTAGGAACCATCTGAGGTGGCTCGAAGCAGATACCAATCTTGAATCCAGTAGGGCACCAGTCAACGAATTGGATGGTACGTTTTGTCTTGAGGGTAGCAACGGCGGCGTGCACATCCTTGGTGACAACATCACCACGGTACAAGAGGCAAGTGGCCATGTACTTTCCGTTACGTGGATCACACTTGACCATCTGATTGTTTGGCTCGAAGCAGGACATGGAGATCTCTTGTACAGAGTTGGCCTCGTGAGATGCCTTGGCGGCGGACACAACTGGGGCGTATGCAACGAGAGGGAAATGAATACGTGGGTATGGTACCAAGTTGGTTTGGAATTCGTTGAGATCGACGTTAAGGGAACCGTCGAATCGGAGGGAGGCGGTGATGGAGGAGACAACTTATCATTCGTTAGCATATTTCGATACTCTGTTTCTGCTGTATGTACCTTGAGCAATGAGACGGTTCAAGTTCTCAAAGTTGGGTCGCTCCAAACCGAGGTTTCTTCTGCAGATATCGTAGATGGCCTCATTGTCGACCATGAAAGAGCAATCAGAGTGCTCCAAGGTTGTGTGGGTGGTAAGAATGGAGTTATATGGCTCGACAACTGAAGTGGCGGTTTGGGGAGCTGGGTAGACGCAGAACTCGAGCTTCACCTTTTTACCAAAATCGACCGACAGGCGTTCCATAAGAAGGGCACCGAAACCAGAACCAGTTCCACCACCAAAGGAGTGGAAAACAAGGAAACCTTGTAGACCAGAGCAGTTGTCCGCAACATGGCGGACCTTGTCCAATACTTGATCAATCAACTCCTTGCCAACAGTGTAATGTCCACGAGCGTAGTTGTTGGAGGCGTCCTCCTTTCCACTGATCATCATCTCAGGGTGGAAAAGGGATCGGTAGGTACCGGTGCGAACTTCGTCGATAACATTTGGCTCGAGATCGCAGTAGATGGTTCTGGGGACATATTTTCCTTGACCTATAATCCAAATCATTAGCATCTGCGAAAACGACTTATGCTAGGTTGATCGAATGCTTACCAGTCTCGGAGAAGAAAGTGCTGAACCCTTGATCTGGCTCGGCGGCCTTTCGCTCTTCCGTCAAATATCCATCGGGCTAATCAAGACAACGCGTCAGTAAAGGTTCCGCGCATGGTAGCCCTATATATTTGAGGGAGAAAATGCTCTTGTAAACTTACCTGGATACCGTGCTCAAGGCAGTAGAGCTGTTCAACAAAATAGTATGTTAGTCAATATTCAACACGTAGAACCAGCCAGCAGAACAGAACATCTGCTCAGTTTTGAATGTGTCTCACCTCCCAACAGGAGTTTGCAATTTGGCAACCAGCCTGGCCAACTAAAAGCACCACAATCGTCAGTAAAAAGTTTCTGTTGAACAGTCGATATTCGACGTGGGACGAGCGGTGTACGTCGCGTCAGGGGAGAGCTTACCGTTGATGCTAATAACTTCTCTCATGGTGACTGTTATTCGATTTGCACGTCGGGTATTAATGAGCAAGGTCGAAATCTGATGTCGAGAATCTAGAGGAGGTCGTGGATGTGGTCTGAAGAACTGGAGGTGTATGATAGTGGGGAAATAGAAATGGCAAGGGGTTTGGGTTGAGATGATTTTCGCTTGTGCACGTTCGGTGGTGCCTGCCGTGCATAAACATAAACAAAAGGAGGCGTCTTATGCCACGCTAGCTCGATAAGGCTAGATAAGCTAAGCTCTGTAAACATTTCAGGGGTTCAACGTGAAGCTTCCAATATTGCCCCACTTGGAGACCATGAAACTCCAGACGACGACGAGGTTGACCATTTTCTGTCGAAGCAGAGTTAGCACGTTGTAGCATCTTCGCAATGTGGTCAATCGTTGCACTTTTATTTTTTGCTGTTACGCTGGTCTCGGGAAATACGGAAAAGGTTATATTCCTCGGACCAAGCAGTCTCCAGATTCCTGTGGAACATCCAACTCTCGAGGATCTCCACCTGGATACACTTTCTCCACAACACTGGGCTCTTCGTACATACCTGCCAGCAGAATTTCCAAAGAACAACTCCAAACATGGAGTTGCCTCATGGTTTATACTCCATCGGCTAGAAGAAGGACAAAGGTATGAAGTACGGGTCTGCTGGGCTGCAACAGTAAGTGGTGGTTCAATACTTTAGTGCCATTATGGTTAGTCTAATGCGAGAACAGCAACCCACGTCTTTTCGACTAGAAACATACGACCTCCCTCAAGTTTTTGAAACTCCCGAATTGATTACCTCTCTAGCGCAATATTCTGAGGCGCGACAGCAAGACCCGGAAGACAGTCAAGCAGAAGCTAGCGGAATCTCGAGGAGATCTAGTTTCCGACGCGGTTCGGACGACCTATCTTCAACTCTATTCCTACAAATATTCGCAGCTGCCGACTATTACACTACAAATAAGACGCTCATGAAAGATGTGCCTCCTGTGTACGTTGACATCATACTCGATCCCTTCATATTTAATGTCCTCCCACGATCCCTCCTACCAACAGTGGCCTATATCATTTTGCTTGCCATTGGTAGCTGGTACATCTCAGCATATATTAGTAAATGGCTCCGTGGGCTTGCAACAGAGCCTTCGGAAGGCGAAAAGAAGAACAAGTAGACAGCATTGACCGCCTAGCAATTCTCGTTGCGCAAAAATTCTTCATTATAACTGCGAAATGCTACAAACCGTATTTTGGGATATCCATTTAAGAGAAATCCAATCCATGGCCACCCAAAAGATCTAACTCGCCGCTCCTTCACAAGATAATGAATCGCCTTACCATCGGTTCTGTTGTTGGCCTCCGGGCTGACCACCATACCCACCATATCCACCACTAGCCGCTCCATAACCGCTGACTGGACCTTGACTGCCACCAGGAGGACCTCCAACACCACCATGCAGAGCTGCTGGCTGTCCTTGATGTTGAGAATTACCATACAGACCACCTTCCATATGGCCGTGATGTGGCTGTGGAAGGTTTCCAGAGTGTTGAGGGGGGCCACCAGGATAGCCTCCTTGAGGTGGTGGTGGGTAGGAACCTTGCGGTGGAGGAGGGTAGGAATGGTTTTGGGGTCCTGGTCCTCCGTAACTTGGTTGACTTCCCTGTGGAGGTTGGTATTGTCCAGGAGGTGGAGGGTATGAGCCTGGACCACCTGAACCACCTTGTCCGCCATATGGAGGGTTCTGATGACTCTGTCCGCCATATCCAGCTTGTTGAGGGTTGGGCGAGCCACCATAATTGCTACCGTGTTGAGAAGCTCCTCCATATGATGGCTGTTGTCCATGGGTCGCTGTTCCACCGTATTGTCCTGGCCCCGAAGATGGCGGCTGCTGGCCTTGTTGATGGTAAGTGTTTTGTGCAGAATTCTGTCCCTGCGAAGGTTGGTTATAAGAATTGTTACCGGTTGGAGGTTGATATGAGGTTGGTGGTGCTGATCCAGAATATCCGCCTTGTTGCTGACTGCCACCTTGTGAGTAGCCATAATCGTTTGAGGCTTGCTGTCCCTGAAGTTATCCTGTCAATATATCTCCAAAAATACCTTAACACTTCCAACATACCTGACCACCATGATGACCTCCACCCATAAAATTGCTTGCCATGTTACCAAAAGACCCCATCATTCCACCTTGGCCATGCTGCTGTGGTTGTTGTGCACCCGAGTAGTTTCCTGTCTGCTGCTGGCTGTGATCTTTGTTCGGTTTGTTGCCGCTTCCCAGTAAACCTCCCACGAGAGAGCCAACAAGCCCACCAGAACCGCCGCCACCACCACTCGAGTGTCCGCCGCTTGAGGATCCTCCAAGAAGACTGCCTAGTCCCCCGAGTGCTCCTCCTCCTCCATGGCCACTTTGTTTCTTGCCGCCCATTAACTGGTTCATCGCAAAGCTCTAATCACCACATTATCAGCACTGCGCCACCAAGAAAATGATCCCTAGACTTATCGCCCGTCCATGAAATCGTATTAGCCCACGTACCGTCAGACTTCTATCCCCCGTAGCACCATCTACACCCCGAGTCCCGTCCGCATTTGGTGGGAGATTCGCATTATTTGGCAGATCCGGTGTAGCTTGAGGAGTTGGCCCCGTGGGCGCTGCGTGTGTAGGTACATCCCATTGTGAAACTCCAGTCGAGATTTGCACGTAGTAGTATTGCTTGCTCATGCCATCCCATTGTGCGATCCAACCCTCTGGCAGCGATGGAGGGGCGAAGGAGGGGCCTTCTTGACCCGGTCTATAATTCCGCGTCAACAAATCATTCTCACACAAAGGAATAGAGAGATTTACGTTGCTGGGCCTGTCATAGTCGCAAACTCAAAATGTGTATCTGCAAGAGGTGGAAGGGTGAGGAAGTTGAGGTTGCAGGTTGAAAGATTCTTGGTTTTATCTATGCGACCGGTAACCAGACCTCAAAGAAAGAGGCTATGCTGGCTCATTCACGACACACACCACATAAAATTACGTCTACGACAAGAAAATCGCCCGCTTAATGAATCTGCTCTCGGCTTCATTCAGCCACGCTTTTAACGTGGTCTTGAGTCACTCTGCCGTCCCCTTGCTCAGCTGGTCTAGGGGAGCTCGGCGAAGTTAGGTGAGATGGTTGCTTAGAATTTCAAAAGCGCGGCTATCGCTTTGTTTACAATGATACGGATTATCCTAGCGGTTATAATTCTAGGTGAGGGCTAGTCTTCTTGTGCGGCTAGTTCTACGTTAACCAGTTGTTATCAGATGATGATGAACTTCCTGTTTCTGTTTCTCTGATCGTGCGTTGCTTTGGGGTCCCTTCTGGACTTCTCTTCTCCCCCACCTCATGCCGTCATATTGTCCAAGCTCAAAACATTTCATCGACTTTCCTCACTGTAAATTGAGTTGCTCAACTTTCTATGTACTGTAATTCAACTAGTAGGTCTAACGACAAAAAGGACTAACAACAAAGGCAATTCATTGATACGATGGGCGAAGGATTCAAATTGCGACAAAGCCGCCTGAAGGTGGCAAACATCACATAGATTTACACGAGGACGTAAGCCGAAGACAAGACCTAGAGTCAAGTTCGTGAGCATTACAAGATTTCAATCTTGTGTAGTGTTGATGAAACCAACGGGCAGTCGATCGTTTACTTCCACTCAAATGCTAAAATGCTAAAATGCAAGCAGGAACAACTCTTGACATACACTTGTTTGAGCGACTTATCATCCGAGTCTTACAAGCGCATATCCAGTGTGAGCATGTGAAATGCCGTCAAAAGACACAAGGAAAATAGGTAAACTCTCAGGGGAAAATACCATATACTCATACTCGCTTGAAGTACAGTAAAAGATGTTCTCGTCTTAAAGTGAATATAGGAAAGCTCATGATAGCGAAGCGAAATTAACAGCCAAAACTTTCGCTGTGCGTTTGACTTTTGGGATTTCTAGAATCCTTCGAAGACTAGTACACGGAGTATTCAAAATTGTCGCGTATCGCCAACATGGCGAATCAGAATTGCACTATGTGAAGCTGTAGGTTATAGTCCAGTCCTCTTTCAGCGTGGAAATCACCCCCAAAACGCAGCTACGATACAATATCCTATTCCTGGTTTTCATTCAAGCCAAAAAATAAGCTTCGCTTTTAAAGGTAGGTGCTGTGCATAATAAACAAGAAATTTCTCGATACTAAAAAACGAAGGCAGCTCCTAGAAATACCTCGCTTAATCGTATTCTCAGACGGCAAGCAAAAGTGGCGGACAAGATAAGATTGTATAATCACTGTAGGCCTAAATCCAATAAGCTTTTCAGTATCATGTTTTGAATTCACTTCTAGTGAGCAAGAAGCTACAAGTTTTTGTCCTCCAAAAATAAACGTCCCACACAAATTCCGAATTCCAATCCAAAAAGAAAATTAATAAATGGAGACAGGGGGAATTGAACCCCCGACCCTCTCAAATCACGTCGATGCGAATGAGATATCATACCCCTAGACCATGTCCCCCAATTGGATGAAAAATAATATACCTTAACAAAAATTATATTCAACCATCATTTTTGTGGAGATAACTGATTGGTGGTGGGTGACCACCACTACCTCCTCCTCACCCTCCCCATAAAACCCTTCTGCTTAACAAACCACCTGGAATAACTCTCCAACCCTACAACTTTCCCAGTTCCATCAACCCTTTCCTCAGCACTTTCGTCGATTACGAATTCAAATGTCCTAAGCATCTGCGGAACCACCTTGCTCATCTCGAGTAAACTCACATTCTTACCAATACACGTCCGACTTCCCATCCCAAAGCTCAGGAAATACTTTTCTATCTCCCCGTTTCTGCCTTGTTCCTCGTATTCCAGCCAGCGTTCAGGGCGGAACTCGCTGGCGTCTGGGCCGAAAACAGAGGTGTTTTGATGGGCTACCCAGGCGTTGATTCCGACTGACGAGCCTGGTGGGATGGTGTGGCCGGCGACGGTGATTGGGGAAGCGTTGGGAACCACGCGTTGCATGGGGAGGCCGACGGCGGGGTGTTTGCGGAGAGCTTCTTTGATTACTGCTTGGAGGTAGGGCAGGTCTTGGGCTTCTTTGAAGGTGATGGGATTCGAGATCCGACCCTTGCGAGCTGCTGTGTCGATTTCATCTTGTAATTTCTTGTATGCTTGTGGGTATCTCATCAAGTGATAGAAGAGGCTTGAGAGCGAGATAGCAGTTGTATCGCTTCCAGCCACGATATTCATGGTACACATCATGAAAAGGTCAGAGTTGGTTATCTTTTCCGGGTCTTCTTCTTGCACGCGAAGGAGTCTGGCTATAAAATCCGGTGTTGTTTCTTTTTCCGACACATTTGGACCTTTGGCCTCCTGCTTCTTCGCGGTGATTTGTTGAAGTGTCCAATTTGCGATATATCCAAAACCCCCTGATTTTGGTAACCATGGAAATACCCATCTGTGTAACCAAGGGGTAACGCCAATATGAGTACATTACGATAGTCTTTGGTCAAGGGCTCTCATCACACCTTCCTTATCTTCACCCAGATCCAGAAATCCGAAGCGTTTCCCGAACGTAATCTCACCTATCACGTCAAAGGCGTAACATTGAAGATAATGTTGAAAGTCAAAGAGCTTCCCAGCATCTGCTATTTCACAGAAGCGAGACGTGAGAAGTTCAATGCAGTTGTTGACTGCCGGTTCATACCCGACTAGCGAAGTCATGGAATACAAGGACGAAATTTTGCGTCGGTTGATCGCGTGACGATGAGGATCTTGATCAGCAAACAAACTTGCAGTTCCTGGACCTGGTGTCATGAAAGCCCAATACCAGGGTGCCTACTATAATTTTAGACAAACTTTCATGGCATTTCGAGTTACTCATACCTTCACATAACCCTTCCCATGTCCGTAAATAGTCTTCGCAGCACCAATATCATCAATGCTGTATTCTCCGGGAGCGACTCTCCAGATAGCCCCATAAAGCCGGTGAATTTCTATGTCTCTGAGTTCAAAATTGCCTTTGTATATAGCGAAGAGATACCAGAGGCGCGTGAAGCGGGCGAGAAACGGTCCAGGTACGGAGCGAAGAGGGTCGAGGATGGCTGATATTGTGACGTAGAATATATAGATTCCAGTAATCAAAAGGAGGAGCTGAGTGACAGAGAGGGCGGTCACGAGTTGTAACATTTTGAGGATTTTGGCTTTGGAATAAGGTAACTGATGCGATATGATCATGTGCAGTAGAATGATGTCTTGTTAGCAATGAAGCAATCCAAAAAAATCTTGCAGCATTAATATGATCGATTCGAAATCGCCCTCTCTGTTCAGGAGATTCCCGAAGTTGCCGTGTTGGATCATAATCCTCGAGAACCAATTCGAGTTCGATTCCTAGATATCTCCGAAGGAGCCAGAGAAGAAGGGTAGCCATCGTGTCCAGAAGTAGCGAGGATTGCAGGTTATATAAATTTAAAGTTCAGGTATTTTATTAAGCTGTGGAAGATGACTGCCGACATACGTACGTTAGGGTTTAAGTAAGGGAGCGTCTTGACGCCGTCAGTTCTGAGTGTGAGGCCTAACTAGTCATCCACAAAATGTTGATCATCGATCTCTCTTCCAACCTAACCTTTATAACTAAAAATAGTTAGATTCGTCCTAGAACTTGGCGGGGTCGCCTTCCGGATTCGAAATGCCTTCAGAGTCCTCGACAGCCAATTCCGCACGAGGCTTTCAATCAACGGCAGGAATGCTGCTCCTCGTATTCTTTACATAAATTACAGGTTAAGAATGATCTGAGGTTCTCGCTGATGCCCCCACGATCGCTCATGAAGCTGAATCGGGGTCTGATTCCCAAGATGTGGGGGATCTTGTCGGCAATCGTGAACTAGTTAAGGGTAGGTCCAAATCAGCTAGGTATGGGATTGAACATGCTCGCGGTGAAGAACGTAAGCAGAAGAACGCCCTGAGTAAGAACATGTACATTTGAGATGAAAAGAATGAAAGGGGTATCATCCAAGATATTTCGCTCATCCCAAATCGCCAAACTCCGAACAGCTAGTGCGTACACATAGATGTATGCTCCTGTCTCCATAACACTATTCCAAATTTCAAACGCTCTTAAAAAGTCCCTTTAACGCCATCTTTATCATACATTCATGAGAAGCAAAATCATTTCGAATCATAAGGATTTCCAACAATATTACGGCTGCAACCCCTATACGTTCGTCACGGTGTGCTTTGGATTGCGAGTTACAGCTTTTGTCGGTAGTTTATGCGTGTAAATATGATCCAGGTTTGACAGTCTTTCGGGACCTTCGAACCGGTATAATGGCTCAAGGCTTGGTGTGTTTCTTCTCATCAACAAATAACGGTTGATCCACCAACTATGTCAAATCAGCATCTAGCACAGTCCAAGATTCTGGAACTAATACTCACGGAAGAGCTTTGGTAAGCTGATAATGCATATGCTTTCTCGTAGGCACTGCAAAAACATAATCCAATTCTTCTAGCGTCCGCTGTTTTGTCTCTGGCACCCAGAGAAATATCATAATAAAAGCAATAACATTTAATCCAGCATAGAAGCTGAAAGCGCCCTGTCACTAGTTAGCAAAATATTGATGATTCAAAATAGAAATGCGAGACGTACGATGATGCGCATCTTGTCTTTCATCATAGGAAGGGTGATACCCAATATAGCTGCCCAGGAGAGATTTACGGCTACACTCCACCCCATACCCACCTCACGATGAGAAAGTGGAAATACTTCTGCAGCGTATGTAAACGGAACAGGACCTTCTCCCGGGCTGTAGAAACATGTGAAGACATAAATAAAGAATGCCATTAGGCCCAAGTGTGCTTTACTGTTAGAGTCTATGAGCGAACATAGACCCACAGCCAACAAGCTCCACGCCATATTTGGAAATGTGAAGAGCAAAAGACTACGCCTTCCGTAAGTGTCGATAGTCCAAATAGCCGGCCAGGCAAATACGAAGTTGACCAGTCCAAAACCAAAACTTGCGATGAGGGCTTGAGTGCGTGTAGCGCCAGCCTCGACAAACACAGTCGAGGAATAGAATGCAATTATGTTAATTCCGCACATCTGTTGAGCCATCATGACGGTAAAAGAAGCAAGAGTTGCGCGGCGTAATCTTGGGATCGTGAAAAGTTCAACGAAGCGTGTCAAGTAAGTGTTTCGTCCAATGATTTCTGCCTCTAGTTCCAACTGCGAATGGATGTAGTAGAGATCGCGGGCAGCCTGGATAGGTTTATTCCGCAGTCGCAGCAAAGATGCGTATGCTTCATGATATCTCCTTTTCTTCATGTACCATCTTGGAGATTCTGGGCAGAAATAGACTCCTAACACCAGCGGGACCGCTGGAATGAACGCAGAGCCCAATTGGAGACGCCAGGCAATATGACCAGCGTTTGCCACCGCGAGATTAGCACAGAATCCAAGGAAGATTCCAAAAGCTGTCCACATTTGCCAGCTCATAACCACTACCACACGTTAGCTAAGTCGCAATTTGTGTAGAAGTAAACGTGAAGCGAGTTCCGAGGTCTCATCGCAGTAAAAGTGACACGGTTGAAGATTGGAGACTCACAAGCACCACGGATAGCAGCAGGTGAGTTTTCAGCTGCGAAAATAGGCACTGTACTCGCTTTACATCCCATTCCAAACCCTAAAAGAAGCCTGCAAACCAAAAGTTGTGGTAATGTATGGCAAAATGCCGAGCCCAAGACTGTCCAGAGGCAGAGATTCCCGGAAACAAAAATAGTTCCACGTCTACCAAACCAGTTATTGAGAGGATCAGCAAGCCAGCAACCAACGATTGCGGATCCGATATATGGCGCCGCGTTAATCATTCCAACGAGTAATGAATGTCGAGTGGAATGCGAATCGATACCAAAATATTGTGGAAATGTTAGATTTGCGCCATTGGACCCTATAAGAGCAGCATCAGCATTTCGCCGATTGCAATTGTTTAGCTAGATTGACTGATGAGCCGAAATAAGCAGTAACTAAGCAATCAATTGCTTTCCATCCCGAAATAGCAACCTCATAATCCATTAAAAAACATAAAATCTGTAATTTTCGAATCCCCCTAGGCTGTAAACATACCTGTTTGATCCCATCCTTGAACAGCAGCACCTATAGAACAGCATATTATGGTATAGTAAAGCGACGTCGGCTGTCTCCATTTATGTAAGACCTCATCTTGTAAAGCTTCAATCTCGTCGTCGGTCAATTTTTCTTCTCCAGTTATATCTTCGTAATTTGATGGATCTCTTGCCACAAGTGCACCTTTTCTTAACAATGGCAGTATGTCTGTAAGTCCTTTCTCGATGGCGAAATCATCTACTTCATGAAGGAGAAGATGCTCTGAGATACCCGCGAGGGGATTCTGTATCCTATGTTTCTTCATTAACGCATTGCTAAGATCCAGAAAGATAGCCATTACTTTGCCTCAAGATTTGCATTCAAATTGACGTGCTTAGGATGCGACTCCGAGATTTGGTCTCCCCGGTATTTCTCGTTGCGCGAGAAGGATCTGGATTAAAATTGGTCAATTGTGTCACTTGAATATCGAACAAATCCAGAAATTACCTTTCGGTAGATTCCTCGTGCTGGGAAATACTTGGAAGCTCATTTTTCAACGCGACCATGTTTCGAGGTGGACGATCGACACAATCACGGACCCCAACCTTTTTCTTTGACAGGAAAAGTTCTGGAAGAACTCCCCTCCAGGTCGTCAGGAGTGGGGATGAGCTAGGCATATAACGACATGGGAGTAGCAGGGGTGTGCAGAAGACACCAGTCAAATGGGTGGAATAGACGGTCTAGGACGGCTGGGCGTGGCTGTCTTACTGTCGGTGCAACAACTAGATCGAGCCATCAGCTGGCTCATGCCGCGATTTGATGCTGGAATCATTCAATTTGACCTCTGACTAGAATGCTAATTTTGCTTGATCTACTTCGGTCTGCAAGCCGAAATCCGGTCCTATATCCTAAACATTATCTAGATAACAACTGAATTGTTTCGTATGGAATTGAGGCTATCCAGAACCCTACCCCTCATAACGTTTGCGGAATCCGGGGCTGACAGGCGGGGTCCCCAAGGATACTGCGGGCCGTGGCATCCTGGCTTCACTCTGAGTACCGTGTATTTAAGAAAGGCGTCAAAAACATCCTCAATATAATGATATGAGTGCTAGTTGTGCTCATGTTGTCCCTTTCATCTCCATAGAGTTGGAAGCTCAATCATGTCTCTCGCGACATTGGAACTTACAGAATTATGATAAAGGGTTTATAACGGCCCTTATGGCATTGTGTGTTCAATAGAGGCGTATAACAGAACCGCGAAGGAAACTGTACTCTTTTGAAACTGCCTGGAGGGCCAAATAAAACCGTCCGCTGGTACTCTGAGTGCATCAGCACACCAAATCCTCCAGGGCTGTCGTGAGAAATGCCCAGGTGTGGCGTAAGCAGTAGACATGTTACACAAGAAGTGCAACCAACATATTTTCTGACTGAATTGCAGTCGAGCACCTTGACATTGCGAAAAGGGAGAACGCCATGGCAATACTTCAGTACATTTCTTTCCAAATATCACTCATATCAGAATGACTAGGAAACGAAAGAGCCATATTGCTGTTGTTCAAGCCCGATTTTGAACAATACGTCCGAAGCGGTGCAGTCGTTGTTGCACGAAAGCACAAATAAGCATTTTGAAAGTATCGCCAGCGATCCCAGCCACAACGCCCCGCAAGGCAACGACATTTGCTTTCCCCTCATTGACTCCTTCATCCAGCGGTGTATCTGTCATGCCAAAATCCTCTTTCAGGTCCAAGGTATCTATCACCTTGAACAAATCGGTCTGTGTTGCCTAGATTTTTGGATGAAGATATTCATAATTCACTTGAATTCTATATATGTAGATAGTGGTAGGTTTTTGCTCAATGGAAGGACATCCTATCAAGAGAGTGTGTCTTTTCTAGACGGGATTTGCAAATCCAAATTCTCGTGATAGGCCTGCATATGTAGAGCAAAACACCGGTCACAGTGGACGAAAACCTGTAATCCCATCGCAGGAGTCGGCGGACGCAATGACATGGCTGGCACGCAGAGTGAAATAGTACCAATATTCAATGCCGGCACTGCGCTGGGTTGCCAACACAGTCGTTACGTTACTGAATGTCGTTATACTGATTCGACATAACGATCGTATCTAGAACACCTCGTTTGAGCTTCCCAACAACCTCATCTCGCTCCCGAATCTGTTGTCTGAGGTTCAAATATCTTTCTTTCCATGACTCTTCTGTAGGCTCCGGGCCATGCTCAAGTGCAGCTGATTCCACACCATGATGTACTGTGGCACGAATTGTAAAATTCCCCTCGATGGAGCCAAACCTCATCTTCCATTGGCATTCATAGTGTGCAATCGAGCCCTGCTCGAGTCGCGTCATCTTAAGCCGTGTCATCAAAGGTCCCCCAGCAAGAGCTGACAGATTGATTAGAAAAGCTTCTGTACTACTTGATTCCGCCTGAAGATTCTTCACGACTTCTTTACATATTTTATCTGCTTCATCAATGGTGCACTTTTCGATGCTCGCTCCAGATGCATTAAACCATTCTGCTGCTAGTATTTCGCAGATGAAGTGGCTCTTCAAGGCATCCATGTTTGTTCGGTCAGTGTCTTCGTTTTGTGTAAATGCAATACTAACAAAATGTTCGAGATTCGGGTCTGGTCTAATTGGCCCTGTGAAATACTGCATCAGAGGTATAAATTGCGAGTTTGTAATATGGCCTGGTTGAAGATCCGTACTGTCGTCCCTAGTCACCAGCAGAGAGGATGGAGCTGGGGGTGTAATAACAGGCGGAGGAGGAGGTGTAGCTAGTCTTACAGGACCTCCTTGTCGTTGAGGAACCTGGAGCTGTAAGCCCAGTCGACTAGGCCTCCCGTTTGTTGGCTGAGGATTTGAGGGAGCGGACGGTGGGAAAAATCTGGGGGCTTCTGACCTTTCAACAACAGGTGTCGCTGTCGGAGTGCTGTCGTGCAAGCTAATATTTGGAACTTCCCTAGACTGTGGATTTGCTGGGAAAGTTGAGAATGGACCGTCTTGTACAGAACGGTTAGTAGATGGTCTGCCTCTAAGTTTGCCAGAGGATGTTCCACCACTACTTGGCCACGCCGATGAGACTGCTGGGCCGTGACGGCGTCGTGCCCGACTTTTGTTCGGCGTGATGGCAGACTGAGGCTCATTAGATACATCCCAAAGCTGTCGATTCGAGGGTGTTATCGCAGAATGGGGATACGCTGACATAGGAGTTTGGATTGCATCAGGTCCATTCCAGCGAAAGTTTGGCGGTAGCCCTCCTCCAGTATTGGACCATGGTCCCATCCTGTCCTGAAAGCCGTTCGAGAAACCGGGATGAGTGGTCGCAGGAGTGGCATTTTCAGCCATCTGCGGAGTTCTTGCCATCATGAAATCTTCTGACAAGGTCGGTGATGGTTCAAGCCGAGGACGCTGGGCTGGCGATTTCCCCGATTCGCTTTCAATATCTCTATCTTCGGCCTTCCGGCGTCCACGTTTTGGCTTCGTTTCCGGTAGAAGTGCTCGAAGCGCCAAATCCTCTTCAGTTGGCACTCCATCTCGCCCATCCAAAGCTGCTTCATTCACACCCGGTACATCTGTCCAATAAATGTGAGGTTTATTCAGAAGATACTCAAAGAATGCGTCAACATGCATTGCGTGCATCCAGCGCTATTCAATGTTAGTCGCACTTTCTTTCGGAGGGCAAATGACTCATATCAACTTAATAAATTTAACTAAAAATTGTGATGAACTACAAATTGAACAAAGATTGACGGCTCTTATGGGATATTGCATACCTTAAGCCGGACTGCATATTGCTGAACTTTCTGAGCACTTTGTCCCTTCTGTGGATCTGGTTGCTCAACGCCTAATTCAATCGCGAGTTGTGCCCAGGTTTTAAGCTCTTTACGCTCAAGCTTTCCAATTAATTCAAACAGAGTATACGTGCTAAACGATTTGCCATCGCTTTTTGGTGGTGCTCGAAACGTCTTTTTCAACTCCACAGTATCTGTCTCTGGAGGAATTGATGGATTGCAGTGGAGAATGAAGGACACGTAGGCGTCGTCAAAATTGTTATCTGTGACATCCCGCGATGGCAAGCCCCTCGAAGCTGGTGTAGGCGGGCCGAGTAATGAGTTCGTAGCTTGTTGCTGAACAGAAGGTATTCCAAGTGACTGGTTTCCATCCTTTTCGTTTTCCGGACTAAACGTTGGAGCTGGGTAAAGGCGTATTAATCGTAGTCTTTCCGACTCGGGAAGTCCGTTGGGAAAGCCCTTTTGGGTTGTCATTTCTAACAAGTCCTTCTGGAGCCATACGCAATATAAAGACTAGGTCGGAACGAACACATGCTCGCTTGGAGCAAGAGAACACTCACTCCACGCAGCGAAAGCAAGAAATGGATATGAGACTGAACTGGAGAGCTGAGAGAGAACGTGCAAATCAATCAAACACGTATGCAACAACGTCAATGTAGCAGAAACGACAGAACAAATATATATACAATGATTGACAAGCAGAATGTTGACTTATCGGTCGACCATGAATGGTGATATAGTGAGGAAAGAAGCTAATGATGGCTAATTGATGGTGTTTTCTGGGGGAGCGAAATTATTAATTGTGGCTAATAATAGAGCTCAACTGCTCATCACGTGACCCGTCACAAGTGTGGGGCCCCGGGAAGATCGTCTTCACAGGCGGGCTTGAGGCGGGCAGCTTGACCTCGGCAGAAGCATCATGGCTCGGAAATATCAAACGGGGTACTCGAGTATGTTCATGCGAAAGCTGCCATTAAAGGATACTCCGTCTTGAACTCTTTTTACTCAAATTGATGAAACTACTCCTTTACTCTATCAGACCCACCAGATTCTAGATACTTTCTTAACCAGCAGTTAACATGGCTCCAACAACAACAGCAGCCCAGCAATCCGACAATGTCGCTCACGCTCTCAGCGGAGCTGGTGGAGGCATACTATCCATGGCACTCACGTATGTTTCTTCCTCTATGTCTTGGGGTACTTTCTCTTAACTGACTTGTCAGGTATCCTCTGATTACACTTTCAACCCGGGCCCAGGTCGAATCCAAACGTGCTTCTTCGAATTTCCTCGAAGCCGTTCAACACATTATCGCGAGAGAAGGCATCACCGGTCTCTACGCTGGACTGGATTCTGCGCTTTTCGGCATCAGCGTCACCAATTTCGTGTACTATTATTGGTACGAATGGACTCGGTCTGGATTCGAAAAGGCTGCGATCACAGCTGGAAGGGCAAGCAAGAAGCTGACAACAGTGGAGAGCATGATTGCCGGTGCCATTGCAGGATCTGCAACCGTCTTGTTGACGAATCCTATCTGGGTCGTTAACACACGTATGACGACAAGAAAGAGAAATAAAGAGACAGACGAGAGTCTAATTCCAGGAGCCAAGGCACAAAAGGCACCTACAACTGTAGGCACGCTGCTGGCATTGATCAAGGAAGAAGGGCCACAGGCATTATTCTCTGGGGTTGTACCTGCCTTGGTGCTTGTCATCAATCCCATCCTCCAATACACTATATTTGAGCAATTGAAGAACACTTTGGAGAAAAAGAGGAGAATCACACCGACGGTTGCATTCTTACTAGGTGCCCTCGGTAAACTTTTTGCCACAAGCATTACCTACCCATACATTACGGTAAAGAGCCGTATGCATGTTGCAGGTAGAGATGGCGGTAAGGAGAACATGTTGGATGGCATGCGAAGAATTGTCAAAGAGGAGGGTTACACCGGTTTCTACAAAGGTGAGTCTCCTCTCTAAATGTGAAATCTAACAGATTCTAACCGACGTAGGAATTGGTCCTAAGGTGACACAAAGTGTCCTTACAGCGGCCTTCTTATTTGCCTTCAAGGATGTACTCTATGAACAAACCATAAGGCTGAGAAGAAAAATACCTGCAAAAGCTCTTGCTTAGCTCTTAGGACAGCACATGCAGCTAATCATCAGGTCGGGCGTTCTTAACGAACAACTCTTTTCAACAAAATTGTACGATATGTGTGATAACGCAACTAGGTTGTCTTGAACCTGGAAGGATTTGGACTCGGAATGGAGGGGTTAGGAGCATTAACGGCGTTGCATTCTTGGTAGAGGGGGGGATGTTAGGGTATGTGGAGATCCTAACATTTCGCCCAAAAGAAAAAACACCTTTTGGAAATTTATGAATATTATCTGAGCCTCAATATATAGCATTTATCTTCAGCCTTGTCTTTGTTGGCTAATCAATTAAGTGGGTCACGAACTACGCTCCGTAAGTATGGGTGCGCTTGTGTAACAACTCTACGCAGTATTTACTCAAGCATTATCCAAGATATTGCGTCAAGTAATCGAGGACATACTGGGTCTCGACTTGCTAGTGACTTGTCTATCGCGAGATAATGTGCCAAATGGTCCTTCTCATTAACAGTGAGCGAACGTAGCGCCGCCATTTCTCGAATTGGCATTAACTTTTCAAAGGCTGACTTAGGGGTAGGTTCTTGATTAACCAGTCCATCTTCGCGTGAAGAATGTTGACCGTACCAGGAGCAGCGGCGGCACCACTAGAAATATTACTTCCGAGTGATTACTGATCGAACCGATCGAGACCCGACAGGCTACAACCCTTCACACCTATTCAACTCTATCATTCAACCCATAAATATCAGGTTTTCTTATATTCAGAATTCTGTTATTATGACGAAGTAAACTTCTATGACTAATGTAACAATAATGGCTGCGCAAACATTACTGGTAAGCCCCATGCGTTTGGTTTTTATGCAAATTGCTGCTCCCCAAACTCCCCCTTAATGCCAACCAAAAGCTTCCCCTCAGAAACAATCTCCTCCTTTCTCTCAACCAACTCATCCACACTCCAGTTCGCAGAAACGTATCTTCCATTAAGGAAAGAAGCTTGCTCAGTTGAAAGCCAGACAGCAAAGCCACCAGTAAGTTCGTAGGTGTCTTTAGCAAAGGGCTTCAAAGATTCTGCGACGATATCGGTCATCAGGATACCCGGATGAATTCCAACGGCGAATACGTTTGGGTATTCGGTCGAAATGAATTTCTGGAGTTGCAGTATGGCCAGCTTGGATAACCCGTAACTCGATGTGTTTGGCATAGTGACCAGCGCTAAGGCGCTAGAGAGGTTGATGATGCTTCCCTTCTTCTCCTTTCCGAGGAGTTTGAGATAGCCCTGGGAGACTAGGAATGTACCTCGAACATTTGTTTCCTGAAGCTATTAAAAAAGATCGTACATCTAGTCATGAACACTTACGAAATCACTCCACCAATCATCAGCAGAAATCTCCCCAACGCCCCCGGAATTCAGAATACCAGCATTGTTGATTAAGACGTCTGCGGTACCATAGTTTTCCTTGACTTTCGCCCAGAGATTGTCAACGGATTTCTTGTCTGTGACATCAACTGGTACCGCTAAGACTTCAATGTCCTTGTTGATAGCAAGAATATCTTTCTTGACTTCCTCAAGGATCGCTTCTTTGCGAGCGCTGATCACGATTGCCTTGGCTCCAGCCTTTGCAAAAGATTTTGCGAACGCCTATTCTTATATTAATATCTGAATCAATTTGAATGGAGCGTAGTGTGAGTTACATGGCGACCCAATCCCTTCCCTGCACCGGTAATCACAATGACCTTTCCAGTTTGGCTGTTCTCGGGATTCGTAGGATAGATGGTTGGATATTCATCTTGATATGTGGTTCTGGTGAAAGTGCTCTGTCTGATCAGGTAGTCGGAAGGTGGTGCAGACATTTTGATGCTTCTAAATCGCTGAAGTTCTTCAAATGGATGAGTAAAGTTCTGATGTATTTATCTTGGAAGACGGCAAAGTTGATCTGGAATATTCATTCTCTGGACATTTCTGGTTCACTTATATATGGGATTCTCGTGTAACACTACTATATTCTTGCCCCACCAAGTAGCTTTCCGAACGTCCACATCTCGGCACACGATGATTAATCATTAAACATCTGGGTGTTTGACTACGATTAGTCGGTGACAAAGCCACAATAAGAGGATATGGAACGGTCGAGTCAGTCATCCCGATTCCAGCGTGTACTACTTCGAAGTACACGGACTTTCCCGCTTGACTTCCTTAGAGAGGAGGTTAATGAATACATTGGAAAGGGGGTTTAAGCGAGGCACCAATGGACCCCTTCTTGAACTTTTGTTTCTCTGCAAGAAGCTGTTCAGCTTGCAAGAAAATGTAGACACTCCACTTATGCAAAGAAAGCTTGATTTCTATAATGTGTTTCTTGGTACACGGTCACTGGTATGAATGACTATTTCCACAAGCACCAACCCTTAATAAGTGCCTTAATGCCGCCAACTCTGCCTAGGCTGGGACCATTCGTCTCACTCCTCAGAACAAGAAATTAAACACAACGGAAGAAAATGACAAGATATCTCTAGGTGCAAGGCGTTACTCAACAAAGTCAGCCACACATCCTCGGGAAGAAGTCCTGTGTTCATATAATCATAACGCAATAAATGCAGCATAGTGTTCACCCTCTGCTTTGTAACAGCGAACCAGAACTGCAACGTCGCAACCGTCGCAAACTTTACCACTTTGAACACCGAACTCCTTTCTAGGAAGTACTTAGCCGTAAACTTCATCGCTTGGAAAGTTTTCAAGACTAAGTAGAATTTTTCTGTTCAGGACACTTGTAGTAATTGGAGACGATCATTTACATTTACAATTCGTCGTTATGATTCGTTGCACGTGTATTGTTTCATTAACTTATGAAGTCTTTTTGCACAAGACAATCAGCACAATTAGCCTTGAAAATGAAGCCAAAATTGATTGATCTATGAACGAACAGTCTGCAAACGCTATCTCCGCATTCTATGCATCGCCAAAATCAACATGCTAATTGCAGTGCGGGTATATGTAGGTCATGTCTTTTCCATGCCAGAATCAACAGGTAAAGGCACGCTCAAATCTCGGCTTTCTTTTTGAGCTCATCTGCAAGATCATCAACTTCCTTGTCTTGAACTTGGGCAGTAGATTCTTCTTGTGCTTCCTCAGCGTCATGGATGAGTTTCTCGCGGAGATCCTCAGCCTCGGCTTCCTCTTCCTCAGATTCATCTTCCTCGTCGCTGTCATCTTCAAGATCACTGAGACTGTCCACACCCCAATCATCCTCGATGACGATATCGCCAGCAAGTTTCTCCTTTCGGGCCTCCAAAAGCTCCTTCAGCTCCATGATAGCTTGATCATTTTCTGAGAATTTGTTACCATTCAACTCAATCTTCTTCAACGCAGGTAACGATTCCTTAGCGACTTTCGAAAATTCTTGCAATCCCTTGGCGGTAATATCATTGAATTGTAGACGTAACGTCTGGAGCTTTTTGTTGTGGCCCTTTCCCAGCGCGTTGGCAAATAGTACTCCACCCTTAGAGCCGAGTAGTGAATCTCCAATTCCAAGCTCTTCGACGTCTGTCCATCCAGAAACAACACTTGCCAAAGCTTTTGCCCCCAGAATGGTAAAAGTGTTGTCCTGTAAATCGAGAGTTTTGATGCCTTTGGTGTGTTTCAACCCGTCGGTCAAAAGATGTGAAATGCCCTCTTGACGAATACCATTCTGAACCATCTTGACTTCTTTCACCCCAGTATGAAGGCTATAAGCTTTCGCCCACGCATTCATGCTACCATTCTCAAGTCGGTTTCGTCCACAAATGACAGTTTCCAGATCGGGGACATCTTCACCCGCCTTTCTTGCCTCTTGCTTTTTCGCATGGAGTTCGGATAGGGCGTCTGCAATCAATATACCGGCGTGCGGTCCTAGACCGTTGTTGTTGAGAATAAGATGTTGGAGAGGGACGTGTGAGGAGAGGAAGGCAACGAGCGGTGCTTGGGTATTCAGACCAAAAGCATTATCGTTCAGGTTTATGGTATGCAATTTCGGGAGCGTAAGAAGCGCGGTAAGAAGGGAAGACAGGGCTTGTGGAATTTCGTTGAGCAGACGGCCAGTAAATATATCAGCCAGATTGGCTATCTACCGAATGATGGTTAGTAAGTGGCATTTAAATTCGCACATAGAAACATACCTGCAAGCTCTTTTTGGTTTCTAATACTTCTCCGATAACCTTGCATGCTTCAACACCAAGGGTATTACCGAGAAGCCTAACTTCCTCAACATCGCTCATGTCACGGAGGGGTTTAATATGCGCCTCGACATCTGCAGCGGTGTCAAGTTTCAATCCTTTCCCCTCTAGTGAGAAGATCTTTGAAGTAGCCATAGTCACCTGTTTAACTTGAGGGAATACTAGCAAAGAGAATTAAAATGCTCGTTCTGTATGGGCTTTTGAACGCAAAATCGTCAAAATAGAAAGATGATGCTTAGCGCCACTACTTGCGGTTGCTTGCAGGTGTGTTTTGTTCACCTGGAAGTTTGGTGGGGGTGATCGCATCCCTGCATGTCAATAACGCTAGTCTCTTCGACATGCCGCGGCCCGGCGAAACCTAGTCCCGATGGTGATTATGTCGAGAGCTCTATGACAAATTCAGACACCATCCGACATTTACTACGAGCAATTGAACTTCTGAATGTTCTATTACCAAAGTCTTCAGATCGCAGATAAACAAATGGCTTCGCAGGCTATCTCCATGCGTAAGGCAACCTGGGAAAACTCAATTACTTTGCTAATAGATGATCATAGCAACCGCCACCGGCGCAAATATGGGATCAGATCTCAAATCCGCAGGACCCGCCGCCGCGAAGGTTAAGGTATGCGCTCTTACTTGCGCAATGCATTTGCAATTGACTGACTGACTCATGATTAGCCTTGTTGTGTATGCCTGGACGAAAAGAAAACTCGCGACGAATGCATGCTGTTCAGTAATGCGAAAGATCCACAGCAAGACTGCATGTCCACGATCGACAAATACAAGAGCTGCATGAAAGGCTTCGGATTCAACCTACCATAAACGCGTCATGGCGGACGATTTCGTCGCTGTTTGAGTAATTATGTATAAATGATTGTAATATGAGGGTGGGCATGGCGGTGGCGTTGCATAACGGAAGGCGTTGGACAATAGACCTGTACATTTGAGATTTCAAAATGGAAGCACAATCCTCACTCAGATTGATCATAAGAACTTACTAGAGTCTTTTGGGCGAAGGAGCTTGAAATCCATTATTCTGGTTGTTCGAATTCGCTTTTGTTCATTATTAAATTGGTATCATAACCCAGCAAGCACGCTCTGGATTCCAACACTACCAGAATCATCTCTTCTGAAGATGAAGGCCCTGAAATCTGCTTTCTGTAACTTTCTACCGACGCCCCCAGTTTGGAAATTCCTAGATCTTTCCCGTAATGCTTCTGGTCCAATAATGAAGAAATTGCCAATTTCACTTAGTAATTCAACACCTCCTTCGGCTTCCTTCGACAATGGCCAATCTTTCAAAGTAGACACGTAGCGTGACATGTCTTTTGCAACCATCAAACCACCAGTTGCATTGACTTGGAACTTCTTGAAGTGTTCAAAAAGTAGATCTCGTACACTTGTAGCTAGCTCACAGCTGAAAACCTCGAGATTCTGGCCATCAATAGCCTGAGCGGCAGCTTTGGCTACTTTAGTCAGAAACGTACAGATAGATGCACATGTAGCTGTCTGTAAAGTTTCAAGGTAGCCCGGCACTCCACGAGTGCCTTCAAGTTCGCTGTCCTTCGGTCGGAAGTCGGCCTTCTTCTGATTTGCAAGCAATCTTGTGATCCAATTCAGAACCACAGTAATAGTACTGCGAACAATTGTGTTGGTTTTTGATTCAATCCTCTCCACCGCTGCCTTAGTCTGGAGCTCCATTCCACGTCGGACTGTGGTATTTGGCTCAGCTAAACGGATCAAGACGGTGTTGATGAACCGAGACATGATATTGGTGATGGTTATAGCAGGCTGTAATGACGGTAGGTATGAGATATCTGGTTCGCTCTTGATTGTCTCTTGAGAAGTGGCTAAATCTGCAGCGGCGTCCAGAGCAGTATCGATATAGACCTGACCCATGCTTATTAAAAGTAAATTTAGAAGCGCGTTGACATCTTTTGGTGTATCACTCCCACTACCGAGCTCAAGAGCTCTACGAACCCCCTCCGCCAACCACTTCAACATTCTTTTCGCGTTTGGTATGCTCAACTGTCCATCTTCGTCAGTGACTTCAATTTCATTCTTGGCATTGTTGTCCAGATCTTTGAGACCAGCCACTCTCAACATCATAGCTTTCTGGGTGACCGTGAGTTCCGAGGAGTCTAGTCTATCGATGTACGCATCCTTGGCTGTCGACAACAGCTGTGTGCCTTGCTGCGCAAGTGATGCCATGAATCCTGTTGGGACCTTCTTCCGGCGCGAGTGATATATAGTAAATTTGAAAAGCAGGGACGAGTACAATTCTTCCAGACTTTTCCTCTCTCTATCTATATAAGAGTTTCCGACAAGGTATGGAACGAACAGCTCGTCCAGTTGCTGATCCAGACTAAGAGAAGTTTGTGCTGAACAAGCCTCTGGGTGTTCTGTCAAGCCATGGGCTTTCAAGTCGTCGATCAGATTGTTGATATAACTTCTTGAAGCATGTAATGACCGCAAGAAGGCAAGAGAGTTAATAGTATCAGCTTTCTCTAGGACCATTTCCAGCCGTTGCTGAATAGATTGTTGGAAGATTCTCTGAATGAACTTTGTTAAAACAACTTCATAATAAGGGAAAGCCCGCTTGATTATAAAAGATTCATCCTGCATAACGACTCGAATCTCATCGATCAAAGATTGTAAACTTGGCTCAACTCCAGGTGGTTCAGAATCGGGATCAGCTAATCGATTCCACGTTTCATTGTCAGTCGTTACTTCATCCGTGATAAGTTGGCTCCGATCAATGAAGAACTGATGCTGGTTGACAAACAGAGCAACGGCACTTGCTCCACCATTGAAATCATGTAGAACTTTGGCGCATTCTAGCATATCATCGAAATTCTGCCTCCGATAGCTTTCATCAAATTGCTTCAAGAGATCCTTCTCCAGCGTCTCAGAAAACTTCTCAATCAATTCCCGCGTATTGTGGCCCCTGTAGCCCGTAACTCCATTCGTAGTACCATTGATCTTTTTTGTTCCATTTGGTTGCGACCACGAAGATGGATCTAATCTTTGGCTCATCTTCATGAGTTGCCTCGCAATTATTGCACATCGAACTTTGTTGTCGCCGCTGCCCTGCCGTCGTATCATATCCTCTAACGATGTGAGCTGTCCAGCTTCGCTGACTTCGAGCCAGCATTGTATGAGGAAAGTAGCGTCCTGCGCCCGTCTTCGTTGTTTATCAAGAGCTTCAAGCCGCTCTCCAATCTGAACTGCCACCAACCCCCCACCATCGGATCTGCCACTCCTATCGTTTCCATTAGAGCCGGCTGGTTGATTGAGTGTCACGTCGAGGGCTTCGTAGGAGTCTATCGATTCATCGAGTTTCCTTCCCAGGGTATCCAGTGTCTGGTCATGCTGTTGTTCCGCACGTCGAACTGATGTGAGCAAGTCGGTCTCGCTCTCTCCTAATTCATCAGATAAGGTGCTCAACTGTGCAAGAGCGCCTATTTCAAGTTAGCTATGGATGGACATTGGGGTCGTCCGGCGCATACTCTCAAAAGTTCTAATGAGGGGTTTTGGGTCGAAGGCTGCTTGTCCAGGTCCTGAACGCCGGTTGATAGGAATGGCACTATCGGAAAGCTCCTCCACGAAATCCCTGACTATGAAGTCCTTGTTCGAGAAGTTCTCCAAAGTGAAACTGGGACCATTGGGAAATATTGACCTAACACTTCCCGTTGCTCTACTATTTATGGATGCCATTGCGACCTTGGCGAAGCTGCAAATGCTCCCATATTATATCGATATCATCGACCATCCGTTGCTCGACAGGGAGGCGAAAAACAATATCGAATAAATCGGTTATAATGTGTAGGTGGTGGTTGGAGGGAGGCTGAGAAATGGAGCTTCACTCGGTTGAAACTCAGCCGCCGCGATGTCGTGGCCTTGCTCGCCCAGCTTTACACTATTTGTCGCACAGGTCAACCAGACCTCACCATACTCACTCTCACAATCTTTCAATTCAACTCTCTTTTGTTAACTAATTTGGGGATACATAGAATATAAACATGCCGGTTGCAAAGAGGGAAACCGAGATTTACAGAAGGGATGCGAAGCTCAACCATAATCTATTAACCCCAGCTGAACGAGAGAAGCTCCTGGAGGTAGGAAAGCCAACATTCTTTGTAAGTCACTACTAATATCATTTCCAGCCATATTTACCAGAGCCTCCTACGAGACAGAACTCAAAAGCGAAAAAGGGTAGCAAGGTTAGGGTGCTCCCAGCGGAAGAGAGCCATTCGCGACTGGGCATACGGAAATTCCTCAAAAATCAACTACATGCACTTGTTTACGTTATAATACACACGGTATTCTCCATTTACATACGTTTTCGAGTAGCATACCATGGAGTAAAGGATCGGATTTTCGCAATACTGTATTACCACCACCGAACGCCAGAACTTATTCAGAAAGATGTCAAAGGGCTAGACAGAATACCAACACATTTGAGTGTCATATTGAAGCTTGAAGATGGAGGCAAAGGAGGGGCTGGGTTGGAAACATTGGTTGACGAGGTTGCGGAGATTTCGGCTTGGTGCATGTGTGTTGGGATTCCCACGCTTTCCGTTTATGAAAAGACTGGTTGGTACAGATGTCTCGGGTAGGAGAAAGAAATGCTAATTTACGTAGGAATATTGAAAGGATATGTTCCAGCAACACATCGCGCTATTACACGAAAGCTGTCCTCATATCTAGGACCGGATCATCCTGCGGTTTCCCTACGTGCTCCTCACGTTCCATCCATTGAATCAGCAGCGACAACAACCACTGGTGAAATTATTTCTTTTGCGAAGCCACTATCCGTTCTTTTGCTTTCAGCCGAAGATGGCCGAGATTCTATAGTCGACCTTACCAAGACTTTAGCAGACATGGCGCAGCGCGCCAAACTTTCCTCCACGGACATCAGTGTTGATTTGGTTGATGCTGAGCTTGCTGAGAGTGTCATGGGCGAGCCAGACCTCTTGGTCCTTTTCAGTCCAATTGTTGAACTATCAGGGTATCCACCGTGGCAGGTTCGTCTGACAGAGATCTACCACGTGCAAGATAATCAAGGTGTTGGGTATCAAGTGTTTTTGAGGGCATTATATAATTATGCCAACGCTCAAATGCGTATGGGAAGGTAGACTAGATGTCTCAAATGGCTTATTGTTTCTGCCACAACTTCATCTCGCCAGATGTCTCGTTCCACCTGTAGACTGGCCCGGTGCCAACATTATAATTGTAGTAGTTCTCCGTACCTCCTTTCACCATGGCCTTTCTGAAGGTAATGTTTATTCTTCCACCGTCATCAGCGTTCTTTCCTGTTCTCTTAGGTATTGAGTGTAGCCAATTTGCTTGAGTTCTTCCTTTCATCAATATCATATCTCCACTGGCTAGTGGTAGTTTTATAGGCTTAGTTTCTGGCGGCGATGGTGCGTTGTCGTTTGGAGCAATCGGTTTATGCTTCATTAAGAAGTCTCTCCTTGCACCCAAAGAGAAAGACGCTATTGCCGGTAGACTTCCCAGGAATCTTTCATCATCGCTATGATAGGAAATACTGTCTGAACCAGAAGCATAATAGTTGACGAGACAAAAGTTGAATTTGCAATTAGTTGCTGCTTCGGTCGACTTACGCAGGTCGTCCAAACATTTTGGTATCGGTCGAGGTGCGTATTTTGAGTAATTCTTGTCCTTGACAATTTTTCGACCAGAAGCGGCATCTACTACTTCACCAGACTCATCAAAACGGGACGTTTCATCCAGACCAAAAACTGTCGTGTACCTATTCGCTGTTAGTTGGAGGTTCTCATCTATATTTTCTACTTACCTGGGTGTCCGTATTCTAGTTTCTATTCCACCACGTTTGATATCATATTCTACCCTGTAGAATGGCAGCTTTGAGCGTAGAAAGGTAAAGACCCCTCGTTCCAGATACTTGGGAATATATGGTTCAAAATATAACAAATCAAGATCCAACTGGTCATTCATTACTCTTCCAGTCGTTGAAGGGAGGGACGCCAATTCTAATTCGATTGGTTTTGGAAAAGTTTGAATCGGAAATGGATATGTAGGATGAGTAGAATACTCCAAATTCTGAGTAATTAGAATAATTTATGCTTTAAAGTGTATTGATAACTCACTTGTTCTTCTTCTGGCGCCGCCGAGCCCATTTGATCCGTTCCTACATTTTGGGTCTCTTCAACGCGTGGTTTCTTATTTGGCGGCTTGAAAAACGCGTCAATGGTTCGTTTCTTCGTAGCTCCAGACATTCTGCTTGATCATTATGATAATTAGAAGCATTCGATCGCGAACCGTATCACATTAGCTAGCCTCGTCGACGTCATTACCTCATTGGGCAAGCCTTGCATGAGCAGACCCGCTTTTACTTTCAGCCTTGCGACAAATTTCTAGACTTTCTGACTCGACCACAACGACAACAAAATTCCAAAAAGTAACATTATGAAGATATGGCTGTAAGTTAATCAAGCAAACTTGTTATTTTGGGTGAGGACTGACACATGAAACTTCCAGGAAATGAATTCAGCACCATCATCAGACCTAATGTCTCTCCTCCGTCCGCCAATTATTCGTTCAGCGACTGCGACACTGGATCGCGCACTCTGGTCGAAATCGATACCCATTTCAGCTGCTAGAGTTAGGAATGTGAAGAATATATCGAAGATTCGGACTGGGTTGGAGAAGAGTAAAGAGATGCTCAAATTAGAGAGACTCGTAAATGTTCGACCTGATCCTGATCAAACTCTTGCTGCCAAAGGGGGGAAATGCTTGTTGCTGAAGCCGGAAGTCAAGCCTGATGGTAGGTTTATTTTGAGGTGATGAAAGGAAACCTCTGACTTTTACTAGATTCAAGTACATGGAGTGCCTTTTTACAAGAAGCTGTCAAGAGTGAAGATGTTGGCGTTATTCCGTACGCATTACACCTAGATTATGATTATTGGACATATCGTACGTACGTGACCTACCATCAAAACACAAGCACAATCTCTAATAATTACAGATGATGTTATGACCGGTCTCCTCCCCGAAGACGCACTCGGTGAAGTCCCCGTCGGCTTCGCAATCGTCGGCCACGTCGGTAAGTCCTCCACCTCCCCCCTTAACCTCGCTAATCCCTCTCAGCTCATCTAAACCTGCGCAATGAATACCTCCCCTACAAACACGTAATCGCCGAAGTCCTTGTCGATAAAAACCCTACCATCCGTACAGTAATCAACAAAATCGACGACGTAGGCGCGGCGTCAGAATTCCGTACTTTCTCCTACGAAGTCCTTGCCGGGCCCGACGATATGAACGTCGAGCTTAGCGAAGGGAATTGTATTTTCAAATTCGATTATTCAAAGGTTTATTGGAATAGTAGACTACAAACGGAGCATAAGCGGTTGGTGGATTCGTTTAAAGAGGGAGAAGTGGTATGTGATGTTATGGCAGGCATAGGACCTTTTGCTGTACCAGCTGGGAAGAAGGGTGTTTTTGTCTGGGCGAATGATCTTAATCCTGATAGTTATGAGGCGTTGAAAGATGCGATTGCGCGGAACAAAGTTCGTCTCCTTCCCCTATACACAGTCCATACTAACCACCTAGGTCTCAACCCACATCCGCCCCTTCTGTCAAGACGGCCACACCTTCATTCCCCATGCCGCCGACTCCCTTCTAGCCCTCACCCAGACAAACAGCAACATAATCACCCTCCCCGCCAAACGCCCCCGCAACCCTTCCTCCTCCGCTCCTCTCCCCGCGCCAAAAACACTAACCCTCCCCCCCACAATCTCCCACTTCATCCTCAACCTCCCCGCCATAGCAATCTCCTTCCTTCCCTCCCTCATCGGTCTCTACGCCTCCTCCTCTTCCCTCTTCGCGCCCCACACAACCACAAAACTGCCACTCGTCCACGTCCACTGTTTCAGCACAAAATCCGAGGACAATATTCGCGAAGGACGCGAGATCGCGGAGCGGATTAGTAAGGAGATAGGGTATGAGATGAGGGCGATAGAAGGAGAGGGCGACGTGGATGAGGAGGGCATGGTGAGGATTACGGAGGTGAGGGATGTGGCGCCGAAGAAGAGGATGTTTTGTGCGAGTTTTAGGGTGCCGAGAGATGTGGCTTTTAGGGAGAGGGTGGTCAAGGTCTAGGAGTTGGAAGGCTATATAAGGGACAGTATTGGAAAGGCGACCGGGGAAATGATAGCCGGGAAAAGTAGGGATATCGTAATTCAGAACTTGCATACCTGAAAATCGCTTATTCTCCAATTCACCAAGCCAAGTTTCCCTCTATCCCAAGTAGCCTCTTAACAGAGATGTAAATGAAGTAAGAGAGAGAACTACTGCGCACGGAGAAGTTGACAAGCGGAGAGGTCTTAGTAATTCACGAGGACTTTTATCAAGAGAGATTTAGAAGGGAAGGGCCACATAATTCACAACCCTCATACATGAAAAACGCCTTAGCTCTAATGAACAAGTATCCACCCGTCCTAGCCACCCTCCTCAAAGTAGATGCAAACTAAGTAAGAGAGCTACTACATGACGAAGGTTTAAGCAGAATAATGAAAATGGGTATTGGTACCTCAATGAAACGTTCATCAGCAGAGAATCAGAAAAATAATAAGGGCCTTCATAATTCATAACCTAAGTACACGAAAACCCCACGCTTATTCTCCATCTGCAATCCAACAAAGTACCCCTCCATCGTACCCTAATAAAACCGCTCATACAAAACACAAATCAAATACGACCACTACGCTACTGCATAACACTAATCTCATTATCCGCTCTCTCATTAATCTCGCAACCCTGAGAAAAGAAGATGCGCGCGGAAAAATCGTAGTCGTTTTCGATGCTGTATGAATTTCCTGTTTATGACATTAGCTTGTGCCCACTCTCTCAAAAGTCATAGTGTAAAAAGAAAGAGAATTTCAACATACCCCTAGGAACCTGCCACATCCCCCCCTTCCCAATCCGAAACTCCGTCTCATTAACCACAACCTTGACGCGTCCGAAATGCACAAAAAAGACAAGTTGCATGCTCCTCGAATTCTTCTGTTTCTTTAACGCTCCTGGCGGCAGGTCCACCATGCCGCTGCCAAAAAACGGCAGCGTGAGCGTCTTTGCGAACTTAAACGTCGCCTGTTTGACTGGATGCGTGACGATGGCCGTGGCCGAGATGGCGATTTCCTCTTCGATTTCCTGAGCCATGAGGCCTTGCGGGTCGGCAGGGTCCCATTGACGGATCTCGCCGAGGAAGGTGCCTGGATTGGTTTCCCATGGTTCGGCAAGGGAGACATCTTCGTCTGATTCAGAATCGGCGTCGGCTGTTCGGCGGGGTTTTTTGGATTTGGATTTGGCTCGGTGGGTGGGTTTGGAGCGTTTGCGATGAGATTCTTCTGGTTCGTCGGCGCGGATGACTTCTTTGATGCTGGGGAGGAGGAATTTGCCGAACTGGTTGTCATTTTCTTCGGGGTCATATTCTATGCGCTCGTTTTTCCAATAGGCGACTGGCTTGATAGAGTTACGTCCTGAGCGGGTTTGTTTAAAACCATGTCCTTCCGCCGGGGTTTCTCTTCGAAGAATGACAAGACCACGGTTGTTTCTTGGAAGAGGAGGACCGCGTTTTACTTGAGGCGAATCGAATTCTTCCATCGCAGCTAGTACGGACTTCTTAGGCGCCGTTTTCGATGGCTTTGCTTCTTGGGCAGTCTTTTTGGTCTTCTGAGCCTGTTTTGGGACCTTCTTGGTTGGCGCTTCTTCTGGCTCAGGTTTCTTTTTCAGTCTTCCTTTTACCTTCTTCACATGCTCCTCTTCAGGCTCAGGCTCCGGCTCAGGCTCAGGTTCTTCCTCAATAATTTTCTTCGGTCGACCCATCTTTTTCTTGGGAAGAGGTTTTGGTTCCGAAGATGGAGCTTTGTCAAGAGACCTTCGAGTTCTTTTTGCTGGCCTCTCTTCTTCCTCAGCTACAATCGCATCAACCCGTTTCGGTCGACCTCGAGCCTTCTTAGCCGGCTGTTCCGAGACCTCAGGCTCAGTGGCCTTCCGCTTCCCCTTTTTCGTAGCCACTTCTTGCGGTTCTGGTTCCGGTTCCGACTCCATTTCCGGCTCCGGTTCAGGCTCCTCCTCCTCCTCCACCTCTGCCTCAAACTCAGGTTCATAACCATTCCCAGTATCAACCATCTGCAACGATTCATCCAAATCCACATTCGCTTCCAGTCCCGAATCCTCAACCTGCTCACTGTAATCCTCACTCCTGTCCATATCCGTGGAGACATCATTCAATGCTGAAAAAACATGGTTCGTCGCCGTCAACTTCGCACTCGTCAAACTAGGCAGCGCCGACCCAGCTCTTTTCGCGATCGTAGAAATAGATTGACTCATATCCCCATTCGAGAAATTCAAGGTCCTCCTCACGGAAGCCGAAACCGACGCCGCGCGTGGAACCACAACACTGCCCCTCGTCGGCGAAGAAACCGCATCGAAAGAAGGATTCTTCCTCGCAGGGGATTTCAAGAATGTTTTAATCGGTGACTTGGATCGTGGTGGTAACCTATAACCCGCTCTCTTCTCCAAAACCTCTTCGACTTCCGGAATCGTGCCTATAACTCATTAGCCCACTTCCCTTTCAAAAGCGCGTGAGACATACTGTCCGCAACATCCATATCCTCACTTTCCACCGTGCGATTCGAAAACCCATTCACCTGGGGCGTCTTCCCCCGCGCTTTCATCGGCGACGAGAAAAGTCCATCCATAGGTTCCAATCCATTTTCATCGCGGATACCAGTATCTGGGAGCGTAATACCCGTTTTCCTATCTTCTCGTTAGCTTAGAGATAAATTGACTCGAGCGCGGTTACATACCGGCCTTTGACACCGAGATCGAAGAGGAACTGGTTCTCTGTTGGTTTGCGCTTGGCCTGCGCAACATTGCCGTTTGGTGCCATGGCGCGACGCGTGGTAGAGCGCTCACGGGCTTAGGCAGAGATGATTGCTGGATCGAACGGAGTCAATTCGGTGTGGGTTTGGCAAAAAGCGCGATAAAACGCGTAGAACTCGACGATATCAGTTTGTTGTTTGGATGTGGGGTTGTTGGCGATGCAATTGCAATAGGGCGCGTTTACGATAGGAGAAGTTTAAATTGTTGATGCCTTAGGCGTTGATTCACCCCCCTTTGCGGCTCGCTAGAATGTCAACAACGCCTCGACTTTCCATCAGACGATCCATGACTTTGCGATTGGCTTGTTCACAGAAGGTTGTAAGCTCACTGCATGCTTTGGCATATAGTTATGAATATGACATGTGGAAATTGCCAGACATATGATCTGCAACGTAGAAATCACCTTGCACACTTCCGACACCTACAAGCCCACACCCAAATATTAACCTTAAAGTCTACTTCAATTACACATCTCCCCTTAACTCACCAGAAAGTCACAAGGAGGCCAGTAAAAGCAAAACACTACTTCCAAATGAACTCAGATCAAGGGTATTCTATTTCATCTACCACAACCCACACGAAACAAACGAATGTTCCTTTTAGCTCAAAGACAACTACCTAGTAAACATCGACTGAGAAGAGAAAGGTCAAGCCAAATAAGAACGAGTGTCCTGTTCCACCATATATGCAAGAAGCGGCTCGCTCCCAAGATGTTCCATTTCCCACACAAGAAACAAAAGTTCAAATTCCCCCACCGCTAATGTTCTGTATCCATCCCTGATGTATGCTGATCCGTCGAAAATACAAACACCCCACCAACAAAGACAAACTCCAGAAGCTGCGAGAACATAATTACCCCCGTTCCATATCCCCCCATATTGGTATCTCTTCCCCAACCCCACCCCGATTCCAGAATATAAAAACCCGTTCAACAAAATTTTCCATATGTAATCTGATTCCATGGCCGTGAAGCGCAAATAATATCAAAGTTCAGAAGAAGAAGTTGAATGTTATAAAAGAATAAGTAAAACAAAAGCAAACGCTGTCATGACCTCGTAATTCTGACAAGAAAGCAAGCCAAAAAAAGATTACTTTTCCGTCGCTCTGAAGCGCCCAATTTATCCGTCGTCTTCCGCGTCATCTTCGTCCTCGTCTTCGTCCTCCGCACTGCTCCTTCCACCGACAGGAGGTGCATTTAATTTGGTCTTTTTACTTGGTGTCGAGTTGTCATCGGCTGCCTTTCGCTTAGTGCCTGAGCCCCCTGCACTTTTTGGTAAACCAGGCGCTGGCGTATCTAACTTGTCCTCCTCGCCACCATCTCCCTTGACTCTCTCAATTTCAGCAACTTCATCCGCGGTCAAGAATCTCCCTCCAGGACCTCTAGGTCTTCGCATCGCGTGGTTGTGTCGGCTTTCATGCAGATATGGTTTCCTGCCTTTCGATGTTAACCGAAGAGCCTCTTCTAATCTTTGGCGCGCAACACGTCGCTTCAAAATTCGATGAAATTGTTTTGCATTGACATATAGAGGTGACTCTTCCACTGCTCCAGAAACAAGCTCTGGTGATTGTGGGTGTTGGTTGTTGACTGGCATAGGAGGTACCGAAGGTCTTGGCGCGTGGTTCATCTGTGGCTGAGAGTTCTGAATCGCAGGACTTTCGCCAACCTGTTGGCTCATCCTGCGGTTTTGGTTCAGTTGTTGATGTCCCATGGAGTTTTGCTGTGGTGACCTAGGCCCTCTTTCTCTCTTGATTCCTGATCCCATCTTTGGCGAGCCTTGTGATAACTCAGTCCCTGGGATTGGGTATCCAGAATAGCCTTGCCCCGAGGCTGCAGCCGTTGCAGCCATTGCTGCAGCTTGAGGTGTAATATTAGACATTCCATAGTGAGCTTGAGGTATCACACCATACGTTGGCTGGTAACCTCCCATTTGATGTATAGGCTGACCGGGATGCGACGATTGCCCGGGTTGGGAGGATAGGATGGGTGATGTTTGGTTGTGGACTGCGTTGTGGTTGTGTAGTGGTTGAGATGGGGATGTGATAGCTGGTCCACCTCCTGGGTGTTGACCAGAATTTGGATAACCTGTCTGTATATGTTGCCCATGCCCATGTTGGGCTTGCGCCGGTTGCTGGTATTGCGCGTACTCCATCATTTGTTCTGTTGTTTGTCGGTTGGTTTGTCGGCGGTGTTTGGGTTTGCGATTCGCAGAATGGCGTGTAGATGCCTAGGCGCGACTTCGGATCCGGATATCGAAGTCTGAGTTTGTTTGGCGCTGTTTGAAACTACAGTTTGATTTCGGGAAGTTGTATTCTAGTTCGCGTATCTTGAGGTATTGTTCGAATGTACGACGGTGATTCTACGCGTGTAGATGTTGTCGCAAATCTTCAAGTGGCCGTACGTCAACTAGTAGCCACCCGTCTCGTCAATTCGATACCGGGATGCGTGGATGTGCTGGCAAGCTATCTGGTAGGTGTACACCGCAATCAACCGCAGCACAGCATATGCAAGCTGATGTCGTCGAGGAGGCGTTCTGATGGAGCAAGGCTTGTTGGGCAGGCTCGAGTTCCAGTACCCACGTGAGAAGGTGAGGCGATCTTTTGCGACGCGTTTGAGGCTATTCGAGACAATGGACTGAATAGCTTCGTGTGGACCCAAATATCACCAGCCACTGAATGAACGAGGCTTCCCCAGTAAATACAACGGGCTTTGCGAGTCTGATCCTATCGATAGCATTAGCTCTGATGAACTGGGCAGCGTTCAGGAAAGCTCGAGGAGCGATTGGGAGGTGGCCGTCCTGAGCCGATGTTGTTTTTGCCTTGACCAGTCTGATGCGTTGGCCATGCATATGGGTCATGCAAAACCTAGGCTTACCTTGTCGATCAGCTTCCACCCTAAAGTCCTATTCTTATCACCTGTGGCGGTGATGTCTTTGAATTGAGTTAATCCCAAATGGACCACGAAGGGTTCTGAACCGACGATGCGGGGGCGCTCTGGTCAGGTTGAGTTGATGTTGACGCGCAGTGCGGCTGCGACGAGCTTCAAAAGTGGATACGAGTCGCGAAAAGATACGCGCTTGCAATTGACAAGACTGTTTAGAACGATGTCCGGACGGAATCTAAAATCTAGTAGAGAAAGAGAAAGTCAGCGCGCTGTGATAGTGATGTACTCTGGCTGGTACCCAGCGCGTCGCGCACTGACAAGCTCTAGGGCCCGTAGCTTGCGACAGCTCTCTCACGATGTAATTAAATTCCCGTCGCGGCAACAGTGACTGGACAACTGACCTTCCAATGCGCGTCGCTGAGACTCTCCAGCAACTTTGGAATGGGATTCTCCTGGCTATCCTTCCCGCAGCGACGTTGAATCACGGGATACCGACGAGGGCCAATTGCGCCGTCAATGAAGCTCTTCACGATGGTGATAGGGCTTTGAGGGTGTCGATGACGGTGTTTGCGGTCGCGAGGATTGGCTGTGTTCCGTGCAGGATTCTGGATGCGATACCAGGTACGGCGCTCAATTTAGGAGTGTACCTGGTGGGAGCACGAAGCAGTGGATGGAGCCGTGGTGAGTACTGGAGTACTGGAGTACTGGAGTACTGGAGTACGGAGTACAGAAGCGACTTGTTGGCTGGGAACAAATGAGCAAAGACGCTCTTGAGACGATCGTTTGTATGGTCGTCTTGGTCTTTGCGACTTATCGATGGGATTGGCCTTTTTTCGGGCGGTGGTGGGAGGTCGCGGTGATGGGTTCGGGTGATTGGTCGTGGTGTTGATGGAGGAGGAGAAAGAGAGACGTGAGTGGTCGGGGGGAGAAAATGGATATAAGACGAGCACGATTGGGGGGATTTGGCTTTGACTCGGTTATTTTGGCTGACTGTGTGTGGGCGGGAGCTGGTGCTCGAGGTGACGGGAGGTGTGGGTGGAGAGGGTGGCTCGAGAGTGGGTTGCGGCTGGGGAGGGGTGGGGATAGCAAAAGAAGCGGAGTCGCGGATGGAGCCATGAGTCCAGCACCTGCATGGGATGGAGGATTGTTTGGCCGAAGCGCCGTTGCGGAGCCAGCGAACGAGAGCAGAGATTTCACTAGGAAAAGAGGGGCCGGGAGAAGGGAGGCTAACCACCGTGGCTACGGCAAAGCAGAAGTGACGCAAAAGACGGTAGAGTCTTAACACACAACAATAACACAGAGACCACAGCAAAACATGGCGACGTCAATAGAAGAAATTCTCGTACATACGGAAAACTGCAAGAGGATAAGAACAAATGGTGCAGGGGGTCAGAGGCTGGAAATTGCAAGGGAAACAGCTGAGACGCAATGGTGATTGGGCTCAAAGCGAGAAGCAGGCGGCACAGTCCAGAGACGATCCGGGGCCAGCAACGCCGCATCACTGGCTGCTGGAGCTGCTTGAAAGGGCATAAGGCCCGTGATCTGTGACTAAAGTCACCCACCGAAGTGTGGGTGGCAGAAATTGACAGCCTTGATGCCGTTGCTGATCAGCCTGAGAAGAGCGCGGAGTGGTGCTCCTTTGCTGCCACGGTCTGCGAGTCTGCGACTCCTCCAGTCGTGATGCTTCGCTGGTGCTTCTGTTGGAACATTCGCCATGAGGCTCAAATAATGCTTGACGAATGATGGTAGCCCTTCGCATCGAGGCGTATACTTCTGAGTACAGGGCAAAACTCCGGATATCTCTTCCAACATTAATACCACAAAAGAAGACTCACGATCACTTCAAACGCAGCTGTCAAAGCTTCCCCTCTTTGCTGCCAACTGTCAGACACCGGCATCCGCAACCACTTCCGCAGACGGTGAGGAGCACGAACTTTCAAGCAATGAGGGGGCAATCATGGCGACAAATGTCGGTGTAAGAGCATTGAACTCTGTTGTGTTGTACACGTCAGGATGCAAGAATTGGGAGACACCGCACTCCAGCCCTCCTCGTACGGAGGGCCGACTTGATGCAGTCACTCACGCGGGTGGGAGGGTGTTTGGGCTAGGGCTGGGATGCATCGACGGTGCGTTGACATTTTGCTTCTTGCTTCTTGCTGCTTGCTTTTGCGCCGGTTGACTGACGGAGAGGGTGTGAACGTTGAACGTTGGACTGTGGCAGCCCGACGTGGGAGACATTGATGTTGATGGTTCTTGCACTTCTGCTCAACACATCACAGACACACCTGATCCATACGTGATGCTCATTATTGGGTTATTGGCCACTTGATAATGGCAATGCGCTTACGCGCTGGTTGGCCGGCAATTCCTGACACACGGCAAATGGGAGCAGGCTGAAGGAAACCGAAGCATCCAGATTTTCTGATTCGCACACGGCATGACCTTTTTGATCGAGACACGACCTTCACCACGTATCACATCACCAACATGATTTGATGACAATACGCAATCAAACCCTGGTCCTTCTCACAGCTGACAATCTGACTGGCTCCATGATCACCGCGGCAGAATCATCTCAAGGGATCCGTATCGGGAGATGTGAAGGCAACATTCAAGCTTCACAGCACCAAGAGAAACTGCTCTACACGTGCCCGTCTATCACTTCATAAGTGATGCTACTATAATAGTACCTAGAAATAATTGTACAGCTTCAGTCACCCCGATCTTACGCTACTCGGGATACCCTCACTCTTCCCTCTGATCGCTCATGTTTTGGGATATGCAGCCTGGTGGTCTATCAACTCACTGCATTGCCATCTGCAACTCTCCTCTCTTCCCAGCTTTTCTTCTCCGCTGGTATCAATAGAACCCCTCCCGCTATTCCGCCATCCGCCATCCCGCTCTAGCTGCTAGACAAAAGTGGCTGGAAAGGAGTCAGCAGACGGCATCTCTGATATCGCGAGAACGCGTCCCTCAGCCCTGTCTCCCGAACAAAAGATGAAAATCCAACTCGGCCATCGTTTGACAGAGCTAGGAGATGCTTTGGAGTTATCAGCAACCAAGTTTGGCAATTGAGCCTATTCTAATCTCAAACACAGACCGGGTTCAAAATTCCTGGTTCGCAGGTTGGTTGATGGTAAAGTGCTGACATTTAGATTGATGTTACAGCACATCCCAACATTGCTCTCCATCAACCCCTCCTTCAGGCAACATACCACAATACCAACATATCTCCGCTTTCATCTGTCTTTCCAAAATCACCGAGTGCGAGATACGCCACCATCTCTGTGAAATTCGTCATCACATTGCTGCTTGATCTTCCTAATGCTCGGTCCTTGCTTGTGACATCTTCTCAAACACAGGCAATTTCACACGAGCGGCGGTAAAGATGCATATGCTTTTGCAAAGAAGGATGGAAACTTTGGGCGGCTCAATCACACCGTTCACATGATGGAAGATTTCACGTGGGGTCTTCTTTGCATATTCGATCCTTTCTGTACGTCATGTTCTTCTCTCGTGAACCAGTCACCAAGAATTCGGAAGGCGCCTTTTCATGTTACATATCATCCTGCTCTCCGCCAATCAACACTCAGAAGTCGTCTTTCATCCTCCGATTCGGCGCCTATCCCCCAACCTTCAACAAACCTACGCGCCTGAGTGGGTGTGATGCATTAAATTCGCAATAGGACAAGTTTCGTGTGCCTGGCGCTTAAGTCGAATTGACTTTCCTTGCGGTCCATCATGGAAGTCTAGAAGTGGTGTGACATTCATTGTCGTCCATTCGGCTGGATTATCCTCCTAATCTCCGATTACGAATATGGGGTTTCCTGGTGTGAGACCATCTGATGTCTTGCTTAGGATCTTTGACGTTCTTGGTGAGTGATACAATGCACGGTGGGCGGGATGGCGACAACATATCTCTCCTGTTGGTCACTCGTTTTCGTCGATTATCGGCAATGCTTGATCACCTGATAATACTTCCTTTTCGATTGAGACAAGGCGGAACAACGACACTTGACTCTTTGGGCATGTCAGGTAAAAAGGTACTTTCCGTCTCGTATCAGCTGAGCGCCAATCAAGTGTTGGACTGCATGAAATTCTTCAACGACAAACCTGTTATACCGTATACGTTTTGACGTTTCCCAATATCACATTCTTGCTGCCCAACATTAGCGAGTGCTGGATATTGGGCATCGTTGATCTTGTCTGTATTCCTTTTTCTCGAATAATTTTGTTTCGCTTATTTTGCTTCGAGAACCAAGGTGTTGCCATTTTCTCTATTTTCATCTATCACTAGTGAGTCGAGTTTCAGCTTGTTGATATAGAGAAAATGGTTATTGATCTTGGGAGTTGATCAGCTCCAATGGCAAATTCAGCTTTGCGCTGCGATGTAGAAAATTTTGCGGATGACCAGGACCAGGTCTGGAGAGTTCATGTCGTCTCTTTTAGGTGTTGACAAGCGAGTGACATCCATGATGAACTTAACTTGCTTCAAACGTTCGAGGAACAATCAATATACTCGATGTACCGGAGTCACATCGTATCTTCGCCATCCATTGTTGCTTTCTCCTGGGCATTTCTAATTATACTCTAATGCTTGGACTAAAAGCCAGTTCACTCACATGCCTCCTTGTTGTGTGCATCGTTCTCCTCCTTCCGTTGTTGTCAATAACAACATACTTGATCGAATTGCACAAATAATCCTACCAACATCCAGCTGGGTGGTTGGACCTAGGCGGTTGACAGATGAATTGTGCCTTTTCCAGTTGAAGCAGACTAATTTTTACGATTGGCGTCCTATCATTGATTATTTCCTGCACTCAAAGCCTGTCTCGTGGTAGACAAAGTCAGTGTCACTAATCTCCTCATTGACTTCTCAAAGAGCCTACACGTCGCGCTCCGAGTCCTACTGTCCCACTATGTTCAGGAGATACATCCTAATCCTAATTGCTTCAGGTAAGTTAACGAGATTTCTTTAAGTACATTAATTTCAATGTCATGTTTGGACCTCACTTGCTTTATCTACCGCGAGTGACTCGCACGACTTTCCAGGGTTCTTCTAGCTATATCCCGACGATATGCATGGTACTTGGAAAGATAGGAAAAGGAAGTGTAGTGTGGAGGTGGAGTGATCACTGGGATTTTGTTTCTATAAGGGAGGTAGATATGGTAATGGACTGTGATTGCCCGATACGGTCGCAGATAGTAGTATATGCACTTCGCCTGCTTCACGGCTAGTAGAACGAGAGTTCAACTACCTTTCATTACGTTTACACGATTGAGATATCCATTTCATCTAGTGATTACTATAAGAATAACACTTGACCGAGGCATCCATGTCGTCTAGTAACTCATATATCTGGATCACCTATTACTGTCTCCGATGGATTGAAGCATGTATTGTATCCAGCTCTCGTACACATCAAACAAGCTCAATCGAAGAGCCGGGAATCCGTCTATTAGCTTCAACGTCGTACTTAGGATCTTGCCAATTGGCATTCGTTAAGGTATGTAACAGTGTTGAGTATACTTAATAATCGCTTTGTTAGATAAGCTCCTAATTATTCTAGTCTCAGATGTACGATCCCTGAATAAATCTCTTCAATTTCAGGCTCATTACATATGCAGATGTTCCTCTGTTTCGTGACTTCCTTAACCTGTGAACTCCCTTAACTTGTGAACTTCCTTAACCTGTGACATATTTCATGATTACCTATTTTATACTGCCGAGAAAATACAACTTTGGCTTTCGAGCTGTTCTTTTGATCGTTATCTCCATCACAAAAAAAGAACGTATGTCAAGCAATCGAATCTGAAGAGATTGGTATGTGGTTGTCGTGTAGTAGAGTAGTTGATCGAAATTGGTTTTGTGCACTGAGATAATGATGAAGTTAGAAAATGACTGTGAGTGGTTCAATATGGAGTTTTAATTGGTGGATCTTCGCTCTTCGCCCCTCTACCTAGTTGATCGTTATACAAAGCCAGTTTGGTTGTATTGTGAGATTCTATACCCCTTTATCCTGCTAAATTTCATTCTCATTTCCTTTCCGCTACTTTCATTCTTTTGTGGAGGCGGAAAGCAAGTTTTGGCGGGGATCGTGGCTGGGAGAGTGTGTTGTGGGGTTTGATGTAAGGTTGGAGATTATAAAGTCCGTTAGGAGAGAATGAGAGTTCATCCACGAGAAGAAGACGAGGAGGGGAAAGAGAGGAGAGGTATTCAAGATGGAACGAGAAATGAGTATAATGATGAAAAGATAATCAATACAGTAAACAGATAAGAGCAAGCTACAAAGTTTTCTCTTTTACTATTAAGATCAAAAGTAGTGCGATACCAATTTCATGTCTCTTCAATTTGGATCTTGATCTGCTTTATATCTAAATCTGAATTCTGGTCTACAATTAAATCATATTTCATTGTCTGTCAGAGGAACAACCCTCCCCAGTACCGTACAGTAAGCTTCATTTTTTTAATCGATCTAGCTAATGTAGATTAGGATATTAACGACCTGTCATGGGACTTTAAAGAGACCACAACTGCTGCCACACAAGACGGGAGTGTAATTATAGTTTACTTGGCGTGATTGTCAAATATTACTTGCATTATTTAGATACAGGAAAAGTGGTTGGTTCAGATGATTCTAGGAAGTTGGTTGAGAAATGAGGTAGTTGTCACCGATTTCGATGCTGTCACCGAATTCAAACCCCTTCGTTTCTCTTTTAGCGATATGCAATAACGCAAATTCTTCCACCTAAAATTTCCTTTCTAAAAAAAACATCATCAAAAAAATTTCAACCCACTCCAAAGATCACTGCCCAATTCCCTTGTATTCCGAATGGGAAAGGAGCTGTTCATCTGTGTTACAATTTCTAGATCAGAGAAATCGCTTGCTATTTCCACAATTTAAATCGCTTCTTAACTTGGCAGTGTGCACTTTTGGGGCTTTATTGAGGGTGGTTGGTATTGTTTTTGTTACTGCTACCTCAGGGAAGTGGTGTTGTTATGTGGGGTGATGGGAGTTGAAGAGATGTTGGATTAGAGGAGTATAAGAAGGAATTGAAGGGTGGAAGAGCCAAAAAAATAAACGTCTAGGACCGCAAGTCGCAAAACTCTAAACATAGCCCAATTATAACACCATGTAAGAAGCGCTATAAAACCCACCTTTCTCTCTCCTTTCGGGAAGTACAATCCTTGCGCCGTTGGGAACATGTCTGGCTTGTGCTTGTGTTTTGGTTTTGTG